CTAAACAGACCTTGGTTGAAAAACCAAGTAGCCAGCCACCTCCTAGGGCCATAGGTCATCTACAAAGCCTGCTACAACAGCACCTGAGCCTGAAATCACCTTGAAAGTCCAGGTTAGCTCCAAAGCACCCCAAGCCATCATTTCACACCAGCTATAGCCTCTCCCTCAAAAATTGGGACACGAAATCAACCTATGGGAAGGATAGTGTCAGTACAAGAGGCAACGAGGGTGGAGGAGGCGAGACAACAAGTGTAGAGGGCCAACATGTAGTCAGCAAGGCTGCAGAGGTGTGTCAGAATGATCAGCAATGGACTGCTTACAAATCAAATGCACACATGCACAGCAACTCCATGCCACACAACAAAGCTACTCACAGCTCAAATGTTGGCCCCAGAAGTGCCACCAATGCAAATCCTTCACCTACAACATATCTACACAAGGTGTTACATGAAGGGTATGGATTTATTTTTCAAACCATGACTTGCTGAGGGGGCATGTTGGAACATACTGCTGTTCTGTACAGCAAGCACTGCTCACATAATATTTCCATACAATTTAGCCACTTCATTTTTCCTTGTACCTCAGACTTCATCCTACTTTGAAGACTGAGTTTTCACACTCTAGTTCACCCTGCAACCTTGGTCCCTTCTCAAAAACCTCAGTGTACAAAGTAGTCACTGAGGTGGAAAATAACAGTGCAGAAAATTTATAGTACTGTAATTACTATGTGGGTTGACATTGGAATTTAATTCCAAAGGTTGGGAGAAATTCCAAGCCCTCTGGATGAAACTCTGAGACACTACCATAACTCCAGAATGCATACTTGACACTCTCACCCTCTAATTCCAAAGGAGTTATTGCACAGCAACAATACCCACTATGGCAAAAGATGATCATTCCTTACAAGTCCCAACCCTAGGTGTGGATGGAAGCAACTGGCTATACTACAAGGCTCAGGTTGAATGGGATGATTAGACACCTGACCAGCTTGGATGTGAAACTGGAGGACCCTTCAGTGGGAAAAGACTCCTCCTGGAAGCCCACTGCCATAGAGCAAAAACTTGTCAGTGAATACCCAGAAAAACTTTGGCAATGGGCAATGGACAATGGATATGTCAAGCAAGTGATCACTGTGTCACTCCTGGAATCATTGTTCCTTTAAGTTCTGAAGGAAGAGACTGTGAAGAGTGTGTGGGGTGTCCTCACTGGCCTTTTTTAAAACTGCTCTCACATTGTTGCAATTGATCTTTGGAGAAAACTCCAAGAATCTTGCTGTGCCAAAAAAGGTGACATCCATGCTCACTTCTTGCTTCCTATGATTCCAACCTTGCAGCTATGACATCTTCAGCCCTGGTCATGCAAAAGGACCTATCTCTGGACTTTATAATCAAAGTAATTTCTGACAAATATGATAGGCACCAAAGATGGATGAAGAGGGGCAACACTGGAATCTCTGGAAATTCTGAAAACACAGCTTACTCAACAAATGTCAGAAAGAAGTCTACTTGTGAAAATTGCAGAAAGAAAGGTCATGTGAAAGACCAATGCTGGGAAGAGGGTGGTGGAAAAGCTGTGCAAGTGCCCAAGTGGTTCCAGAACAAGGGAAACGGGACAAAGAAGGAGAAAGGCTCTGGAAAAGTGGCCACTGCAGCCAGCACAACAGCCAGCTCAAGCACACAGACCAGCACTGACTCCAAACCCCCAGGACATTGTTATTGATGAAGAAGATGCATACATGAACACCTTTGACCATGCTCTTTTCACAGGTGAAAGCCTAAATTCTGCAGAGAGACCATTCTGTTCAACTCTGGCACTTCACATCATATGTCCTCCTGCCACAGAAAATTCCTCAATTATAAGCAAATTATACCCAAACCTATCACCACTGCCAATAACCACACCTTCCATGCCATCAGGAAAGGCAATCTCACAATCTCACTCCCAAATGGCACTGCACAAACCCACATTCAACTCAAAGATGTGCTCTATGCTCCCAAGATGGGAATTATGCTCATTTATGTTAGCAAATTTGACATTGCTGGGTATGCTGCATTATTCTGAGACAAGCATTGTCAAATTTTCAATGCTCAGAAGAAGAAAGTAGCCAAAATTCCAATGCAAAAAGGGCTCTACTGTCTCAAATGAGCTCATCATGCCTTCTCAGGCCTAGCTAAGGCCACAGAATCCCTAACTATGGAGGATATACACATCAGGCTTGGCCACATCACTCCTGAAGCCATCTAGCAAATGCTGAAAGACAGCACAATCACCAGAATTAAGCTGGATGAAGCACATTCCACCATGGGCACATGCAATTCATGCAAATATGCCAATGCAACTTGGAAGCCCATTGGGAAGGAGTGCAACCCACCCTGCTGTGAACACCTTGGCAACAAAGTCCACACAGTTCTCTGGGAACCTTCTCCAGTCCAAACCCCAGGCCATAGCCAGTACTACATGCCATTCACAGATGACCACACTCATTATAACACCCTGTATTTGCAAAAGACAAAGGCAAGACCTTCACATCCTATAAAGCCTATGAAGCATGGCTGAACATGCAGTTTGACACCAAGGTTGAGCAACTTTGCTCAGATCATGGGGGAGAATATTTTAGTGTGGAATTTTCAGAATATCTGAAATCCCAAGGCACAGAATGATGCATAACTCTCCATGATACCCCCCAAACACAGTGGAGTTGCAGAACAACTCAACAGAACACTTGTTGAGCATGTACAGGCAATGATTCACACCAGTGGCATACCCAAGAACCTCTGGGGGGAGGCCATCATGCATGCAACTTGGCTCAAAAACTGCTTGTCAACTCACTGTCTAGGCACCAAAATACCCTACAAAATGCTCTACCAAAGACCACCTGACCTTTCTAAAATCCCAGTCTGGGGATGTCATGTCAAGGTCCATGATACCTCCAGCTCCAAGCTAGACATGTGAGCCTGAGATGGACACTGGCTAGGCTTTGACCCTGAGAGTTCCCCATCATTAATCTGCTTGTTCAAAGAGGAGATCAGCACTTGTTTTAAATTTTCTGACCTAGGGCCCATCAGTTGGCTACTTGGGATGAAGGTGACATGGAATAGAGAAGCCCACACTGTATTGTTGTCCCAGCAGTCTTACATCAAGGCCATTCTGACAAAACACAACCTCACCAACTGCAAGCCTGCCACAATTCTGATGGATGCCAGAATAACACTCTCTCACAGAGAAATTCCACAGTCAGCCAAAGAAGCTGCATGCATGAAAAATGTACCCTACCATGCCACTGTTGCCTCCCTCATCCACCTCACCATTGGAACATCCCCAGACATTGCATTTGCTGTCTCCACAGTTGCACAGTTCAATAACACACCCAACATGACTCACTGGGAAGCCATAAAATGAATCTACAGGTATATCTCAGGCACAAAAGTGCCTGCTTTGACATTCAGAAATACAGAATGTGGCCTCAAGGGCTATACTGATGCAGACAGAGCTTTGCAGGAGCACCAATGCACTATAAGCAGATATGCATATCTACTAGATGGAGGAGCTATCAGTTGGGCTTCACTGAAACAAGAACTTGTCACACACTCAACCACAGAAGCAGAGTATGTCACAGTGACCCATGCAGCCAAATAGGGCTTATGGCTTTGACAACTCATCAGGGAGGTTTTCCACCTACTCACATATCCTATCCCACTGTACTCCAACAGTCAATCCACCATTGCACTCACCAAAGGTGGCAGTTACCATGCTTGCACAAAGCACATCAACATACAATACCACTTCATTTGTTTTGCTGTGGAAAATCACTCTTTTCATCTTATTTATTGCCCTACTGACAACATGGTCACCAATACCCTTACAAAACCTTTACCAAGCATCAAGGTGAAACATTTCACATCTGCACTTGGACTTCATTCCAATTGAGGGGGAGTGTTGAGTATGCATTCTGGAGTTACAGTAGTGTCTCAGAGTTTCACCTGGAGGGCTTGGAGTTTCCCCCTGACCTTCAGAATCAAATTCTGATGTCACTCCACTTACTAATTATAGTACTATAAATTTTCCACACCATTATTTTCCACCTCAGTGACTACTTCATGCACTGAGGTGAGCATAGCTATATTCCCACTCATTTACTTGGTACTGACATAGTGTAGAACTTATACCTTCATTATGTACTAATACAGTGACTACTTTGTGGACTGAGAACTCATACCTTCATTAGTATGTGTGGTAGACATAATATATAGTAACCACCATGCACCGGATGTTGACATAGATCAATAAAAGCTATGTATTGCCTCAGAAATCAATGGGACACACAGGGGTGCATGGTAGCACAAGACCAGCACATAGTGGCACAGCCACTCGAAAATATATTCCTTATCGGGCAATAGCGGAGTTTGACAATTTTGGTGATGACTCGAATTTGACCGAGCCGCTCGGCTCCGTGCAGCGCACCAGAAGCACTTGCTGCGATTTTCTCTTTTCGATAGGCCGAAGTAGTTCTTACCGTGCAATTCATCTGGCCTGCAGTCGCCGCAGCCTTGTCTTCGCTATCTAAATTCCATTTTCGTACCCCAAAAGCACCCTGTGTCAATTAGTGTGCTTTTATCGGCGAACGAGGACATCCCAAGGTGAGCCAAGATATGTTGTTTCTCGACATGGCCAAGGGGGGTTCATCCTTCTACCAGGTATCTGTGTAACCGACAGCCGACCTCCGAGGAGCCGATCCATTATGATCGTGACATTACTTCAACCACTGGATCATCCAATCGTTGCCACTTCCTCAACACTTCCAGGCAATTGGGAATACGTCACTCGCTCCTATAAGCTCGTCTGGTAAGGATGTGGAAGTGTCCACTCTAGCGGTTAGCCTCCATAGCTTTCCACTCTTCAATCTGTCGTTGGTTACGCTTTCAGTGAATCCAGCCGAGGAAACGAGATAATATCAGATGAGAAGACCATCGATTCTCGGCCAGATACCTTCTGGGACGATCAGAGCCTTCACAAGAGAACTTCCGAAGGCGTTACTGACAACTACGCTAAATATGCCGGGCTCAAAGCCTGGTCGGTTATCATGGCGTTCAAGGTGACTGTCCAACGCCGAACGGCGTGATCCACCTTTTTGCCTACCTTCTATTGCAAGTATTTACATGGCATCACCGGCATCAACGGAGAGTGTTTCAGATGGGGCTCCAAAAGCGGAACAATGTCAAGAAATATCATGCAATCCTGCTTACCGCCAATACTTGATGTATGCATAGCTAACGTCTCAAGACGCAAAATGATAAAACCCCACCGTAAGCCCTATCCCAGGTTCCATTTACCTTGCCCTTCGCCGGATCCTCCCTAGTCATAGTACACTTGACGGACCTAATGCACACTCAGGGGATGTAAGTAGCCAGTTTTTCTGGTTTGACATTCTTTAATTCAAGTGTAATAGCGACACTGCCGCTGGCCTTGGCATCGCATCATGCGGTGAGTGGTAATGCTCGTTGGATCAATGTGTGGTTCACAATTCTTCCCAGTGTTGTTCATATATGACTATGCACTTACGTTTGCAAAAGAGAAAGACCTATTCTGGCATCAACCTCGTCGGACTTGGTCATTCGCCTTCTTCGTCGCCAACAGATACATAGGTCTCTCGGGCCGTCTACTAAACTTTTTGGTGAATTGTCTCCCAAACAACATTGGTTCAGATAGTTCAGTGCGTGGAAACAGTTCTCTGCATCCGGCTATGCTGACACCCACATTTAGTGGTGGGAGTAAATCGGACTTGGTCTGTGTCTCTTGCTTGACTTGCATTGTGCATAGGTGTCCAGGCCTGCTCCTCTCTGGAGAGATTGTCGTGGGAGTTCTTCAAATCATCGGAGGAGGTAAGAATGACATCTCGTGAAACCTTTCCCATTTTCTTGACTTACATGGCAGTGATTATGATATCCCGTGTATATGCCTTCTACAAGCGCGACAGACGTGTCCTGAGTCTCCTCGTTGTGGTGGGAATACTCTGTCTAGGAATAGGTGGCGTGAGTGAAATCGTGCAAATAATTCAGTGACCTTGATCATGGAGCAATGTATAGGGGGCAATTTTACTTCGTCCACCGTCAACTTCATCAGAGCAAATCGCAACAGCTCAGGCCGCACGTGGTGGGTGTCTTCACCCGATAACTTCAGAACAGTATGTCTAGTTCCTTGCAACACCCACTTCTATGTTTATACATTCATACCCCAGGGCTCCATGTAGGTGCAAATTCGCGCTTGTTCCGGCGCATGTATGCCTTACGGACGCTTTTGGTCTAGATTGGGCTGCAGCATGGGGTAGCCAACTATTGCTTGATGTTTTAGTCTTCGTCTTCACACTTAGAAAACTGTTAAGTAATCGCTCCTTTGGAGAACGGACTTTCATGGCCTTGTCATTGCGTGACGGTGTGTTCTCTGTTTCGAAGTTGAAAATGAAGTTTGACTCCGTGTTCCTAATAGGTGCACTGTACTTTGCGTACGTGTTCTACGATGTTCACGCATTCATGATTCCATCTGATACTCGAGAAATGTAAGTGTGATGACCGCCGCGAACATCGCAAACATTACTGCATATTTGGTGGTAAGTGATGTACCCACGACCGACCTGTTCCTTGTCTTAACTTGATGCTCTTTATCGAGATGACAGATGTGAGCCTTTAGTTCATCCCCCGGTTGCGGCTTCAGAGTTTGACATTCGGAAAGCCATTCGAAAGGTCGATGCTATCTGCTCCAACAAACACGTGAGTGCTATGCACTGCTTGTGTTACCGAGCTGTGGCAAGTCACTGATACATGATTGGGGCGGTTTTTTCTCCACTTCAAAGGCTCTGTGTGATGATGATCTCGAGGTTGATGCTGAATCTTCGGGACCTAGACCGCCAGGTGGGTCTATTTTGCATAGCATGGGACGTGGGTATGATTGGATACATTGCAGTTAACATCTTCGCTACCTGAATGAAACTTAGTCCACCATCAGACAAGGTTTTATTGACTATCAGTAGCGTCCCGTGCATCCAACCAATATACACTTTCCATGTTTTTCAGAGAATAGATACGTCTTATTTACGTGCAATCCGATCTGCTGGCAGCTGGCTCGCTCAGCTGTGTTACTCCGATCAAATTAGGTAGCCTACAACTGGCACCCATACTGACGACGGCCATCTTATATCCATGCCGCAGCTAGCAGACTTCAAATGGCCAGTTGTCCTGCCACCGTCCTTCATTGCGCCATCACTGTTGTCTCCAGCTGCATTTTAGTGCGGCTACAAGAGTGACTAAGTACCTCTTAGAAGCTTGAGCTGGAGGGGAACGGCAGAGTTAGTACAGGGGGGCTCGCATTGGCCCTGAATACCAACTACGTAGGTTCCCTCTCTACTCACATGACGATGACAAGAGCCATGGATCATGGCTGGCTGGAGAGGGAGTCGGTGATATACGGATTGATATTTTTATTCGGGGATGACTTTGAGGTTACTCTGCCAATGCTGCCAATGAAGAGGTTGTAGGATAAGCGGCCGTGTTTAGGGCATCAGATAGCAAGGCTTGGGAACCTTTACGGGTGAGATACGCCGGGATCGATACGGATAACTGAAGTGGAATGCGACCACGAGGGAGATACATTAACAAAAGCGACGAACTCCAGGATCAGATATCACGATGTGCAAGGAAAGAGAAGAGGGTGGAGGCGGTGCTTATGGGCGGCATCTTGAGTTTCTTGATTGACTCGGTTGACAAGAGACATGTGGTACATATGAAAAAGGGGGCACCTGGTATCAGATCCTGCTCCGAGGAAGGGTATGAATGCGACTTATGTAGCTTTGGGCATGAAAGTAGGTCCCCGAATCCCCAACTAACAGTGTTACGGCCCCGAGTCGTAAGCTTGGAACGGGTATGAAAGCGCACGAGGCGTGCGGTGAGTTGACAAGCGTGGATAGTTGAGCAGTATGAAGAACACGTACTTGGCGCAAGGTACTAACGATGCGTCTAGTGATACTACCGCGGAGAACAACCAACGATAGCGATGCTATCCTCGACCCGTCGAAACAGCCCCAACTAGTTGCGTTTTGGTGGTTCGAAGGGATGTTGGGTCGTTCTAGACGGTTTTACCGTCGGAGGGAGGGCGGTGGAACAAACAACAAGGACATGAACTGGATGGATGAAGGCACGCACCACCCTGTCCTCGTACGTCAAATCCGAATTCAAAAGGGTCGATCGTCATGAGAGACACCATGTGTAAAGCTGTACTACTTCCATGTGCCACTTCGTCCGATGCAACACTCGGAATTCTACGCCGTCCGACGGATCGTGGTTTCCATGTAGAGAGCGTATGGTGCCTCAGCCGTTCCTTACCATGACCGTAATGGCTGGTGCACACTGTACGACGAACCTGAAGGTGTCAAGATTCAATGTGTTGGACCTTTTCGCACCAAACCTCCGTCCGCTTCGATGGACTCCCACTGACAGCGCCAACTGCACGCACTGCATACCCACGATGAGAGGCTAACAAGAAGCTCGTCACTACGCCCTGACGTGAGAAATCTCCCTCGATGTGTACTCGTGTGTGCGCAGAAGTTGAAGTTCAAGGAACGGTCAAACAACTCGCCTGTACGCCAGAGGCAATAACGCGCCTTCGAGTCCCTTCCCGGTAAGAGCTGCATCGATGCCTGCAGACGACTGCAGTGCCCCGGCGCTCTTAACCTCTCTGGAATCATTTTTTCACAGCCCCAAGACTTTCTAACAGGGTTATTAACACCCGACTTCTCAACCGTACCCTAGGCTGAACCAACCAAAGTGCGCCGGCCTGGAACAGCTTGAAACTCGGAGATACCGGCGTGCGCTGTCATTGGGTATTAGACTGCACAGCCCGTTTTAATATTGAATTAACCCTTGATGAGAACCTGCTAAAAATCGTTACGAGAACGCTCACAGCGTTGAAAACATATTAGTTTGAGGCTTGTAGACCCGGGAAATCTACACATATGTACCTCCCCCCCCATCCACAGGTACAAGTCCAAGGTGGGCGTTTTCTCTTTGTCTCCCTGCTACCTCCACTTCCGCTGCTTGGTTCTCCGCTATGTCTATTGGCTACGAGGAACAAACGTACGTCGCCATCCAATCCACGACATTCAGCTGGCATACCCCCAAAAAACCACAGGAGACTACACGACAGCATTGACTTCGCGGCCCTCTGTGCGTACCAGGATGCCGTCGTCTCTTCATTGTCTTCAGCGCTTATAAAAGCTGAGTGTGCGCTGAAACAGTTCTTTTTCTCTACGATCACCTCATTACGTTGGCGGAAGAGGTCACGTATATATGGGCACGTCCGAAGCGTGCATCCGCGATTTTATTCCTCGTCAACCGGTATCTAGGGTGTCTCTCGACAGTGGCTCAAGCAGCGGTGTTATTCGTCGTTATGTCACCAGAGGTTCGGCTTACCTGGCTCGCGGCATTCATATCTTACCTTGTTCGGATGTTGTTGTCCTTAGAGGTGTGGGTTGATATTTTGCGACGTGGGCTACACTTGACTGATGTATATCTATTCCTGAACTTGCTGGTGTAGGTGCATCCAGTACATCTACTACCGTGAAGTATTGCTCTTCGTGAACCAATCCATCGTGTGTAGTGAGTAACTACATCATATAGGGTCATACCAGTGGACGTGACTCACTTGACATTATGGCAGCGCTTTTCATGATCCGTACTTACGCGCTCTACGGCGGAAATAAACGCCTCCTTGTGTTTTTTCTCTTCGCCTTTCCCGCCTTGGTATCCTCAGCATCCGTGCGTATGCCCGTCAGATTTCTCCGATGCATCATCTTTACCCACTGTTTCTGTTTCCAACTCTCCCAGTGGTCACTCGTAGGTCAGCAGGCGACGTCGGCAATCAACTTACCTGGCTGCCAGATGATCTTCAACACCAACACGTCCGTCTTTTTTTTCTTTCTTCTAGTCAAGTCGCGCTCACAACTGGATATGTCACAATCGTATAGTGCCATCCGTGAGTACCTACGATTGTTTTGTATTCGGTCAACACCTCATGTATTCGATTTTAACACGCTCATGTCACAGATCTCGCTGTGCCTTACGAAGCGCTATGCGTATTTGACACATTGATATTTGGGTTGACAGCGTATAAGACGTTCAAGGTTGGTATACGGTCCAATGCACACTCGAAACCCAATTTGGTTGTGCTCCTCTTTCGCGATGGTGAGTCGCCGATTGGTTCGTGTTGTAGCAACATTTTTGAGGTTATATTCTCCGGGCAGGTGCAATTTATTTCGCGTGAGTCGTCGGATTCTTTAGCGGGTGACCACACAGTAGGCTGAGCAAGCACGTGAAAATTAAAAAGGATTGTTGCAATCGCGAATCTTGCCAATATCCTCTCGTTTTATGTATGTGCGCTAGATTCTGTATCCATTATATTGGGGAGGCTCACACGTTTAACAGGTTGCACCTGTATGTACCTTTATCAAGTCCTAATCATGACAGCATCCGAGTCTTACTGAGAAAATGTTAGACACTAATGAAGGGCGGGCTATCTACAATTTCGATATGGTTGGCGCAGAGTTCCTTCTCTCGGGTGAATTGTACTTACACTGCTCTGTTTTGTACGTTGACAGCATTACCGTTACGATGGTGTCGAGACTCATGCTTAACCTCCACAAAACTGCTGATGCTGGGATCTTTTCCACGCATAGACAACACCTCACCGATAGCCGTGGTGGCGCCATCTTCACGTCCCAGTTCTCAGAGCCCGATCAAGGATGGGATCTACCGACAGTGACGGATTAAACGTGTATTTGGACTCTTGACATAATTCTCGCACTTGCATTGGTTGTATCATATGAACTTACTTATTTCTCGGGTATTCCACTATTCAACCTTTTATTGACACGTCCCCGCTTAGGCCAACGGCATGCAAGACGCCCCGAAGTTGATGTCCCGTGTGCTATCAAATGCCTATTCAGGGTCATATTCAATGATACTACCACCACGCAATGGTGAGTGGTTGTTCATCTATTAGGTCGTATCCAAACTGCCGAAGCAAGATTCGGACAGTGATACACACTACGAAATGAAATGGGAGAAGCACGAAGCGCTTTTCAGCTCCAAAAGCGGGATCTGCTAGACAGCTGTGAGCTGAGCGGGCAGGTAGGAACGCCTCGTACTAGAATGTTGGACCTGCAGGATATGATAACATGTTAAGAGCCCAAGAACGTGCAATTTCTGGACGCCGAAAGGTAGTAGTTTGACGTAGGAGGTGGTGGGCGGGTGGGACGGCGAAATGTGGTATGTAGGGAGATCCCGGCACCGGAAGAGAGAACTTCGTACATTTTACCTACGCTCGTAGACTCTAGAACAACCAGCGGCTCGCTCGTGCCTCACAGAGTCACTCTGTCGGAATACGCCCTGACACTGACTCCACGATCAATCAAACATCTTAGTTGGAGATCTACTCATCACTGGGGTAGGTGAGTGTTTGGGCATTGCGTTACATAGCCATCGAGTCACAAAGTGAAAAGCGAAATACAGCCAATGGAAACTATCCTACTTATTGGACCAAGTTTTTATCACCTTGAAGCATACTGCATGATGCTGTAAGTTTCAATCCATGCTGTATATTTCAATGTGACTGCATGATGTTGTGTGTTTCGATCCATGCTGTATATTTCAATGTGATAAAACTCCAGCATATACCCTGCAATGCTAGGCTCCATTCACCTCGCCGTATGCCAAGTCCTCCCTGATCACGGTACACTTGACAGATTCGATGGACACCCAGTATGGCATAGTCAGCTTTCCTGGTTTGGCATGTCACCAGCGACGGCCACGCCATATTCACGCCGACTGATAGACCCCAAATAACCAGTTGACCCCTGATCGTGTTTCATTTTACATCACCACTATCACGTATGGCTGAAACTTCGATGAGGCTATCAGAATGATTCAGTACACCTCGCAAGGTTGAGCTGGAGGGAACTTCCGGAACGGCAAAGTTGGCTTGTGATTGACTGACTGTATCGTGGTTGCTAAAGTGACTATACGTCCATGCTAGAGGCACCACCTTATAATACAAGAGTCAGAGGAATGGTCGCCATGCAAGGAGATAGCGCAAAAGCCTCCCCAAGTTGAACGAGCATAACTTCACAGAGCAGCGAAATGTTCAGGCTCAATGGGGACATGTATAACAGCAATTGGACGGGATCTACCGAAAGTGTTTCACCGTGGTCGTACACCGCCGGCCCATTTGGACTCCTGACATACATCTCGCACCCCTTCAAGATCACTTTTGACATATCTAATAATCCAACATTCTGATCCACCTTGGCTTATCTTCTGAGGGATTCAAACGCCGCCTCCTCAGATACACTAAAAACCTTCGGCTCCTTCTTGAATGCAGTCCGCCCCGAGTCTCGGGACCAAACCTCAGCATGCTCCAGCGAAATCTTGATGTTGGCGATGTCGATCTGCCTACGAAGGGGGGGGGCAGGGCAGCAGATTTGAAATAATCCAATGATACTTGAGGGATTGCACCTAGGTCACTGAAGACAGCCGTCCTACCAAGGGAGAGGTTTCCCGAACGGTAACCCGCCAACGACGTCTGTTTCGGCATGGTTAAGGTGTCAGGTGTGACGAGCTTCTTCGGCGGCGGCGTGATTCTTCTCTTTATAGTTAAACCAAAGAAGTACGCGCTTGTTCAGTGAGAATAGCGCAGAACTTGGTCAGTGACTGCTGTGGACAAGTTCACCAGCGGGGGGGCGACGACCTTAGTATGTAATACATGCCAAAGTCCGAGTCCGGTTTCGATTTGATTTTGTTTGGTTAGGAAATGGAACCCTATACACGAGGACAACAGTGGGTCCCAACGCAGGTTCCTGTGAGATTATAGAAGAGCGTTCTCCGGTCTTGCTGTGAAGGCGGGACCCACAACACGTGTAGTGGCGTGGAAGTGACGGAGTCCGCAATAGAACAACAAGAATAGCTCGTTTCAGATCGGTCTCCGACTCGGACATGACAATTGGCTTGACTCATTGTTGGAGCATCACCTCCAACTTACCATCGGCAAGCCAAAGCCAAACCGGAACAGCGCCAATACAAAATCAAGCGATGTCAAGCTACCCTTCTTACCGGCACTATTTGATATGTGCATAGCTAACACGTTGAACGTCTCGGGCGATAAAACCTCAGCGTAAGCCCTACTATACGCTCCATTCACCTCGCCCTGTGTCAGATCCTTCCTGGACACAGTGTATTTGACAGATCTGATGCTCACTCAGGGAATGTAAGTAGCCAATTTTGCTGGTTGACATATTTCCCTGGGACGCTGATTCGAGTGTAAAGCGATACTACCACTAGCATTATTGTTGCATCATGTGGTGAGCCGGGGATAATATGTCCTCACTAGATCAACACCAAGTTTCTAATTCTTCCCTAGCACTGTTCATATATGACTATGCACTTACATTTTCGAAGGAGATAGACCTGTTCTGGCGTCAAGGCCGCCAGACTTGGGCGTTCGCGTTCTTCATTGCCAACAGATACATAGGCGTCTTGGGCCGTATACCAGAGTTTTTTTGGATTTTTTTCCCGAACAGCAGCGGTTTAAACAATTCAGTGCGTCTAAATAGTTCTCTTCATCTAAACATGCTGACGCTCTCAGTGGTGGGAGCAAATCGCACCTAAGTCGGAGCCTCTCACTGAACTTGTGCTCTGTGTAGGTGTTCGGATCTGTACCTCTCTGCACAAATCTTCGTGGTAGTTCTTCAAGTCATCGGATCAGGTGAGCATAACATTCTGTGCGACCCTCTCCATTCTCTCGATCAGCATGGCAGCGATTATGATAGGACGTGTATATGCCTTCTACAACCGAGACCGGCGTGTCTTGAGCCTCCTCGCTGTTGTGGGAATGATCTGTATAGGAGTCAGCAGTGTGAGTAACACCATGTGAACAATTTACTGATCTTGATCGTGGAGTAATACCTAGTGGGCACTGTCATATCGTCCACCACCATCCCCATCAAAGAAAATCGCAACAGTTGAGGTCACCCGTGCTGGGTGTCCTAATCCAGTGACTTCAGTAGAGTATACCTGGTTCTTCGTATCATCCACCCCATTTTTATGCTTTCACATCCCAGGGCTTCGCGTAGGTGCACGTTCACACTCCGATGCACACATATCAAATGCATGCTTTCGGTCTAGATTTGGCCGCAGCGTGGGGTGGTCAACTATTGGTTGATGCTCTGGTTTTCATCCTCACGCTTAGGCAGTTGATACATAGTCACTCTCTTGGAAAACGGACTTTCGTGGCCTTGTCATTGCGTGACGGTGTGTTCTCATTTTCGAAGTTGAAAATGCAGCGTGACTCAATGTTGGCAACAGGTGCAATATACTTCGCGTACGTGTTCATCGTATATGGCATTCGAGATTATATCTAATGCCCGAGACATGGCAGGGTGATGATGGCCGCGAATGTCGCAAACATTACTACATATTTAGTGGTAAATGTTAAATGATCGTCACCAACTTGTTTCTTGTCTTAACCTGATCCTCCTTGGCAATATATAGGTGACAGATGTGAGCATTCACCCTACCCCTTGGTTGCAGGCCCAGAGTCTGACACCCCAAAAGCCATTCGAAAGATCAATGTTATCCACTCCGACGAATGTGTGAGTGTTACGCACTGCTTTTCTTACCTGTAGCATGCCACTTATACATAACATGGGTGGTTTCTCGCTCACTAAGGCTTTGCGTGGTGATGATCTCTAGGTTGATGATTAATCTTCGGAATCTGGAGCGCAAGGTGGGTCTATTTCGCATGGCGTGGGATTCAGGTTTGAATAGATGTATACAGTTAACAGCTGAGCTACCTGAATGAGGGGCAGTCGATTCCACATCAGACAAGACTTCATCAACCGTCCATGCAGTCCCGTGCATCCAAGCACAGGGTACCTCCCGAGTGTTAGGGAGACTGTAGATACTTCTTGTTCAGATGTAATCTGGTGCGCTGGCAGCTGGCTGACCCAGTATCCTACCAGTTATGTTGCTCCGGTCAAATTAGACAGCCTAGCGCCATTACGACTGGCACCTATACCGGCGACGGCCATGCCCTATCTACGTTGCAGCTGGTCGACCCCAAATAGCCGGTTGACCTGCGAGCATGTTTCATAGTATCACCACTGCTGTCTGCGTTCGTATTGCTGTGTGGCTATAAGAATGACTGAGTACACCTTGGAGGAGAATGGCAAAGTTAGTACTGGGGTCCTTGTAATGACCGAGGTTGTCTGGGTCCATTCCGCGCTTTTAGCTACTCACTTGGTAAAATTATCACCGTTTAGACCATCAGGACACAAGGACTGGGAAAACGCTGCGAGGGCAGTAAACTGAAGCGAGAGAAAAAGGTAATGACAGGTCCACAAACCAATCATCGGACCGACGAGTCAATAGGGTAACATGTCAGCGTCCAAACAACCGCCTATTACATGGAAACAAGTAGTGGTTTATGAGGACGAGTGCTGTCAATGTCAACCCAAGTTAGAACGTTTTGGAAAGAGTGTTCGAGGATTGAGCAACAGAATAACGATTCAACACGAGTTGAGTATACGTACGTAGAAACGACAGCGCTCAGCCAACGTCATGCAGAACTCGGCAAAGGTGTTCTTTCATGAGCAAATGTGATCGCGCAGTCCGCAAGGAGAAATTTTTTGAGCATGAGCACGGAACAGTCTTTAAGCCAACACGCACCCTACATATTCGAGGCCACCGATTTGAACCTCACTAGTTCACGACTATGAGTTTTCCCAAACAGATTTACGAGAAGAAGAAGCTTATCAAGGTCAAGAACGCATCGGGGAACACGTATGATCGCTTTTCCGAGACATGGTAGCAGACCACGTTCGTTGACTATATGTCACACAGAGCATTAGAGGTGAAAATAACGTTACTCTGCCGACAAAGAGGTTGTGGGATGAGCGGCCCTGGTTGGAGCATCGGACGGTAGGAGACTGTTTTGAGACAAGGCATGAACTGCGTACAAGGTGTGCGGCGAATTGCCAAACGTGGATAAGTTGTGCAGCACAAAGAACACGTACTTGGTACGACGTGCTGGCAATGCACCTAGTGATACTGCCGCACCGAACAACCAGTTGCTGATAATAGCGGCGCTTTCTTCAGCCAGTCGGAACAGTCCCAGTTGCGTCTAGACGATTTACTGTCCACCTTGGAAGGGAAGGAGGGCGGTGGAACAAACACAAGGATATGACTGGATGGACGGATATATGAAAGTACGCAGTAGTATGCACCACATTATCCTCGTAGGTCAAATCCGAATTCAAAAGGTCGATCGTCATAAGAGACACCATGTGTAAAGCGGCACTTCCATGAGCCACTTCGTCTGACGGGAACTCGGAATTCTGCGCCGTCCGACGGATCGTGGTTTCGATGTAAGACTAGGGCGCGAGGGACTCGTATGGCTTTGTACTCATTGGGATGAAAGGAGGACCACGTGGCAGACACTGATGGCATCGACCCGGCTTTCTCATTGAATATTCTTTGTTCCCTTTCTGTTTGTGGCGTCTGCAAGTGTTGAGAGCACATCAGTGGTGCTTAGCTTTTCCTTACCGTGATCGTAATGGCTAGTGCACACAGCATGGCAAATCTGAGGATATCAAGATTCAACATGTGTTGCACATTTACCAAGACTTGACGTGAGAAATCTCTGGAGCGTGCCCGTCTGGCGTGCGCGAAAGCAGGTCGAATGGTCCAACAACCACGATTTACTACTCAGGGAACACCCTGGTGGATCAATGCCTAGAGACCTGCGAAAAGATGTGTTTTGATCAAATCATAGTCTCAGTGGCCATTCTGTGCAATATCACTCAAGTGTTCGTCATCATGGAGACACCGCCCTGCAGGTATGGGCTCGTGGAACACGGCCGGCTGAACCGACCAGAGCGCCCCGTCATTAATAGGTATAAGACTGGACAGCCCGTTTTATTGCTAACTTTACCCTTGATGTGGTTCCGTTAAAACCGTTACGGAAACGTCTTTCACAGAAACATATCAGTTTGAGGCTCGCAGGGCAATCTACATATAGTCCAGGGTGGGTGTTTTCCCTTTGTATCCGATTCTCTGTGCTGCTTCCACCTCTGGCGCTCGGTCCCCTGCTGCTAGTGTCATGTCTATTGGTTATGAGGAACAAACGTACGCCCCTTCTAACCCACGAAACTCGACTGGCATACCCAAAATAACCACAGGATAATACAAAACAGCATTGACTTCGTGGCCATCTGTGCGTACGAGCTCCCTCCAGTCTTCAACACTTACAAAACCACACATGTGCTGGGACAGCTTTTCTTCTCTACGATCACCTCATTACGTTGGCGGAAGAGGTCACGTATATATGGGCACGTCCCAAGCACCCATCTGCGATATTATTTCTCGTCAACCGGTATCTGGGGTGTCTCTCAACAATCGCACAAGCAGTGGTGTTATTCATAGTTCTGTCACCAGAGGTTCGGCTCATCTGGCTCGATGCGATCGTATGTTATCTCATTCGGATGTTTCGCAATTTTTGTCCTCAGAGGTGTGGGTTAATATTTTGCGACGTGGGCCACGCTTGACTGATGTACACCCGTGCCCTCTCCCCCATCCTATTCCTGTACCTGTCGGTGTAGTTGCGTCCAGTACATCCACTACCATAAGGTATCGCTCTTCGCGAATCAAGTCATCGTGTGCAGTACGTGGCTGCATCATACAGCGTCATGTCGATAGACGCGACTCTCACCTGGCATTATGGCAGTGCTTTTCGTGATTCGCACGTATGCACTTTACGGCAGAAACAAACGCATCCTTGCGTTTCTTCTCTTCACCACCGTCGCTCTGGTATCCGTAGTAGCTGTGCGTATACCCTTCGGCTCTCCAGTCTATGATCTTAGCCCACTACTTCCCTTTTCAACTCTCCCAGTGGTCCCTCGTAGGTCAGGTGACGTCTGCGACCAACCTACCTAGCTGCCAGATGATCTACAACACCAACATGTTCGCCCTTTTCTCTCTCTTCTACTCAAATTGTGCTCATGACAGGAGATGCTACAACCACGTAGTGCCATCCGTGAGTGCCTACAACTGTCTTGTATTCGCCCAACACCTCAAGCATTCAATTTTAACACGCTCATGTCACAGATCTCGCTGTACCTTACGAAGCGCTATGCGTATTTGACACATTGATATTTGGATTGACAGCGTATAAGACGTTCAAGGTTGGTATACGATCTATCGTACACTCGAAACCCCAGTTGGTTGTGCTCCTCCTTCGCGATGGTGAGTCGTCGATTGGTTCGTTTATAGCAACATTTTTTGGATTATATTTCCGGGTAGGTGCAATTTATTTTGCGTGAGTCGTTGTATTCTTGGGCGGGCGACCACGCAGTACGCTGAGCGAGCTGGTAAAACTTAAAAAGGATCGTGGCGATGGCGAATCTCGCCAATATCCTGTCGTTTTATGTATGTATACTCGATTCTGTATCTATTATATCGGGGCCGCTCACACGTTTACATAAAAGGTTGCACCTGTACATACCTTTTCAAGTCCTGACTATGACGGCGTGCAAGTCTCACCGAGAAAATTTTAGGAACATTTGAAGGGAGGGCTATCTACAATTTCCATATGGTCAGCACGGAATTCCTACTCATATGCGACTGCACTTACATTGCTCTGTTTTGTATGTCGACAGTACCGCCGTTACAATGGTGTCCAGACTCATGCTCAACCTCCACAAAACTGCCGATGCTGGGATCTTCTCGCATGGACAACACCTCACCGATGGCCGCGGTGGTGCCATATTCACGTCCCAGTTCTTAGAACCCGATCAAGGATGGGATCTTTCGACACCGACGGATTAAATATGTATTTGGACTCTTGACATAGCTTCTTCACGCATTCAAGTTTGGTGTAATATACGAGCATACTTATTCTTTGGGTACCTCACCACCAAACCTTGCATTGACGCAACCTCACTTAGACCAACGACGTACAAGACACCGAGGTCGGTGTCCTATGTACTGTCAAATGCCATCTCAGGGCCATATTCGATGGTGGTCCTGCTACGCAATGGTGAGTGGCTGTTCATCTATTCGCTCGTATCCAGATTTCACATGGTACATGGTTGCCCAATCTGCCGAAAGGAGATTCTCTCACTAAACGAATCGACACATATCGATTGATTATCCCCCTTTCAGATAATTCAAACCTAATTCGTTCCACTGGAAGAGTAAACTGTCTCACACCGGTGCAATATAGCTCCACGAGCTTCAGGGGCGCTTAGCATAAATGCTCATGCGAGACACGATGTGGAACACCTGTTATGCACTGAGGGGTAGTGTCCAAACACCATGTGAATGGCTAGAATTTCAATTTCAGCCACGACCGGAAGAACGAGTGATCGAAGATGCAAAAATGGGGGGAGGAGCCTGCTCGCAAACTTGATGGGGGATGAACCATGTATTACCATGAGGTGCCATAGTTTACTTCTTTACACATGACATCGTTGTGATTGCCATCGGTAAGTGTGTATGGACAAACGAAGGGGTAGCTCAACGGTTTTCTCAGGAGAAGTATGTCGAGGAAGGCGAAAATCACACCCTCCTGTGCCACATCTATGACCTGTATCTGGTCCGCCAAACCGAAGAGTAAGTACAACGTACGCCTACGACCGACTTGGTGACGGCGGGGACAGCGGAAAAAGACGAGACAGAGTATATCGTGTGCATAAACACGCACGTGCTGGACCTTGACGTTGTGGAGGAACAGCGTATAGTCGAAGTCAACTTACATGTGAAGTTCGTTTACATCTGTATGAGCCACGACTGTGCAAGCACGGCCACATCCGAAGCTCGACATCAGATATGCAATCGCACGATATGGGGCGGGGTCAACCATCGTCACCGTTTGGCTTTGCAGGTGTGTTCCTGCTTTTCCATCTTCCGTGCAGTGTTCTCGCTGTGCCATAGGTCTTGGGGGTTGACATCGATGACACGGAGGTGTTACCACAAGGGCGTTTGGCCAAATCTAAGCTGAGAAATGAGAACTCCGAGATACGGCAGGGCTGAGTGATTAGGGTGGGCCCATCAGCTACAGTGCCAAGCCAATGCCTGTGTGTGAATGTCCAGTGCTTCGGCTAGACGCACTGCACAAAGCAATACTCCTGGCAGAGCGTTTCATGTGTAACGTGGAACGCATCCATGGTCCATATAAGCTCGGGAGCCGCCTAAAACCTTCCAAAACTCCCAGGATAAAAGAGCTTTCCAGAACTGGACTAGACTGTGTCCAAGATCATCGCAGTCTCGAGCCGTTATAGGAAATGCGGTTGAACACAGGAAGCAGATACTTTCCTATGAGCTAACACCAGAGAGCGCTTTCCCAGAACTGGGAACATTAGCCTGGATACCAGACAAGTTTGGACTCTCGACGTACCTCTCCGCACCTCTTCAAGATTATTATTGACATATCTAACATCCCAACGGTTTGAATCCACTTTTAAGTAAGTAATACTTATAAATATTTATATGGCGTTGTTAGCAACGTGTTTCAGGTTGGCTGTGACACGACCAGGTTGGTTGGTGGCAGATATCTGATCATGTCGTGCATACCAGCAGCCAAACCCAAACCGGAACAACGCCAGTGGCGATACCACCCTACCCTACTTACCGGCGATATTTGATGCATATCCAACATCATAGGCGGGTATGGTTTTACATAGCTTTATAGAGCCGCATCAGGAAGCCAAACCCAACGGAAAATCAAGGAGTATCCAGCCATCGAGCCGGTACTGATGGCATAACTAATAGGCTCGTGTCTTGAAATGATAAAACACCAACGTAAGCCCTACGCTGGGCTCCATTCATCTCGTCGTGTGTCGGATCCTTCTTGGTCGCAGTACTTTTTACGGATCTGATGTTCAGTCAGGGAATGTAAGTGGTCAATTTTGCTGGTCCGACATATTCCCTGATTCAACTGTAAAAGTAATACTGCTGCTAGCCTTATTGTTGCATCATGTGGTGAGCCGGGAACGACATATCCTCACAGGATCAGTGCCTAGTTCCTAATTCTCCCCCAGCGCTGTTCATATATGACTATGCACTTACATTTTCGAAGGAGATAGACCTGTTCTGGCGTAAAGATCGCCAGGCTTGGTCTTTCGTGCTCTTCATCACCAACAGATACATAGGCCTCTTGGGCCGTATATTGGAGCTTTTTCGGGTTTTTTCTCTAAACAGCAGCGGCTTAGATGATTCAGTGCGTCGAAACAGTTTTCAGCATGCAACTGTGCTGACGATTTCAGTGGTGGGAGTAAATTCGACCTAGTTGGAAGCTCTCACTGAACTTGTGCTGTGTGTAGGTGTTCAGGTCTGTCCCTCTGCATAGAGCTCTTCGAGGTAGTTCTTCAAGCCGTCGGAGCAGGTGAACATAACATTCTTTGAAACCCTCTCTCTTCTCTTAAGCAACACGGCAGCAGTTATGATGGGACGTGTTTATGCCTTCTACAATCGAGACCGACGTGTCCTAAGTCTCCTCGTTGCGATGGCAATGATCCCTGTAGGAATCACTGGCGTGAGTGAATTCATGCAAACAATTTACTGATCTTGACCGTGGACCAATACATAGTGGGGACTGTCAATTCGTCCACTACGACCCCCATCCGACAAGATCACAACAGCTCCGGTCACCCATGCTGGGTGTCCTGATTCAGAGAGTTCAGTACACTATGCCTGGCTTTTTGCAATATCCACTCCCGTTCTTATGCTTCCGTGTGCCAGGGCTTCAAGTAGGTGTAAATTCATGCATGTCACAATGCATACATACCTTGCATACTTTCGGTCTAGGTTGGGCTGCAGCATGGGGTGGTCAAATGTTGTTTGATGCTCTGGTTTTCATCCTCACTCTCAGGAAGCTGATAAATAGTCACTCTCTTGGAAAACGGACATTCACGGCCTTGGCATTGCGCGACGGTACGTCTTCTGTTTCGAAGTTGGAAGTGCGGAGTAACTCAATGTCGCCAATAGGTGCATTGTACTTTGCGTGCGTGTCGATTGTCTATGTATGATGGTCGTGATCATATCTGACCCTCGGGATATGGCAGTGTGATGACCGTTGCGAACGTCCCAAACATTACTACGTTTTTGGTGGTAAATGATGCCCCCATGATCAACTTGCTTCGTGCTTTAACTTCCTTATCCAGATGTCAGATGTGAGCATTTAGCTCATCTCCTCGTCCCGGCCTCAGAGGCTGACACTTCGAAAGCCATTCGAAAGATCGATGTTATCCGTTCCGACGAATACGTGAGTGTTATGCACTCAGACTCATGTTACGTGCAGTATATCACTCATACATGTCGTTGGTGGCTTCCTTCTCGCGAAGGCTTTGCGCGGTGATGGTCTCCAGGTTGATGATCAACCTTCGAGATCTGGAACGCAAGGTGGGCCTATTTTTCGTACCGTGGGGCTCGGTTTTGAATGGAAGTGATACAGTTAACAACTGAGCTACCTGACTGCGGGCCAGTGGTTGGCCAGGCGACTCCACATGATGGTCAGACGAGGTTTCATCGACTGTCCACACATCCTGATTTTTAAGACGATTGTAGATACTTCTGACTTACCTTGTATCTTACTTATTTATGTTACTATAGTCAAATTAAACAGCCTATCGCCATTACGACTGGTACTTATACCAACGATGGCCAAGCCATATCCATGCTGCAACCGGTAGATCCCAAACAGACAGCTGGCTTGCGACCGTGTTTCGTTGCCCCATCACTATTGTCTGCGGCTGCATTTCGGCTGTGGCTATGGGAATGACCGAGTAGTCACATCAGGAAATTAACACTTTACTATTTTTGACCTTTTTGTGACTTTTTTTGACTTTTTTGTGACTATTGTGACTATTTGTGACTTTTTGGGAAGGAACTGTACTTTTTTTTTTGACCATATACAGCATTTTGAAGAATAAAAAGAGAACAGAAACTATCGAGACAACTAAGTGATGATATATCTAAGCCAAGAAGACTAGAAAATGTCTGAAAATTCAGAGATATTGAGCCATTGGTGTGATGCACACTGTCTGAGAGAAAAATCACAATATCTCTTTGGAACCTCCATCAATTTGAATGTATGTGGTATCTACTGAAAGCTATGGATTAGGTGGTTTGAATAAGACAAAAATCAGCAAGAAAAGTGCAGCCATGCCTGCAGGACATGGGTAATGATAGTAGATTCCTTCCCAAAAAGTCACATTAGTCACAAAAAGTCAAAAAATAGTAAAGTGTTATTTTCCTGATGTACACCGTGGTTAGTATGGGGAGACGCTTTTGCTACTACCTCAGTTAACCCATCACCAGTTAGAACATCACAACACAAGGACTGTGCAAACACCGTAAGGTCAAAAGATTGAAACAACAGAAGAGGGCAGCGACACCTTTATAAACTAACCATTGGACAGACGAGTCAATAGGGTAACATGTCAGCGTCCGCACAGCTGCTTATTTCACGGAAACAATTGAATGATGGTATACGCAAATCATGAGGACGAGTCCTGTCAACGTCAACCTGAATTGAAACCTTTTAGAAAGACCGGGTCAAGTAGGAAGGATATCTCAAGCTACGACGAGACCCATGGCGCCTGCGACTAACGCCAATGGCGATACCACCCTACCCCACTTACCGGCGATATTTGATGCATATCTAACAGCACACGTAGGTATGGTTTTACATAGCTTCATAAAGCCGCATCGCCATGCCAAACCCAATGGAAATGAGTCAATGAATATCAAGCTATCTGGCTGGTACTGATGGCGTAACTAATAGGCTCATGTCTTGAAATGATAAAACACCAACGCAAGCCCTACGCTGGGCTCCATTCATCTCGTCGTGTGTCGGATCCTCCCTGGTCACAGTACTTCTTACAGGCCTGATGTTCAGTCAGGGGATGTAAGCAGTCAATTTTGCTGGTCCGACACATACTCTGATTCAACCATAACAGCAACACTGCTGCTAGCCTTATTGTTGCATCATGTGGTGAGCCGGAGACAACATATCCTCACAGGATCAGTGCCTAGTTCCTAATTCTTCCCTAGCGCTGTTCATATATGACTATGCACTTACATTTTCGAAGGAGATAGACCTGTTCTGGCGTAAAGATCGCCGGGCTTGGTCTTTCGTGCTCTTCATCACCAACAGATACATAGGCCTCTTGGGCCGTATATTAGGGCTTTTTCGGGTTCTTTCCCAAAACAACAGTGATTTAGACAATTCAGTGCGTCGAAACAGTTTTCAGCATGCAACCATGCTGACGCTTTCAGTGGTGGGAGTAAATTCGACCTGGTCGGTACCTCCCATTGAACTTGTGTTGTATATAGGTGTTCGGGTCTATCCCTCTGCATAGAGCTCTTCGAGGTAGTTCTTCAAGCCATCGGAGCAGGTGAGCATAACATTCTCTCGGATCCTCTCCGTTCTCTTAAGCAATAGACAGCGGTTATGATGGGACGCGTTTATGCCTTCCACAATCGAGACCGACGTGTCCTGAGTCTCCTCGTTGTGATTGCAACGATCCCTGTAGGAGTCGCCTGTGTGAGTGATATCGTGCGGACAATATATTGATCTTAACCGTGGACCAATACATAGTGGGGACTGTCGATTCGTCCACTACCACCCCCATCCTACAAAATCGCAACGGCTCAGGTCACCCATACTGGGTGTCCTGATCCAGAGACTCCAGTACAGTATGCCTGGTTCTTTGTAACATCCACTCCCATGTTTATCCTTTTATGCCCCAGGGCTTCAAGTAGGTGCAAACTCATGAATGTCCCAATGCATATATTCCTTGCATGCTTTCGGTCTAGGTTGGGCTGCAGCATGGGGTGGTCAAATGTTGTTTGATGCTCTTGTTTTCACCCTTACGCTCAGGAAGCTGATAAGCAGTCGTTCCCTTGGAAAACGGACATTCACGGCCTTGGCATTGCGTGATGGTATGTTTTCTGTTTCGAAGTTGGAAATGCGAAGTAACTCAATGTCGCCAATAGGTGCATTGTACTTCGCGTGCGTGTCGATTGTCTATATGTGACGGTCGTGATCATATCTGACTCTCGGGATATGGAAGTGTGATGACCGTTGCGAACGTCCCAAACATTACTACATTTTTGGTGGTAATTGATGCACACATGATCAACTTTTTTCGTGTTTTTGACTTCCTTATCCAGATGTCAGATGTGAGCATTTAGCTCGTCCCCTCGTTGCGGCCTCAGAGTCTGACACTTCGAAAGCCATTCAAAAGGTCGATGTTATCCGTTCCGACGAATACGTGAGTGTTATGCACTCAGACTCATGTTACGTGCAGTATATCACTCATGCATGTCGTGGGTGGTTTCCTCTCGCGAAGGCTTTGCACGGTGATGATCTCCAGGTTAATGATCAACCTTCGAGATCTGGAACGCAAGGTGGGCCTATTTTTCGTACCGTGGGGCTCGGTTTTGAATAGATGTGATACAGTTGACAACTGAGCCACCTGACTGTGGGCCAGTGGTCGGCCAGGCGATTCCACATGAAAGATGAGGATTCATCGACCGTCCGTGGAGTTCAGTGCATCCACACATTCTGAGTTTTAAAACGATTAAAGATACGTCTGGCTTACCCTGTAGTAGTATCTTACTTATTTATGTTGCTCTGGTCAAATTAGACAGCCTTGCCATTACGACTGGTACTTATACCGACGGCGGCCATGCCATATCCATGCCGCAGCCGGTAGACCCCAAACAGACAGCTGACTTGCGACTGTGTTTCATTGCGCCACCACTATTGTCTGCGGCCGCATTTCGGTTGTGCCTATGAGAATGACTAAGTACACCTTGGTTTGTATGGGGGAACGCTTTTCGCTCGGTTAACTCATCCCCATTTAGACCATCACGATACAGGGTCCATCCAGACACCGCGAAGCCAATAGATTGAAACAACAGAAGCAGGAAGTGACACGTTCATAAACTAATCATTGGACCGACGAGTCAATAGGGTAACATGTCAGTATCCGAACAGCTGCCTATTTCAGGGACACAAATAGGTGGTATACGCAAATTATGAGGACGAGTCCTGTCAATGTCGACCCGAATTAAAACCATTTAGATAGACTGGGCCGAGTTGGGAAGGAAATCTCAAGCCACGACGAGACCCATGGCAAGGGCGAGTGCCATACCGGCGCCTGCTGGAATGTATTGAGCGAGCGCGCCTCCGGTTGTGCTGGTAGACGACGGCGAGGAAGAACCACTAGTCCCGGAGGGAGAAGATGCTGAGGACGTGGCAGGGTAGGAGGAACCAAGTGCTTTGATTTCAAACGTCTCAGACGTTGCATAGACCTGATCATATCACAAAAGATGTTTTCAGGACATATAGACAAGTAAACATAAAAACTGACGTCGGTGGAGTTCAAAGGGTTCGCGAACTGGACGGTATACCCAGTTGCAGCTGGTTGCGTCGACTGTTGTTGTGTGATCGTCTTGGAGCAGTCATAATTTTCTTGGATGGCGATGATAGCAATGGGCTGAACGAGAACAGAAGGGTTCGAATTCGCGAGGCTATGTGGAATGCTTCATTCAATACACGTCCAAAAGTTCAAGCTAAATGCAACTGACAGAATGGTAAAGTTGGAATATGGAGACGTGTTGCAAGTCCAAGCAAGAGTGTTCGAGGATTGAGCAACTGAATAATGGTTGGACACGAGGTGAGTACACGTCCCCGGAAACAACAGCACTCATCCGACGTACCCCACCAAGAGTCCGAAGAAGGGTTGGTGATTGTCAATTGTGCAGAGGCAGCACCGACAAGGGCAGCAGCAGCGACAAGGAAACGGGTGAGCATGGCTTCGGGCAGAAGGAGATTGTAAAAGAAAGGAAGCAAACGAGCGACGAAGGCGGCGACGGCGTGCAGCGAGAGCGAAACTTGAAAAGCAGCAACCGAATTGGCAAATGCGGCCTTACCCGGCGAGTATTTTTAATCTCCGACGACGGGGCATGCCGACATCTGCCAACCTCCGCGATCGTTTTGAGGCCATACACCGTCAGGGGATTTGTACCACAAGTGACTACGGAGGGAGCGGGGTTATCCCACTGCAACCACAGCTTGTCAATCAGTTATATAAAGCACTCTGAAAACTGGTGCAATAACAGAAAGGTTGTCGTCCATGCGCCGACGGTCAACATATTAAAAGAGTCGTTGATCACTACATATACAGTACTACCTGAGCTCCCACCTCTTTCCAGGCCCAGCTTCCCCCCGAAAAGTTCCTGTTTTCTCGTTAATCCTAACCAAAAATGAAGTAAAGTTACACCCTTCTATGAGTGACCAGTGCTTTCGATATTCTGGGCGACCCGTTCAGCCCGTTCAGCGAGTAGCAGTTGATATTTAGAGACACCATCTGCCGCGTCGTGCATCATCCTAGGTCGGCGAAGAGAAATTGCTCAGTAATTGAGTTGTCACCTCTTTCACGAGGGCACGTACCGTCGAAGCGAGTCCAGACCATCATCTGGTACATAACCAACTGCTTCCATGAAGATCTTGCCGATGTTGGAAATGCGCTAGTGAACTCGTCACTGACTGGTCCTTGGATACAAAAAGCGGCTTACATGTGCTCGAGCCATTTGTACGTCTTGATCCACTGCTTCATCGTTCACGAAGCGGTCAGCCACCTGTGAACCAACGTCAGGCGACACTGGGGAAGGCAGAGCTAACGTGCCTCTTCTACAATTTGCTTGATCTCAATGGCAATTCCACCCCAACACGTTAGTAGGATCTGACATTTACAAACATTTAGCCAGCTAGCAGTGAAGGTTCGCGGGAAAAGTCACTTTTCCTGTAACGTCTTCTCTAAGTGTCCGCCGTTCGTTCTCGTCGTCTGCCCCAGCAAGCACTTCGTAAAGGAGCTTGATTTCTTCTACCTTGCACAGAATTTCGTGTCTGAATAACGAACGTTAAGAGTGAGTGCCACCGGGGTAAGGAATGTGATGCGCACCTATCAAACTCAACGCCCCGCCTTCGGGAGCTGAGATAAAGTAAGCTGAGAGGCGGCGAGAGATGCGACATGTCCTTACCCAAGTTTCCATCCTTGGTAGGTGGCAGCAATGGCTTGAAGAAACTATGCACCATCTCGAATGAGCGAGGAAGTTTTGATACAGCTAACAAACAGGAATAGACCTGCCTCTGTAGCGAATGGTGCCGACATCAACTCTATTGCCTTCCCCCACAGTTCCGTGCGGTCAAAAGCAAAGTGTTCGGGATCAGAATCGAGCTCCGGATCATCGATCTGCGTCAGGAATGTGACCAATCCCTCAATGCGTTGCTCCCGCTCTGTTTTACTTGCTTTCCTGTCGTCGGATTCTCCCACATTAGCGAACTACATCCTGAAGCGCACAGGTTTACTAACGAGAGCGCCCCAATGTCGCTGTCTGTCTCTAAATGGGACTCATCACTGACTTCCGCCTTGAATATTGAAGGTAGCTCGTCGAAGAAGGCCATCTCCCCTATCTGATTTTCACGCCAACGCAGATAACGTGAAATCAAAGGATAAAATGTGAATGTGAATGAATACATACAAAATTCTTAAAATTGCCGCCACCAAATATATCCGTCCAGAATTCAGCAGTAGCTTTGGGGTCCACTGACTCGCTTGAATCCATTGGTTCATCAAGTTTGTCCTCCTAGGACATGTACTCAGGAACTGGTGTATTGAAAGCAGGACGAAGGGAAACTTACCCATCCAACCAGGACTGAAAAGTACCGTCTGTGTTTTTGTGCATGACATGGGCACTTCCAGTGATAGATGAACGAGGGTTGAAAGGACTCACTGGATATTCCTGAGAGTCTCTAATAGCTCTGTGGAAAAGGATACTTGACGCCAGGACATAGGCGTCATCAACTCGCACAAGGGCGTAGTAGTGTCAAACTTCCTCCACGTCTTTGGATCTTGTGCGTCATCTTTTGATTCAGGTGGGGAATGAATCCTGCGTATCATAGTAGCACTCGGAACACTGTATGATTGTCGTCACTAGAGTTGCATCCGAAAGACGGAAAGACAAAGTATTCAGAAATGAGACGAATTGTTGGGTGACTGAAAGCGACCAGCCGACTGCATCATAGAGAGCCAAGGACAGATAGGGGTGGCGGCAGTTGTCGTCCCTTCGTGGACGAGCTATCAAAGGACCCATTCCCACTGGGCGCTTGTCCTTGTGGCGAATGCCACTTTTCATGGGGACAATTGGCACGTCGATGCCGAGCTTCTCGGCAAGGTCAAAGATGTTTCCTTGCTGCTCAAACTCTTCTCCGTTATACGAAAAACGGCCATAATCGCCCAGCTGCTTCTATTAGACATGCCGGTAGCCAAATATATGTTGGCCTCACCTTCATTTCGGACTTCGCCAGGAGGAGGCGTGCAGAATGAGAATCGAAAAGGAAATCACAATATGCACAACACGATCCGATGGAGTAATCCCACATAAGTCCAGAAACTTCTGGAGTAGAAGCGACCTGCAAGGATATAACCGTTAGCCAATGCAGATCGGTGTTGGCACAGAAAGTAAACTAACATGATAAGATGTATTCTCTAAAGGCGAACAGCAACCGGAACATCGGGCCACGTCGATCGTGACTGTGCACTCCGCTTGCTCACCGTACGACCTCTTAGGAACCACTCTCACACCCTGAATAGACCGAGGCAGGTGGGCGTGCTTTATGTTTTCCCAGGATTCGTCGAAATGTCTTCCCAAGGCACGAAGGCGCAGGAATGCCAGCTTGTCCTCGTCCAATGCGCTGGGACAGAAAATGACCGATGTATAGTATAGGTCACAGAAGTAAACAAGCAGCACTGAAAAGCGAGTGTTATCCTTGTCATGTTCGTAGGTGATGAGTGCGAAGTCATTAGTCTTTGATAGGATGATCCGACCGTCTTTTGCTTCTAGTCTTTCGGGTTGCACTCGGTGCAGGGAGAAGCCGTCATGGGAAAGTGCCTGACAATCCAGTTTGAAGATGAGACTGCTCTCGCACTTGGCACTTTCATAAGGGAGGAAGTGCTGCTTGAATTCCACCGTCCTAGTCGCAGGCTTTGGGAAGCGGCCAAAGAATCGGATACGGTTGAAAGGAAAAAGCGCTACGTTTATGGTTATAAGGGACCTATCGCGAGGGTCGGTGTCGTCCTTCCATCGATTGGCTATTTGAGAGCATGCTAACTTGACCTCGGAAATTGGCCCAAAGGTTGCGGTGGGTAGCCATATCTGTATGCCATCATTACTCACGGTGAACTTGCGGAATCGTTTGGCAGGAATCTTGCCGAGCTTGTCTTCAGGGATGTCTTTTTCAAGGGCCTTCATGAATCCTTCCGGTGTCAGCGAAACGATATCAGAACAATCCCTGAACCAGCTGGGGTCTTCCGCTAAGAAGCTGTCGGACAACCCAGTGGTCCTTGACCAACCCCAGGCGAAGATAGTTTGATCATTTGACTTGCGAAGGATTTCCAGCTGCAAACGACGAAAGGCATTCTTCCCTTCTCCGTACAACATCGGCATTTGCACGTCAAGTAAACCCAGTAGCGAATATGCTCGATCCTCCTCCCGTGTTGTCGTCCGGTCAGAAGCCCAGGACATGATTTGGGCTACGCTGGGACGCATGCCACCGAGCCCGATCTCCAAAACTTCCGTCGGAATTCGCGTAATGCGGCGGAGAGTGGACCCAAGTCGTTCCTTGTCGCCTATACACTCCCAGTTCCGATCGAAGAACTGGATGTCACTGGGTGCGATGAGTTCTTGAAGGGTCCAGCCTCGGGAAAACCACTTTGGAGTGACCGTCGACTCGTCCCAGTGCGTCAAAGTGTCACCAGCAGTGTCATGGAGATAGACGTAGCACCGTTGCGCTCTTCCGTACCACTCGTGACATGGAGTTGATTGCTTCTGATAGTTCGGCGCTGCTCTTCTTATCAATACAGCAAGTGTCGGCCCAGACCCACTCCAAATCATCTTTTTGTGTTTGTTTGCAGGTGTCGATTATTTTCTTGTATCCGGTGCGCCCTCTAATCTGATTCCTCTCTTCCTCATCCGTGATCAGGAGCCGCTCCATCTCCTGAAACGACACTTCTTCCTCCGCCGCACCCCAGCAATGCGACAATATGGCATATTTCTTCTCAGCAAGGGTAGGGCCATAAAATTCTTTCAGCATCTTGGCTGAGCGAACAATCTCTTTCCCTTCGACGATAGTCGTCTCGACATTGAACATCGTAGCAACATGGATGAGTCGCATCCTGTAACTGTGATCAATGGGCGAGTCTGCACCACGATCCTTCGAAATGACACGAACTCGACGACGAGTGTTTCAGAACACGGTAGACCTGGTAAGACGAAAGGGCAGTGATGAAGTAAACTCTATAACGGTGCTGCGCTGACAAGCGAGCAGCGAAGGATTACAAGCGTAGGAAGGTGAGCAAGAGCAAGTGGCCGTTCGACGTTCAACCGTGGAGGTTAGAGCAGCGGGCTCTGTGTCTGTGTTTGGCAGAGGTATAAGTAAGGGCCATAAGGAACGTTCGTGTCCTTCGGTGTCAAGACTTAGACATGATAACGACCCTCCTGACGGGTATATGGGAATAGCCTGATCAGTTCGTGAGCAGAATGAATGGAGGTTTGGGTCTGGCGGCGTGCCGGACTGCCTGAACCTGAATGTGTCACCGACTCGCCGGGTCTAGAACTCGGTTTACGCCGGCGTCTACTCCAATTTGCGCATGAACAGGAACACAGTGCCTGTACGAGGGGATGAAAGCTGGTATGGATGCAGCGTGAGGCCGTGACACACGGTGCATGGGTTAGTACATAATTGGTACGAATGACAGCGAGAATGTACCTTGCTGCTCAATTACCAAGTCCACGACGATTGACGTGTCGAGACGCCTTCGTCCAAACGTATCAAGTGCCTCTGAATGTTATAGCGAGCTCGGATGCCAGTCGCGGCCCTTGAGAAGTTGAGAGGTGCTTTTGCTCACCAACTCGGATCGTACAGCCATCCAAGGTCGCTTTCGTCGCGAGGAATGCGAATTCGCGATACCCGACTGATCTGCATCCAGTCTTGCACCTCCTGCCCTCTTCAGACCACTCTCAATCTCTCTCCTTCGACAAGGATGCCTGCGAGACTGAAGACAGATAAATCTCCTGTAGCAACAGGTTTCGCCAAGGTAGTTTGAGAGGTCTGGACTACTCGTGGCACCGAGGCTCTGAAAGAGTAGTATGAGGTGATTCCATGCGTTTTCTCGACGTTGTGTATTAGGCTCGCAGAAACCGATTATTCTGTTGCCTATCTGGTAGCTTGGGCCCTCTGACATGTTGAATAGATCTTACAGCTATAGGGCGTGCTGTGTGCAGGCGGGGTAAAACATAGGTACGACACAGAGCCAGGCAGGACAAATATTGTGAGAGTCCTTTCCATCCTAGTTAACCCACCTTTCAGCGTATTCAAGTCCTCCAACGACCGGTCCCTTATTAATTGATCGCTCTGACGAGCTTTCGCATCTAGGCTCTCGTTTGAAGACACGATTAGAGATGCCTAATGCTTCGAATCGTATCTCGACTGTTCTTTCCCCAGTCCAACTTATCTCAGTGGCCAGGACTCGTATTCCACGTTTTACGTCTCAATAAAGCGTTCGGTTGACCCGTGGTCCATTACACCTGTTTTCACCAGAACACCCACACTGCTCTTTTTTCCGCTTGCTCATCAATTGCTTTGTGTCAGTCATTATACACTTTCGCGGCCAAGGCCAGTAATTAAAAAAATCCACCAGGATGTGAGTGATACTCTCACGATGACTGGTTAATCTCTTTCCGCCATTGCCGGTGACACCTCCCCGGGAAAAGTTGCCGCAATCGTTTTGGAGCTTTTAGGGGCAGCGGGCATCACCTCACTTTGGGTTTCTTGTGCTTGCAGGCGTGAAGGGGACGCTAGACTCTTCATGGCATCTCGGCCCGCTCGAAGGTGAAGTGTCTATGAGGAACCCGAGCACGTTTATGGACTCACAGTATGGGACTTGCGACCCATAATGAAGACCCACATGGCAACGTCTTTTTTTTTCTTTCGAAAGTTCCCCCGCACTTGAACGCTCGAATACCGTCAACAAGCTTCCATCCTACCTCGAAGAAGAAAAAAACCGACGCAGCGACGAAATAACGAACTGGTTGTACATCCCAAATATGATTAACTCCTAACGACCCATTATCAATCGAAGATCACGTTGCAATATACATCAAAACCCATCCCATGACCGTGCTAGGAGAAGCTTTCTTTTTCAGGTTAGGATCTCTCTTTGCTTTGACGCGTCGTCTAGGTTCTTATTAGCTATACCTCACTGATTTCTTCCTTTCGTACCTTGCCCTCTTGTTCATGCATTGGTAACTGATCATTCGTAGGATAAAATACCCACTTTGTCATGCATTTCAGTGTTTATAACTTTCATGACGCTCTTCATGCTTTTATTTTATTTTTGGAAAGAATACATCCATAATGTTGCTAATAGTGCTCAATAACATGCAACTGGGGATCAGGTTATTCGAATTTTGCCTTTAAACTAACGAAGGGCTTCAAGCTGCCACCCACGTGAAGCTTCTCGAACAAAGGTGGGACCCATAAGTACTATGAGGGCGAACGCCATGTGTAACTCTAATGATACTGAATCTAAATGTGGATTATCCATCTTTCGTTCTCGCTGGTCGCACGCGCAAGAGAGCAGCCCTTAATGGGCAATGGGTCAACGTCTGAACCCCCTCTTCCCAGTAATCTTACCGCTCAGCGCCAGGCTTGCGTCACCCCCTTCCACCACTACAGGCTGTACAATCGCTGAGATAATCCGCGCTGCGTTCGTCACCTCGTCATATTGTCTGTGGTGCTCTCCGTCCCCCCATTCCGCGTGTTCACCTTCAATAGCACAAATATGTACCACACAGCTAATTCCCGGGAGCCTTCTTCGTGGGCACGAAGAGCCACGACAAGGTGATGAAAAAACGGATACCAGCACCGACCCCGAGAGCCCCTGCTGTTCCGATTTTGTCAAGGACGACACGACCTGTGAATCCTCCGATGAACAGGAAGAGGATGGCTATAACCTTGTGGTCGCGTGCTTTAATTAGCCGGCGGAAGTGGAAGAGTTGGGGTTCGGTCACGAGTTCGCACCATGTTGAAGTTAGGACGACTGTGGAAAGGGTGTCAGTATGTCGCGGGGGAGTGAGGGCAGAGGGGAGACAAGGACGCGAGGGAGGTATTCGACTCACCAGTAGTTGTAAATTGGGTATTTAATCTCTTTCCCATAATCCCTTGTAAACCCATGCTAGCACTCATAAACACGATGCACACAAACGAAAGCACGTTGCTCCAGGTCGGGTCAGTACTGGAATCCAGAAGACTCAGTTGTCCAGATTTCCGAACGGCGATAGCCGCCGCCATAGTGAAGACTGTCTGAATGAACGTGCCGAGGGTCACCCATAGACGCGTCTGGGAGCCGATCTTATCGCCAAATCGGCCGATGAAAGCACCGAAGAGGAAGGAGAGCAGAGAGCAGAGGGCTCGACGATCTGCGAGGTCGAAGGAGTAGTTGTGTGAACCGTTGAAGAAACGTGCTAAAGAGAGGGAGAGCTGATTGGCACATACATCAGGAGTAGTATAGGGATGAAATGGAGTAAGCATACTTGGAGGCTGTTTCCTGTCTGGAACGCACACCATACGAACATCAGGGAAAGACACACCGCATCACTACCGGATACGGTGGCTTTAGACAACGGCGTAGTGCAGATAAAGCAGGGGCGTACATGAAACCGGTCGTGAAGCAACAGGCAGTTAAGGGTGCAGAGGCGCGTGAACCGTCGATCTCTCCCATAAAAAATTGTCTTAGACTGTTCATCCTGGGAGAGCTGGGCCCATCTTCCGCATCGGACGAGTCCCTTCGCCTACTCTGAACGACAACGGGAGGTGGCAGGTCTCCTTTCCCCCTTACTTGTGGATCGGAAGATTGAAGGTTATCGCTCGCGCCTTGCACGTGAGACTGCTGGGCTGGGTTGCTGCTGCCTTGGTCTTCCTGGACGGGGTTGACATATGAGACAGGGCGCGTGGTAGAAATGAGAGGTTCAGTCTGGGCTTTGAAGGACTCCGTCCTGCGGAGAAACCACCCCCAGGTCGTCTTCGAGGGCGACATTCTTTTTCTCCTTTTTCTTTTTCGACCTGGTGGGTTGGGACAGGAAGGAGTGTTGGGTTATCACCTGTTATCGTTCGGGCGACTATTCGGCTTAACAGTTTGACAAGAGCGTGCACGCTAGGCACGCCCTGGACAATTAGAGTGTTCGATATCATTGGTCGTCAGGCGCGAAATGAAAAAGGTCACCATGATGATGGTGATGATGATGATGATATCGCGCGCGTGCAAGTATAAAAACCGGCACAAAACGGCCGATCATTGAAGCAAGAGTGCCAATCTGCGGAGTCGTGACTACTAGCGCATGTGGAAAAAAAGCGGTGGTGAAAGCGCTTGTAACAGCTTACGGGCCAACCCGACTCGGAGCATTCTTATTTGACACGTGAAAACGTGGGCTCCTGCATACGGTTGTTGGCTGCTGGGATGAGTTGGACCGACGGAACGGCAGAGAATCTAGAGATACGATTCGGAGCACGATAAGCGCTGGGCATTTCTGGTCGCATCTTCAAACGAGAGCCAAGATACGAGAAAAACCTCGGCCTGGCCGTCGGAGGACTTGAAGGCGGCTGAGAAGTGGGTTTGAATAGATCTTCCAACCCGTCAGAGACTGATACGTGAATACAGCAAGTCCTCTGTAGGTCCTCCAACTGCTTACTGACTCACGGTCAGCATCGGTCGTCCTGACGAAGGATCGCAGATAATCAAGGGAAGGTCAGTTGGTGGGGACGACGCGATCAAAGACCAGTTCTTTTTTTTTTTTTTTGGGAGTGATATACGCGAAATCCTGCGCGATCTACTCAAAGGTCCCACGTCGCCCTGGAACACGAACACCCTACTAGTAACCGAAGGGCGTAAACCAACTGCAACGGGTCATACCCTCCTGTGGCAACGAAGTTCTGAGTCATGAAGTGGTAAGAAATACCAAGTGACATCCCCAGTAGCAATAATCCTGAATCTTGCGGGAGGAAAACTACCGAACGCATTCGAAGCCCAAATAACATGCACGTATTATTCCAATGTGCGACAATCCAACAGTACCGTATTACCAAGCGACGCAAACTAGATTACACCATGAAAGGAAAATATACTATGAGCTACAGTCTCAAAACTCTCCAAGAGTGAGTGTGATTAGGCAGTGTGATATACTTCGCTGTAAGTTGCGGGACTCCACGGTTCATCAGTGAAGCCCTGCACTGTTGATACGCCAACCTAGGAGTAAATTGATAGTTGCATAAATAAGCATTGGGAAATTGCATATCTGGGATGGAAAACCCACAACTGTGGTATATCAATCATGGGTGCAACACGCGTACTGCAGACAAATAGACTGACCTCGACTTTTAGGATCCCGAAGATTCATCATCAATCTCGATATCATTGCCGCACAGAGCCTTTTTCAGATAGGAAAGTATGGGCGATGTGCTGCGGGCGTAGAACGGACCAAGAAAGCACTCACAAGTTTGTCGGACTGGATAGGACTGACTTCACCCATGGCTATTCGTGGCGTCGGATCCAATGCGTTCAGGTGGACCAGAATACGGAATGAATTGTTGACTCACATTTGCTACCTAGATTAGAGGGAATAATGATGAGACGAAAGTGGCTTGGCTGTGGACATGTGCTTACCAGAAACACGATAATATTTGCGACGTTCATGACTGTCATCACGCTGTCACATTTCGAGGATTAGATCGTGGCATATACCAAGGAATGGACACACGCACCCGAAGTATAAGGTGCCTATCGGCAACATGAGTAAGGTTCCAACTTCAAGAGAATGAGCGCACCGTCACGTATCAGCATGTCTATGAAAGTTCGTTCGCCCCTGGTACCGATACGCGCCAACTTCCAAAGTGTGAAGACAAAAATGAGGGCGTCGAAGAGAAGTTGCCCGCCCCATGCGGCGGCGTAACCTAACATGCATAAGCACATCAACGGAAAATACACAAATCGGCGCCTACGTAGAGCCCTGGAAATGCGAGCGTGAACGTAGCGGCGGGCATTAGAAGAAACGAAACATACTGTGATGGGTAGATTGGTCCGAGACAGCCAGCTAGCACCATGTATTTCGGTGGTGGAAGTGGCGGTCCGCGATATATAAATGCCCACTACGCATCACCTCGTGACCACGATCCATAAGCCACGCAGATAGCTCTACTTACGCAACAAATTCCTGCAGATATCAGAGCCACCGTGACAAAGAGGGCCAGAACTCGTCGGTCTTGGTCATAGAAGGCGTACACCCGCATCATCATGATTACTAGCGCACCGCTCAAACGGGAAGATCCTAAAGGAAAGACTCTGCTCACTTGCTCCAATGAGTTGAAGAACAGCCATGATGAGTTGATCGGTCATGTGCAGACTCTGGCACCTGGAGGTAGCATCGAGTAAGAGAGGAAGCATGATCCAGGCCGATTCATCCCTACCCCTATGGGGGATGGTCAGCGCGGTTGGACGTGGTTAAGCATTTCAACGCACTGGGCTGTTCGAACCGCCGCTGTGCGGGAGAAAATTTTCCAGAAAAGCAGGAACACGGCCCAAGAGGCCTATGTATCGGTTGGCGATGAAGAGAGCAAACGCCCACGTCCGACGCGGTTGACACCAGAACAGATCGACCTCCCTTCCAAACGTAAGTGTGTAGTCGTACAGGAACAACACTGGGGACGCATCGTGAGTTAGTCGAGGCCAAACGGGCCGTTCTACCCTTACCATATGCTGCAACATTGAAGCATGCAGCTACGTTACTTTCGCGGTTTTTGGATCAGCCAGCAAGAAGAAACGGACGGATATAGCCACTTACATTCCAGGGTACATCATCTCGAACGTGGAGAGGCGGAAGGGAGGCGAGGGGAGTTCCTTATACAAGGTTCTTATATAAAGACATCGATAGACTAATTAGGCCTAGACTCCCAGTCAAAGGGAGGCGTCGACCAATGATAGGGTTGCTCGTTCTGCAAGGACGGCAAGTAAGCGTAATAGAATAGAAGTATGGAAAGGACGAACGATTCAGTACTGCACCTATCAAACGACGCGCGTGTCTAGAACTCAGAAAACACGCCCAATGGGCAGACTGCGAAGTCATATTTGGGGCGTTGCAAGTCCACCTGGCCGAGTAGCATTCAAAGTCAGATTCTGAAATGAAAAGCTAGACTCGGTTGAATGGGCGCTAGCCCTGAGTTGTACACATACAATTGCCAGGACCCTTGCTGTGCACGAGGGCTGGCGTGCTTGCCCTCCAGATGCGGCTGTGCTGCGGGTGGAGCACGCCCCTCCACACATGTACCCACAGCTCATGCTCTCCTCGGAAGATGGTGTGCCGCATGAGTGTGCTGTTGCCATGAGAATCCACAAGGGTGCGACTGTGATGCTCGTCGCGACGATAACTCCTGACACGTCAAAGAGTGGTGCGCTCCAGTCGAGCGCATGTCTTACTTTATTCTGTCTCACCGACGCTTTCACTCATTCGCAGAGCTCTGGTCCGGTGCTGGATACGCTGAGTCCCGCTGGGTAGGACTGCCGGAATGCATTTCCAAAACCGAGCGCGGTCTCCGAAACGAACTTGAACACCTTCCAAATATGGATGGCGACGCTCCTCGTCTGGCCTGCAGCGAAGCATCGAGGAAGAGAGTCGCATCCCGGAACGGATTCTCCATTTCTGTGTCCCTGACTCGACGATGGCCCGTGCGCTGTTCCTCTCTGGCGACTCTGCTTTGCGATGCTATAAATGCCGGGGAGGGTCGTCGCATACAATCAATCCCCCCCTTCTTCTTCTTCTCCTTCTTCTCCTCTTCTCCATCTCCCTCGTCGCACGAGCGCTGCTTTTATCCCCCTTACACTCCAGGACCACAAGGTTACATAATTATTCTCCGCTGAATCCGCCCAAATTAAACTTCTTTCACGTCACATTAAGTACAATCGATCTCCACCCATGAATGCGTCCACCTCAGCCTCCTGCTCCAGTAGCACTGTCAATCCCACCGTCCCTTCCTGTGAAGCACAAGGCTGTCAAGGCGGCAGATACCCTGAACACAACAGCGCCTAGGCCAGAAAAACCTCCAGCATCTGCCCAACATCCCTCCGCGCCACCCCCTCAGTCAGATCCTTCTTCGAATATCAATCTCAGTACCAGCAACTCCATGGCTTTCTTGCACTCAGATAATCAGACTAATTCCCTTTCGAACAGTACGTCTTTCATCCTCTTCACACCCTGACTGTTACTCGAACGGCCTCGTCTCGTAAGATAATCCAAGCGAATTTCCTTCCGAAACCCTTCTAGAACAGCTCGAATCCAGCACAGCAGATCCTTTGTTACAGGCGAAGATCCAAAATCGTATCACACGTGAGCCCCGTCTCTCATCTGTGGCTTCGCGTTTGAGCATGCATGCGAAATGTTGTAGCTTCCTATAGCTTTCCTGGTGCATCCGGTATCGAGTATTCACGACACCGCACTGAAGAGGTTGCAGAAAATATCTCTTCGGCAGGATCGACATCGCCTACTAGCACGGACCCAGAGAAATCTATATCGACGCAGCGCACTCCAAATATTTATATCAACGGTCTTCCCCCACATTATTCAGAGCAGGACTTGTTCGCGCTTACACAGCCTTTCGGCGAGATCAAGAGCGTGAGGACATTTACCAGACACGTTAGTGAAAAGCCAACGTCAGTAGTTCCAGTTGTCCCAGACGCCCTTCCTGACCGTCGTTTGTTTCTGACAGCGGCTATGGTTTTGTCCTGTAAGGCATCGTGCCCAGTAGCTGTCTGCCACACCTGCTGACCTAAGACCGTCACGGCCAATCGATCAGGTTCAACGACATCAAATCTGCTGAGCGATGCATAGAGGGTCTTCGAAAGTACCGTAACCTCCACCCATCTTTTTCCAAGGTTCGTTGGTCCTCCCTTCGATCCGCCGAGTCTTGCTCATTGACGCATAGCAAATACACCGTATCCCGGGAACTATATACGCGCAACAGAGTATAGCACAACCTGCCGAACACGACCCAAGCTCATTCAAGGCACGAATGGAGGGGCTAAAGGACGAAACATCAACCAATCTCTACATTGAAGGGTGAGGAGCTAATGCTATTTACGTACCATATACGACCGACTGAGGTTGCGCCAAGTCTTCCCCTAACGATCAACGAAGAGGTAATAGACAGAAATGTTTTCACTGCCAGCGGCCGACTGAACCGAACGCTTGGGTTTTATAGAGTCTCGCCTCGTTGACGGCCCCGCACAAGATTAAAAGTAGCCGGTTCTTCAAGACCAAACTGAGCGATCCTCCTCGCATAATTGCTTTCGTCCGGTGAGTTCGTCACCCCTTTAGTCCTGTAAGGAACTTGACTCTACTAAATTTCCCAGTCTGGAAACGCGTGCGGCCGCAGAAGAAACGATCGAAAATCTGCACGGCAAAATGGTCCGAGGCTGGAACGATCCTGGCTGCCGAGTCTCTGTGCGTTTTGCAGATAGTCCTGAACAACGGGAGTTGCGAGTAAGTAGAGTCTCATACCAGCAAGGATGGTGCTGACAATCACAATCCCCCCCACAAAGCGCGCTGAGCGGATGTTGAAAAGCGGGGACAACTCACCTTCCCGTTTAACGATTGCGCAAGCCGCACTGCTCAATCTTCGGGGCCAAGAACTGCAAACTGATTCACGCAAATCTCCTAGACTCTTCCAGTACCAAGACCTCCCTCCAGCTGAGAAACGAAGCCCGAATTATTTCCTGCAGTCGCAGCCAACCCTCGATTATTTGCCCATTTCGCAACCGCTTCCTGTTTTGCCCTCACTACCCACTAACTTGGGCTATAATCTGTACAACTCACCCGTGTTTCCCGTGAGAGATTTGCAGGGAAATGCGGAGATGGATATTCTTCGACAATCAATGCAGGGTCTCGGCATGGAAGAGCCGATGTTCGATAATCCTTTAAAAAGCAGCGCGCTCGGCATTGATTACCAAACGGCTCAGACCTCGCTTCGATCGCTCGCGGGTACCAGGTCGGTATCGAGCGTTCCACCTGCACGTCACCGCGGGCAGACTCAAGCACACAATGGCTTCACTCCTGCAGAGGAGGTGATTCTTCAGGCACATGCTGGGCGTCTCCGGATACAAACTCACTCGACGAATGGTTCACACCTTTCGGATGCAGACTTACCGCTTAATGTCCCAGCTACGCAGGAATTCATGAACAGTCAACCCTTCCTGAGTGCAAATCGATTGCACACCACACCGAACCAGTTCCAGCTTGGGCGACTACGAACAACAAAGTCTTCTCAGGACCTTCTGCCGACCATATCGGAGGACGATACCCACGCAGTCGCAGGAAATCCGCGGCTTGCGGCACAACCAAACCCCATGGCCATGCCGGGCCAGGAAGCACTCCATAGTTATCTATCTGCGAATGGCAACGAAGCAGACGTCAAACTCAAACAAGCTAGCCGCGCTATCAGAATCACCACATCGAACCAAGACGAGAAAGCTAAGAGCTGGAGGCATCTCCGGTCAGGCGCAATGGGTGCGATTGGCAGCCACCGCAATCAATCTCAGCCCCCTACCACGTCTATACGTCAGCCAGTTACCACCAGACTATCCTTTTCAGACGACGATTCATATCATCAATCGTCTGTTCCCTCGAACAGCTCCACTACCATAGGTCACTCCAATGAGATCAACGCCGAACGTGTTTACCCGCAGGACGGAGGGCGGACTAGGCAGGTTGAGAGTCGCAATAGGGCGCATGTTGGTCTCGCCCCAAGGGTGACGACCCACCACGCCAATGCAACCTTCTCACCTTCCTGCGGGGAACCTGCGAGGATGAACGAACTGAAGTCACCCACCGTCGTCTCGCCCGCCCTGACCAATTCCTCGCGTTCTCCGTCTACCCTCAGTCCATCCACGCCCTTCTCCAGTTCATTCGGAAGCATGCACGATATGTTTGATGTGGTGACGATAGACAACGAGGACGAGATGGAGAAAGACATTAAGGTAAAGGTCAGATCCAAGTAAACTGTTTTGAGGTTGCCACAGCCGCGCTTGTCTCTACGTTGTTTTCGACCGCACATTTTGAACTATCTTGTACATCGTTGAACTAGCGCAGCCTCCCATCGATGTATGCGTACAGGTACTGTTTTTGTCGTAGCCCTTGTGTAGACGTTGTCTCTGTTTTGATTGTGGTACTTATGTACGTGGTGGTCCGGGCGGGTCGAGTGGTACATGGGTGTTAACAAGACATACCGTTTATTGGAAATACATTACTTTCTATGCATGTCCCACGCCTCATGATCAGTTAGTCTGAATACCAGACCCATCTAATGAGGCAAAGCCATCGATAGAGCCTCAGTTGGAAGTAAGATGGAAGTTACTCGTTACTAATTAGCTGGCGGTGGAACCGCTCAGAAGTATCCAGTATTTCAGGCGTCGTGAAGGTAGACGCCAAGGCAAGAGCGGGAGCCAGATAGACCCTATCGGCCACTGCCCTCGTCGATGTTTAGTACTCCATCGTACGTTCTCGAGTTGTCTTGTGCAGTGTTGATTGGCTCGACCTCAAGCTCCTAACGATGCATCCGGTTTTCACTTGCCAAACCATTAGCATTAGTAGTTTTCATCTAGATTATCAGATAAGCTTACCACCATCACCTCGGCACCGCAAACGTCGACTGTATGCTTGGCCGTCTTACGGCCAATTGTAAGTTCTCCGAGTAGCATTATCGCGGCCATCATGGTTAAATAGCGTGCACCCAAGGCGGGCGGTGTTTGACCGAGTTGGCTTCACGCTATCGGATCGATGAAAACATTCCTCTGATCAACTCTGATTCTAGCACTAGTATCGGTTATCATATACATATATCACTTCGTGGGGACAGCGATCCCCCTACCAGCCTACGAAAACTGCGTCAACAACACTGAGTGCTAAACCCTAATTGCTACGATGAACCTCCCCACGAACCCAACGGCAGGTGCAACCGCGCAGTCCTCTCCATCCGTCGACTTCGGGGTCGGATATGCCCCTACGACCGTCTCCGCTGGCACCGTCCTCACAGATATCGTCTCTGCAGAAGACCCACATCAGTCACTCAAATACTTTGGTGTCAAGTTTATCCGCGTCCAATGGGTCGACCTCTCCAACTTCATACACTGCCGCATTTTGACGATCTCGCACTTTTACAAGCTCCTCCGCGAGTCTCGTCCGGGCGTTGCGATCACGAAGGCTGCACTCGGACTCGTCTTCCTGACGCTGACCGAAGGATTTGGTGTATGTGGGGAGTATATCCTTGTCATGGACCTCTCGAGTGTGAGGTTGTGTGGATATGCGCCCGGGCATGCAGCCGTATTTGGATACTTCCAGGAGAAATACCCACTTGGCGGCAAGTTGGATGTACCCTTGTGCCCGAGGATGAATTTGAAAAGGATCGTAAAGTGGGTACTCTGCCGATATACCCAGAGAACGAGAGGTATTGATGGCATCCTATGTGCAGATACGCAGAAGAAGAACTCAAGACAAAGTTCCTTGTTGGCTTCGAGACCGAGTTTATCCTACTTACAATTTCGCAATCTGGTATCAAGGCTCCGAACAATCACGGGTGGTCAAGGACTGCTGCGCTCGCGTCAGGAACAACGGAGCTTACCGTGCTCGAGGAGATCGCGGATGCCCTCACCACATCTGGCATTGAACTTCAGATGTTCCACTCAGAGGCCGCGCCAGGGCAGGTTAGTCTTCTGACACGTTTTGTCGTATGTAACGCAAGACAATTTCGTTTTAGTACGAAGTCGTTACCGGCCCACTTCCTCCGCTTGAGGCTGCAGACGCGTTGGCCCATACGCGTGAGACAATCTATAACATCGCCAGAAAGCATGGCATGCATGCCACCCTTGCACCAAGATTGTACGCCAATAGCTGTACGTCATTGTTTTGAACATCTGTTACTTTTTTGCAGTGTATCTTGACGAGTTTTACTCGGCTCTCAACAGGTGGAAGTGGGGCGCACACCCACATCTCCGTTCACTCAACTTCTGGACCCTCACCACCCTCTGAACTCCATCCGTCCGTTCTCACCACTCATGAATCCCGATTCCTCGCCGGCCTAATGGCACATCTTCCCTCTGTCATTGCTTTCACCCTTCCTCTTCCCCAATCATATGCACGCATGACAGACGGAATTTGGTCTGGCGGAACATGGGCATCCTGGGGAGTCGAGCACAAGGAAGTACCCGTGCGACTTACGAACCCGAGCTCACCGCAGACGAGAAATTTTGAGGTCAAGACAGTTGATGGTACTGCAAGTCCTTATCTCGTTCTAGCCGGATTGATCAGTGCGGGTATCATCGGTATCAGAGACCAGTTGGAGTTAACAGTAGAGGGTTGTGGAGAGAAGGCGGCAGCTGAGTTGACGGAAGCGGAAAGGGCGGAGAAAAGGATTACGAAAAGGCTTCCATTGGATGTGGAGAGTGCACGGCAGTATCTGCTGGAAGATCAAAAGATAGGAGAAGTGATTGGGGAGGAGGTAGTGAGGAAGTATGTCGCTGTGAACAAGGCAAGTCCATCTCATCTCAGGTTGGCTTTCCCGAGTTTACTGATGGGGGTGAGTGTCTTCTAGACTCTTGGGGGACTGATTGTGCAACAAGAAACTGAGAGTGAAGACGCAGCTGTTGTTCGTCTTGTAGAAACATACTGAGGCGTGAATATGTGTCGTGCTATATGATTACTGCCACGCTCATAACCGCTCGGGTCGACCTGCACGTGTTTATGGAACCTGATCAGTGGTGCATATTCATTTAAACTTTGATAGTGGTAACACGAATAGACATAAAGGATACCAAGAACATGGGTATCTAAAGAAGTCCACAGTAACGCGCGTGGTGTTCAAGTCCAGACATTATACGCAGGTATTTCAACTAAAATGTAGAGAAGAATGTATAGACGGGTTTCAACCATAACGAGCAGTACGATTGGTTCTGAGACGCACATTCCGTCTTAAAGATTAGTGGCGAGGATTCTGTTGGATAAGCTCAAGAGCCTTCGCAGAGCGGGCTTTGATAGAACACTTGAACAGCTTGGGGTGGCTGCAGGAAAGAAGGCTCCGGGATTCGGAAACCTGTGAAAAGACGAAGGGCGCGCACCTGATGGTACCAGAGGAAGGATCAACTTCCGGAGTGATCTCAACTCCATTCTCAACCACCTTCGAAATCTCGAAGACGGCAAGTGACATAGCGACAGTGAGCCACACCGAGGCATCAGCGAAGGTGCAAACCTGTTGGTATATATTAAATCCATTCACTAGCCCGTCCAACAGCAGAGATCGGGCGGGGACAATACTGACCAGGACAGACGCTGCAAGAAACGATGTAAGCATGCCAATGAAAACTGATTTTATCTGTCCGATCTCACCGTCGTCCCAAATCCGAAGCAGATGTTGCGGGGATCAGTTTGCAGTGGCTTACCCTCTCCGGGAAGGAAACGATTCGGATTAAACTCCATAGGGTTGGGATAGATGGAAGGATCATGCAGCATGCCCCTATAAAGATGGCTGTATCGCATCACCGTGTCGATGGTCATCTGCAGTAGAAGACTTGCCAGATATTGCTTATCACCAGAGTTCCCCTGGGGATATAGTAGCCGTTATGAATGTCGTCGACGGTCAGGCGGTGCGGTAACACTGAAGTAAAATTGGTGTAGCATTAGCAGTGAGGTCATGGGTGAGACGTACCGACAGGAACGACGGCATGCCAACGGTAGACTTCTTTGACAAGAGCCTCGACATAGGGAAGAGATTCGCGATCCGCGAATGTAGGAAGACGGTCAGAACCAATGACGGCGTCTATCTCTGCTTGAGCCTTCCTTTGAACCTCCGGATAGAGCGTCATAGCCAAGAAAAACGCGTAGTTAGAAGAAACGGTCTGCGGAACGTTTGTCTGTTTACCCTAAACATGGGATATACGACTCACTGTATCTGCACCACCTGTAAAATCAGGACATGAGCGTTAAAGCAGATCAGAAGAAACTGGTAGCATACCGGCAAGCATCATCCCAGCAGTCCACTTGATATCATGCTCTTCCTCAGTCGATGCTTTGCGTTCCAACAGGTCTGAGGTGAGTGATTTACAAGCAATTCCAGCGGCCTAGTTGACATTGTGAGTAACGTCATAGTATTTTTCCATCAGCTACTTGACCATCTGCTTCTTGGCAAGCTCGAATAATTGGTTTATCATATTCAGGAGATCTGCGTGGCACTCTCTTGCTTTGCGTTTGAAGCCAGCGCCAGGGAACCACTCTGGAACGTACGCCACTGGCAAAAACAAATCAGTTGACCGCACTGCGACCCTGATTGTTTACTTACAAGCAGGGATACTGTCGACCATGAAAGCACCCACAGCAGTGTATCGGGCAAAATCGTCTATGACCTTCCCAGCAAGGTCCACGAAAGGATCGCCGCCTTCCCGAATGCAATACCCATATGAAATACGCAAAATAATAGCTCCTGCAGTCCTGTAGCAAAAGGTAACACAAGACGAAAGCAAGGCATTTCACATCTAACGTACGTGCGCAGGTGGGCATTCAAGTCAGCAGGCTTGGCCAGGACGCGTTCGCAAGAACTTATGAGTCTCCATTTCCTCAATAGGATGATATACAGAAACAGCGGTGCGGCCGCCAAGGACGCGGTGGAAGTTGCGGCGGTGTTCACGGAACTTGTCTCCATAGGGCAGGAGGACAAGGGCATCCTTCCATCCGATCAGCTCACCACCCATGGGAAGGGTGGGGCGGTCAGAATAGATTGAACTCTTCTTTTCGAGCATTTCGACAGCAGCGTTTGCAGAGTTGAGGATGACCGTGTGTTGGCCAAATATCTCCAAGTGGATCATATCACCTGTAACGATGATCACGATATTTGGAGGTCAAATGAATGAAGTATGTACTCACCGAATTTGTTGGCCCAATCTGAGAAGGTGAGCCATTGTTTTACAGAAGGCTTGTCCAGAAGGTTACCGAAGAGGGGGAGTGGTTTCGGACCCGGAGGAAAGGGAGCAAGGTTCTTCTTGGATACAATCCGTTTGATGAGATAAACGCCAGCACAAGCAAGACAGAGGTCTAGCCATGACATGAAGGTAGCCATGTTTGTAAGAGGAGTCGCGCAGGCAGAGGCGAACAGGAGACTGCGAGTGCAACGAAGGGGTATAGGGATGTGTGACTATTATACGTCTTGTCCGGTCGAAAAGGGGATTGAATATGCCCAGAATTCTGTTTCCACTCTTCGTGGACAGTCGCAGTAGAGGTAGCATCACAAGCAAGAAATTGCATACCTCTTCCTGTCTCCAGCCCAATTACCGATATACTGTACACAGTCCGAACGTCATGCGCCAATTTATTCCATCCCTGTTTTTGGTTGCGTTCGCAACTCGATTGCTCTGGATATGAAACTAGTAATTGGTGTGTCTTTTTCAACGTCCGGACAAACTACCGGCGCCCGCTTTCACGGCACCATTCGCGAAGCACTGCTCCGGCGAAGACCTAAGATTCTGGTTAAGGCGGCATGTACTCTCACCTTGTTCGCAGACATCATCCCATACAAGTGCATGTGCTACCAATCTTAATTGAAGTGTCAGTCAGCATCGGTCATCTCACACGTTCAGCTCGAGAACCTGTGGTCTAGAAATCAAACACCCACTTGCCGAAACTGGATCGATCATATCCTAGTTGGTTTTTTCTTCGTCTCTTGCGGCAACAACATGAATCCACGGCCGTAAGGCGTCCTTAGCGTACACGGCTCGATCATGGACCTCGATTGCAGGCAAGGCGGGATACAAATAAAGCAGGAAATTTTCGTTTCCAGAGTACACACTTACAGAAACAAAGCTTGCAATTTACCTGTTAAAAGCAGAGGGATTAGCAAGGATAATGTCATACGGTTAACTCACGGCCCAAGCCACTCAGGAGAAACGAACTGGCATTTAATCAGAAATCCATAATCTGGTGGGGCTCGGGGGTTAGCTAAGGATCCATCAATACACTTACGAGTTTTCCATCGTATTCGATCCAAAAGCTGGCTCAAAAAACATGCGAACAACTCAAAGGCACACTTACGTAACCAGTCCATCTTTTGCAACCGGACGTGCAAACGGCACGGACCACTATCGGATCGCAGAAAATGATATCTGACGTACGGCAAACGTCAGGCTCTGCGATTAGTATGTGGTGGCATGCTTCACTTTATCCTAAACCCAGAAACGTCTCGTGGGTCGTACTAGTGGGTTAAACATCGACAAGTCTGGACCGAAAATCAATTCCCAGTTCAACGTACACTTCGGTATATAGAATGAAAGGAGGAATCAGATCACTGAAATATAACTTCATGCTGACCTTACTGATTAGAACGATTCTTGAGGCTCCGGAGTCAACCCACATGTCCATGTAGAGCTAAGGAATTTGATCGAAAACGGAAACAAATTTCAGTGGCAGAAAAATTCCCACGCTCAAGAAACACGTGATACGGAGAAAAGCCCCTATTTGGCAGGCTGGCCCAACCACCACGGAGTGGTCTTGTGTCTATGTGCTGGGGAGGTATCAGCGCTGTCTATCTAAATATTACCTCCGTCAGTCGCCCTCCCCGAGGGTCTGGGCCGTGTACAGTAGGCAAAGAGGCAAGCAAAGGAGAGAGAGGGTGCGGCGGTTTCGAGACTGCGAAAGCTCTCGTCAGGGGGCTACAGCTACCCCAACTACTACCTTGGGTCAATTATGTAGCTACAAGTAGGACTAGCAATGACGGGAGTTGCCCTTATCCCCAGAGGGGCGACTGACGAGATATGATACTCGTAGTGCTATGGGTAACCTGTCCCAGGTCTTGTATACATCAGGTTGAGAATGAGACGAGAGAAGGGAGGGAAGCTTCCTACCCAGCCTTTATAGTTTGCGGTGCGATGCGCATCCTCAGGTCAGTGACCACGCCGGAACTAGGCGGCATGGCGCCCCGGTCACTAAGCCACGTGATGGCATTCACCTCGCCCCGGACGTGACAAAATGACAAAGACACTATGTCATCCTTGAAGCATTGGGTTCTGGAAGCTTAATATATGACGCAAAGCCGATGCACATATACAGTTTTCTCCTGCAGCGGATCTTGGTTCTCGTCTGCACTTCAGTTAGAACAAGAACCAAACCGACAGACGTGAAGTATTGATACCTTGACCTCCTTCCGGAGTGTCCGACACAATGTCCAAACATCCTTCCCAAGGTCTCTTCCTTACAACGTCAATGAGCACGACAGTTGGGGGTAGCACTAGCCATTCTATCCTCCAAACTGGCATGGGTTTCCAGCAGCTCTCACTGGGAGCTCTTCCGGAGCTGGGCATATCCTTCGTTCGAGTCCAATGGGTCGATCTTACCAATACGGTCCGGTATCGCGTTCTCCCCCTCTCATACTTCTATAGGCGCTTACAATCCAAACAACCCGGACTGACTGTTGCCAAGTCTGTCATGGGTGTCGTGTTTGACTCCACCGTGGAGGGTTTCGGTCCCGTTGGGGAATATATCTACGCCGTAGATTTGACATCGTTAAGGGTGTGTCCATATGCTCCTGGTAACGCGTCTGTGTTTGGATTCTTCCAAGTGAAGGCCAATATCGGAAAAGAGGTAGACGTGCCAGTGTGTCCAAGAACAATTCTGCAAGGGATCGTCCGGTACGTGAATTGTTATATGCTGTTCTCATAAAAATAGCCGATCCCGGAACTCCAGGGAGGCTGAAGCAACCTTGCACACCAAGTTCTTTGTCGGCACGGAGACTGAGTTTATACTCCTCAAGTCTGCAGTGCCACCTGTCCCAGTGAATAGCCAAGGGTGGTGTGCATCCGGTGCGCTAATGACTGGTGCGGTAGAGACGCAGGTCATGGAAGAAATTGCGCAGGCTCTTATTGATGCTGGGATCGAGCTGCAACTGTTCCACTCAGAGGCGGTAAATGGTCAGGTAGATGTTTGGTCAATTCCAGGAATCGCGTTGCAATCGAACTGATTTTGTTCAGTACGAGGTGGTCACCGGGCCCCTCCCACCGCTAGAGGCAGCCGACGTATTGGTGCATACACGGGAAACCATCTATAACATCGCACACAAGCACGGACTACGCGCAACGCTTGCCCCGCGCTTGCGCAAGAATAGGTGTAAGTATCACCAATTGTTTCTTTCCCACGTAAGCTCTAAGTAGATTGTCTCTTATCTGTAGATGGGACCGGAGCACACGTACACATCTCCGTACAGAAAGTGGCAGGGTCTCCCCCTTCCCCGGTCTGGTCTACAAAGCCCCCTCTCACCAGAGTGGAAGCCCAATTCCTCGCCGGTCTCCTAGAACACTTACCTGCGGTATCGGCATTAACATTGCCCCTTCCACAGTCATATTGTAGAATGATTGATGGAATGCATGCTGGTGGGACGTGGGTGTGTTGGGGGATCGATAATCGGGAGGCACCGATCCGTCTCACAAACGAAGCCTGGCCGGAGTCAAAGAATTTTGAGATTAAGACTGTCGATGGGACCTCTAACCCTTACCTCGTTCTGGCAGGTCTGCTGGCTGCAGGTGTGATCGGAATTCGAGACCAACTTAATTTAGTCCACGAGAATTGCGGAGATGAGAAGACAGCGGCGGAGATGACGAAAGAGGAGAGAGAGTCCAAGGGCATTCATAAGAGATTGCCATTGGACATTGAGATGGCGAGGAAATACCTTCTGGAGGATGAGAAACTGAAACAACTTCTGGGGGAGGAAGCGGTGCAGGTTTTTGTGCGTGTGAATGAGGTAAGTTATCTTTGTTATCATCATCAATACGTGTGGCAGGTTCCACGAGAACTCAAGTTGACCCAAAATTACTCAGGCTCTTGGAAAGGCGATCAATCGCGATGGAGAAACCGAAGACACGAGTGAAACACGTCTCATCGAAACATACTGATCCTGCCTTGCACGAGGCTGTGAGGAGGCGTTTTTTTTTGCCGCAGCCTTCGTTCATATCTTGTCCGATGCACGTAGGTATTGAGGTCCGCAGTACCTGGAGGATAAATGACTTGTCCGATATAAGCCAACCCAGGAAAAAGTCTCAAATCTTGTAACCCACTCCTAACGTCCACCGAAGATGTATTAGCGGTAGCAAAAACTGAAAAAAAGAATACAACATCGTACGGTACACGTAATATTCGTGCATCATGTCAATGCTCGTGCAACACTATAATGTTCCAAGCCCTTGACAGTGAAATAGTACGATAATAGATAGAAGTAAAAAGGGTAATTTTGGATGATTGGAACAAGCAGGGAGGTGTAATGTGGGTCAGCGTGAATTCCCAATGCATGGGGAGAATCACGAGATATCAATAATTGATTATAGCCTTGCTTGAGGTTCATCTATGCTAGTCAAACGACCGTATACGGATTTATGCAGGGGTGACCTTTTCCAGCTCGCTCTCTTGCAAACTTTGAGAATGAGGAGGCTCACGGGATCCGCCAGTGGCAGTCGGGGTACTATTGTACTCTCCCCGAATGGGGATCTCGGTGTCAAGCCCGACGTAGTCGTAAGCAAATTCGCCCATCTCGGCGTCGTCGACGCCGATAATCTCGGTCTCTTCGTCGCAACGGAGACGGAGGCCGGGGACATAATGCATAGCCCATAGGATGATGGTCTGCGACGAGGAGAAAGGAGGTGAGTTATTTCATCACATCATCGCAGTATCGGTGAGCATTAAAATTCCCGTGATTCCAAAATGGACGGGAAGCAGAAAGATAGAAGATTCATGACCAAGGGAAGGCATCAAGAAAAATAGAGGATGAGAGTCACTTACAGTCACAACAAAAGAATAGGACATGCCAGAAACCGAGTCCGCCAATTGGATGCCAAGCTGCTTCCAGTGATGGTCAAGCCAACCACCAGGGATAACTGTGACACCGTCTGCACCAGCAACGCTAGCTTGCGCGAAAAGACCTGTCAGAACGTTGCCAACGACACCACCAATTGCGTGAGATGCAAAAATCTGTGAAGAAGGTCAACACACAGACCCGCGCGGACAGCATAAAAAGGGAACATGGCCACCAAATGTGAGAAACACACTTACGTCGAGTGTGTCATCATACTTGAATATGAACTTGAGCTGTGTGGCAAAGTTGCACACCGTGCCGGCCATGAAACCGAACAGAACAGCTGCAGCTGTGTACATATGCAAACAAAGTTAGTGCGGGAAACTGTACGAAGATTATGTGATGCTTACGGGCGCCGACGAAGCCAGAACCCGGGGTGATGGCGACAAGACCAGCGATAGCACCAGAACAGAAGCCAACGACAGACCACTTGCGCTCCAAACGCCAGTCCCACAGCATCCAGGTCAGACCGCCAACGCTCGCGGCCAAATTAGTGACGATGCAGGCCATGGTGGCACGGAGATTGGCAGACAGAGCAGAGCCGCCATTAAAGCCGAACCAGCCGAACCAGAGAAAGACTGTGCCGATGACGACGTAAGTAGTATTGTGGGGTTTGTAGGCAAGTCTCTCAGGTTCCATATCCACGGCGTCTGCCAAGGTAGAGGGAAATTGCCAATGCAGCAGTTCCGGACGAAATATGGACAGGAGTACCGCCGGCGAAGTCGAGTCCACCGAGGCGCGCTGACCAACCATTCGAATTCCAAGTCCAGCAAGCGATGGGGTCGTATACAAGTGTTGACCAAACGAAGACGAAGACCAGTAAAGGTCCTAGACGGCTACGTTCAGCGACTGCACCAATAGCAAGCATCGGGCTAAACGGACATGTCAACACGGTAATCGACGCACAACCGAGATAAACGTACGTGATAGCAGCAAACATAAGCTGGAAGACGCAGAATACGAGAGCAGGGACGCGACTGCTACCTATGGAGGGTTGTTCGAGAACACCCTTCAAACCAAAATATCCTGTAGAACGATAAGATATCGAACATCCAGTAGACTAGTATTACTCACTGAGGTCGCCAATGAAGTGACTCGCACCGTCGCTGAAAGCGAGAGAGTAACCCCAGAAAAACCACTGTAGGACGCTTGAGAATGAAAACGCCACAGCAGGGAAATACAATACCTGGAATGAGACCACGGCTACCGTCATCATACTCAGGTAGATCATACTCAGAGCATTTTTCCTGCGCAACAGGCCCGAGTAGAAAAAACCAACGCCTGGAATCATGATCCACACCAGAGCAGTGGAGGCGAGTGTCCAGGCAATGTCACCAAGGTTGTAAACGCCCGTGGTACCATTGATGTCGTACACGATGTCCTCGGCTACGAAGAGACGCGTATTAAAGAAATGCGCAGGATCATGTGAAGAGGTCAACTTACAGGAGTCGAAAGTTATGTTCACCATTTATGCAAGGTCTGCGTAGAAGAGTAAAAGAACGACAGCTTCTTGGTGGGCGGCCCTGAAACGAGCGCGATGATCTAACTACTTTTAAAGGCCGCGGGGTGTGTGTGATTCCGGCTGTCAGTGCTATCTGGTTGACGGCGCGCAGAACCTAGGCGAGATAAGGGCTGATGACTAAGCAAACCGACCGCAGTGATTGGTGGGTCGATGGCTTATCTCTGCAGTGCATTCCAGTGGCAGCTGTTTGAACGTCGGATCAGCCTGACTAATAAAAGGGGCAAACGACGCACGCTAGGCACGTACGAGTGCTGATAACCACCTTAAGGAGGTTTCTTTGCGCCAGTCAGTTATCACGCTGATAGTGGCCTTGGTGAATCCCCAGAGAAAATCAGGACAAGGAACAGTGGCGTCAACCCTGCCATCGGAACGGTGTCCCAGCGCTGGGGGTGGACTGCATGGCAACAAGATACGGGAGTCTTGTTGTCAACCCTGCATATTTCCTGTCAGTGCTGCAGACTAATGATTTCCGTCTCGTCCATCCCTCCGGGCATTCCTGTGGATATGCCTTATGATAAAATTGTAGAGGTACGCGATAGGTACCATGGGGCCCCTGCGGCGTGCGCACCGAGCTCCCGGCCGCAACACCACGCGTTCCATTGTCCAAGTTCACTTCACGCACCTTGGGCAGTCCACGGCCTCATAAATAGATCGCCCAGCACTTTCCGAAAACCCCGTGGAATCTGCCATCCCCACTACTATAAACGCTCAAGAAGTCATTTCACACGCAGATATGGGGGTATGGTCACCATTCGAATCGAACGACCCCTAGGGCCCTTATCTCCACAGGGAAAAGATGGCCGCGCTTCCCGATCCGTCAGCCTGCGGATGAGTCAACGGGTCGGTGCTCCACATTGCGACCAGTTTATTCGACAGGTAGTAGCGCGACGCTGAACTTATTCCCTGTAAGAATAAGTTAGCAATTGTGCCAAGGATAGAAATGTGTTTGACCAAGGTAACAAGTATAAAACCGGACGGTGATAGATGTTACAGCAGCGTATCCTCGATCACAGCCCTCTGTGACTTAATCCCCGTAAAATGAGTAAACATTCAACTAAAGAAGCCTGATCGGAAATTTGCGTCAAACCATTGAACCGACCAGCAGCACCACTCCGTGCAACCCGAAGACAAGGAGGCAGACAGGATACGTGGGCATGACTTTACATATATTGTAGACCCCAAACAAGAGAGCGATGCCAACGAAAGTTCAAAGAGCATGAGGACGGATGGCATAAGCTCGAGCGCTACAACAAAAATGGTTTGGTCTTGTTTGGCGCTGCTGCAACTTTGCATTTTCTCCGTGGTCGTCTTAGGCATTAGATAGGCATACCCAAATGACGGGTGCATTCCTGGCTGCCTTGCGACGGCGGGTGGCTACTGGAACGCCTCAGTCGGTTCAGCGAACTGTTGCAGCTAGGACCATCCATTTCTCTCCAAGTACGTCTCTTTTACATGTTACACTAAATGACTTCTGAACATTTCTCCTCGCAGCATGCCAACAGCGCAAGAAAGGTGACGGTCTCCTCTCCGCGGACACCAACCCTCCGGGGTCGTCCTCAGTGACAGTTCCCAGCCATCCCGATGGCGTGAAACTGCGCGAACGGCAGTTTAATGACCTTGTCCAATTCGTGACAACTCGTACTGGCCGAAAACGGGTCAATACTAAAGGCCAAGTTCGCCAATCTGCATGGTTGCGTCTTTTTCAACTGGCATCGAGACCGGAACACCTTGAGCTCGTGTCAGATATATTTCCAAGATGGAGAGATACTGGAAAGTCGTTCAGACCTGTTCATGCCGAGATGTTTGCTCGTACGTCTCTCTTTTGAACGTGTCTATATTTCTTACGTATTTAACATGTTACATGTCATTGACAGGTCGGTGTGAAGAACTCAAATGTCCTCTTCTTGCCCTCAAGGTGTTTGGGGACCATACCAAGTATGGTTTCGGTCTGAACTCCCTTCCTGCCGGGCGGCAGCTTATTCACTCGCTGTATGGCAAATACCCCTTGGAAAAGACCATGACAGCCGCATCCCTATTTGGTGTATATGGTTTACCGGCCGTGGGGAATGACTTCGCTTCCTGCGCAATGCTTTATGCCGCTTGTATACGAAGTAAAGACCCACATGCTCAAGTGGTAGCCGAACGCCTCAGGCGTCAGCTCATGAAACAGATCGTCCAGACAGAGGAGGTCAAGGAACCTCAGAACAAACTCCTCCGTGCCCAACATCATGTAAAACCAACTTTATGGCTAGCTCGGGCTATCAGACAAATCAAGACGGCACACAGAGAACAGGGCTTCCCTCCAGCGTCGTTTTTGGGAATGTGGAATGCTGACAAGAAGCCTCGGAAACCACGGGCTCACCAAACTGCCTCTGCAGAGGTATCCGAGGCTCGCTCATCTGATGGAGTTGCAGCGAAATTCGTAGAATCTTTCTCGTAACAGCTTAAATTACCATGTCGCTATCAGCATCTTCGAGAGTCCACAGTATCGATCTCACATTCATTGAAATAACAATAAAATTCGTTATATATTGCTCCGAAAAGAAAAGTCACGACAGGCACAGTACCGCGACTTGATTTATATCTGAATCAGATCAAGCTGGCGATATCAATGAACGGGTACGCGGAATCACGACATCAAAATGTCCAGCGTAGTGCAACCTATCGCCAAACATTCGCCACGTCCTTCGCACTAAAGTTTCCATGAAAGTCGAAAAGAAAGAGGCACACGTCTCGTTCGCCAGTATTCCCCAACCAAGCGAACAGGAACGCGCCGCCGCCGCAAAATCGATGTCTGGGCTCGTAAGAGCTTTCGCATGGCCCATCCATCGCACGCCGACAGAAAGATGTATTTGTGAACACGGAACGAAGATTCACCTGCCACGGACATACTTGGCAACGAAAGGAGAGGATGTGCGACATGTTCGACGTGGGACAGATATCAACCAATTCGTACACGCGCATTATATGGAGTCGCCTGCGGGCGAGGAGGGAAAGGAGTGGACAAACTTTGTGCATGCGGATGAAGTGGTCGCAAGGAGGTGAGCTATTTCCTTGCAACGGCCTACCCATTGGCTATGAACCTTTGATCTGAGCCTGACCTCGCCCGGCGTAGACATGAGTATCTTGGCCCTGACCCAAGAGTGGCAGGGTACTTCTTCGACAAGACCGGGGAGATACATATCCGTTGGTGGGATTCGTTCTTGAAGGATCAGTGGATGGACAGAGACAAATGGACACTCGGCGTCGCTATGGATCCGTCAGGGAAATGGGTGGTTAAGGAAGAGTAGTGCTATGCTCATCCCTAGAACGGACAGACGCCCCTGTCTGAGAGGAACTAGAAATGCACTTTCGCCTCGAGTAAACTTCGAACGGCAGGCGTTTCTAAGGGATCTCAAGAATCCCCGAAGGGCGCTATGATCGAACCTTAAATGTCACCTATCTTCGCTGAGAACTGTGTTCTTTAGGGAGAGAAACGCCTTCAACTACAGAGCTCCAAGTAAGAAGTCTGCATCGCTCCCCGTCACTCTGCGAGTTTGTTTCGTACGATACCTTGGTCAAGCGTCCGTCTCCCTAACCCTTGATGGATCCCGGCGAAGTACCGAACCGAGTTGTAACCCTAACCCCCAACTAGGGTAAATCAGATTTCTTACCTGCTGGTCTCACGATCCCCAACTCATAGATAAGCACGTAAACTCGTTGAACCAGATTTCATTGTCCATGACATCTCACCCACTCTACAGAGCCTTCAAGGCCCCCAAGGTCCGCGTTTCGGAGCGTGGATTACGCTTCCCGGAATCCATAGTGCACGGATTGTCGCACAGTCCAGTCCACACCTCTCCTGGGTGATGATTGACTGCGAGCATGGGCTTACTCCACTCAATGCGGACTCTGCGGAAACTATTCAGGCGATTGCAGGCATAGGTTCCAATTATGTCAGTCCCCTTGTGAGAATCCCTGCCACAGGGACATGTAGCAGCACATCGTGGTTGATCAAATACGCACTGGACGCTGGCGCAAGAGGTGTTCTCGTACCTATGGTGCGGTGATGTGGTTGTCGATCCGGATGAGGGGCGGATTGACCACGGAATTTCCGTATAGGTGTCCGACCCAGAAAAGGCGAAGGAGATCGTTTCCGATTGTCGATTTCCTCCTGCGGGAAGACGTGGTTTCGGGAACCCGTTAACACATCTCACTTGGAACATTGGAACGGAAGAATACCTGAATTCGGCCAATGACTTCATCACGATCATGGTCCAGATCGAAAACATGGAGGGGGTAGAGAATGTGGAGCAGATCGCCGCTGTAGATGGACTAGGTTAGTTGTTGTAATCACGCCCTCTTTTAGCACTTGCGTGAGGATCTCCTGCGTTTCCAAAGATGTACTGTTCATTGGACCGTACGACCTTTCTTTGAATCTCGGCTATCCGCCCCCTTTTCCGGATGTACACCCGGAGGTCGAAAAGGTCATCCAGAAGATTCTGGAGGTTGCCCATCGCAAGGGGAAGAAATGGTAATTAGTTCTTTGCGTTGTTTTTCGCGGGTGTCACTAACGATAGTCCTATTATGTAGTGGCATCTACTGCTCATCTGGAAGGCAAGCGTTCCAGCGAGCTCAACAAGGATTTGACATGGAAAGTACTGGCACCAGTAGACTGATCCGTAGAGCTGACCTCCTGTATAGGTCAACGTCACTTCCGATTCAGCTGCTATCAGTGAAGCGATCGTATCTAATCTGGAAGCTGCTATTGGTCAGAACGTTTAATCAGCTCAGCTACAGAAGCGAGTGAAATGTAGGACTCCTCGAGGCAGACTAAAAACGTGTATGATACTAGTGACGTTCCAGTGGCTTGAAAATTTGCGAGGCAGTCGAACGCAGATGAGACCAACGTGCTTTTCCTTGTAAGGGCAACTTACAACAGAAGTCCTGCCAGAGATAATGCACCCTTTCCCATCAAAACAGTGGTTAATCGCTTGCGAGGCCATCTGCTGTCAAAAAAGTCTGCGGTAGGGAAACGAGTAAGTGTTCATTTTCCCGTGAGGTGCACTATTCGCGTGCCTTTCATCAGTGTTATATATACCGTCCACCTCGTCTTCCAGTAGGTGTCCTCTGGCCACGTATGCACGACTCGAAGGTCAAGCACTCATGCACGATGTTCAAACGAGCGGGGTCTCGCGGTAAGCGTCTACTTCAGGGAGGAAACCTGGGTTTGTAAAAAATTCAGATGAATGGATGCATGTGTTCAAACTGACAGGTTTACATGCTACTCATCATCCTCAGGCCCATTCATGCAAGAACATGTTCATATGTGAGTACACCCCTGCAACCTAAGTCCACTTCAGGCCAAGAATCGAAGCGAGTCAGATCTCCTGCTGATGAACATTCCCAACACTAGAGCGCGCCTCCCATAACATCTCGAAACCAATCTCCTGCTTCATTTTTACAATTCAGAGCATTGATTTAGTAATGATTATACTGACTCACGTCGTATTAAACCCAACTATTGTGAGTGCAGATGCTCACTACTCGCATCAGCAAGCGTTTGCCATACCTGAAAGATGCACACCATGATTGTAACTTGCTCGCACGTTCCTATATAGGCCACAAAACGAAATGCATTACGAGGCTAAACGCCTGAAACAAGTGCTACGTATACGAGGTATCATCGAGCGAAGAATGCTTTAATTTGGGGAGAACCCGAGAGCAAAAAGCGCTCTGTTGCACTTAGGCGTTGACGTTGATGGGCATGCAGCCAACGTTGACGAGGCCGCCCTGCGAGATTCAAATCAGGATAACCGGTAAACGTAGTACATGACCCAACATACCCATTGGTTGCCGCTGCAGCAAACGGTCTGGGCATTGCATTGAGCACCGCTGCCAGTACCAACCACGGTGATAGGGGTACATGAGGTACCAATCTGGCCGGTGATACCGGCGAAGACGTTAGCGATACCAAGTTCTTGGAAGATGGAGTCGAAGTCGGATGCCTACATACTTTCAATTACCTGAAGAACGAGTGAAAAAAAAGGAGTATCACCTGTTGGACCTGTTGGCAGCACTGGATGGGACCCGTGTTGCACTGGCTGCTGTCGCGTGCGACGAGGGGGCCGGCGACGGCGAGAGCAGCGAGGGAAGCAATGGCGAAGACACGGGAGAACATGTTGAGACTTGTAAAGAGTGTGGTTGAAAAGCTGGTAAAGCGAGTGTGGTTGACAGTGAGAAAAGACAAGCAGTCGATGGAGGAAGAGGGGACCGACTGTTGCTTCTTATATACTTTTTTCTAGGACTGTCGGTTATCCGAATTACATATTTTTTTGCTGTGTGGGTGACATACGCGGGGAGCGCTAACCGAAGACGTTGACGCATTCTGATTGGCCAGCTGGTCAGCTGGGCTGGGTACGTCACTCCCCGGACAGAAATGGAAGGTGAAGTAGTTGGTCCGGAGTCTGGACCCAATTAAAACCAATCCCGCCCATCATGATCATGATCACATATCGGCCTGTCCCTTCTGTGACGTTTTCTGAATTCTTATTCTAATACCTTGGCATTTGCGGCCTCTGTTTCGGGCCCCGCAGCCCGTCTGGGGAGCCTTTAACCCACCGACGGGCATTTACAACAGTTACTCAGATCCAGGATTATCATGGGCGAGCCGAGGATGGTGAGTGGGATGCGAGGTCATCCATGCATGCCAGTCTAAGGGATAAGGTTTGTTCCTCGATTTCCTGCCCGAGGTCTCATGTTCATCGGGCAGCATGTGATTGTACGAGGCCACGAGCTTGGCAGGTTTTCTTGGACGCGTATTCGAACATCCATATGGAACATTGCTCGGCAAGCTTCCTCCCCGTCCACATGCCCGAGCTCCGAAAGTAAACAGGTGAAATTAACAGTGCTAGCCACGACTTGGCCCCGCCATTTTCTTGTCGCCCAACTCCGTGGTCGTTGCACTTTCATGTTCTAACTAATTTCCGTGGAATTTCTTAATAAAACGTCAGGCTCGGAATTTGTTGCTATGAGGGGTTAATGAGGCATCTCCCTGGATGGCGGTTGACCGGCATCTCCGAGAACGTCACTAGCTGTGAATTAGGAATAGAAAAAAAAACCCGCCGAGGTTTTAGTTGTCTTCAGCACGATGGTCATTGGAGTAACGTTGTACAAGGTGATTGATAATTGAATTCAGGTTGACCTTGTGTATCTGCTAAAACACCAAGCCCGTCATGATCTCAAGGGGGGACGATTCGATGCGTTTCGACCAGACGAACCGTGGTCGCTGGTGAGTACGTCTCCCGTTGCAGGCGGCATAACCCTCCGGTGCACTTGGGTCGATCTTGACCAACTTAGGTGGTTCACGGCAAAGCGCGTCTTCAGTATCACTTCACCGAGGAGTTCGCCTACCTTTACAAGGCGTGCTGCGCGCTGCGCGCACCCTGCAGTGAGAATTGATCCCTATTGCCTCCGCACCAACTCCGCACCAACTCCGCACCAAGCAAGCCCGAAAGAACGGAATACAGATTGGAAGTTCTATCCATAGCACCTCAAAATTTAACGCGGAAAAGTTGTATTCGTGAGGCACACGGGAACTGCATCACAATCTTTGGTATGTACCCATGTCCGGCTAACCCAACCTCGTCCTGCACGTGTGACTGCGGAAGAGGTAGCATTGATCGACCGCTAAGGGTGGATACACTATCAAGGGCTGCCAAGAACTGGTATCTCGTGGGGGGAAGGGAAAAGGCTCCGAGATACGGTGGAAGGATACGTGTGTGCATCCACTGCTCCACGGGGTGTCATATTCGAAAGCGCGCCGTTCTCGGTGCAGACCTACAACCATCAACGGATAGTGATGGTGATAACGTGGCACATGCCTACTCATGCTTGATTGCGATACGCTTGTAAATCCTATCAGCGGCCTCGGGAGCAGGGTAGCGGACCCGTGGCAACCCAAACAAGTGATCCGAGACACGGGATCCATCATCTCGTCTAGCACACACCCAGGAAAGGAAAACCTGAGCAGCGCGCATGAAGCTCTGCAAATACAGTTCCCCGTCGGTTCCTCACTGACAAATCTTCCGTCGCACACTTTCCCAAATAGGTCCTCGCTTACCGTGGGTCTGGACCGCCATCTGGAGGACTTTGATGCGGAACGCGGCAAGTACGACAGCGTCAGGATCTGGCATTGCACGTGATTAGAGGTTGAACAAACAAATTTGATCCGCGGTTTCTGGAGTTGCTCCACAGAGATGGATGCTCGCGGGGAGAGTTCCATTGACGTGCGGTGTTGCAGCGTGCCGAGATGCGTGCCTGGGGTGGTCTTCAAGATCTTCGGTACTTTGATATGTGGTCCATTAGAGAGGTCGATCCGCTTGAATCGGAAGATCTGATCCACGAGTTTTGGAGTTGCTTCCCAGAGATGGATGCTAGCGGAAACAGTGGTTGGCGTGTATTCCAGTACACTGATATGCGTACATGGCATGCTCGCAGCCATATAAAAGAACTGTAAGGCAAGGTTCATGCAGTGTGGTCCCTGGTGACTTCGAATGGTGAGTAAAATCATCGGTGCCGGTTGGTCGCATATGCCGAGTGCCACAAACTGCACGAAAGATTGAGGCAGTACAGTACGGGGACGAGGGCGAAGAATTGACAGTTGTACCTTGTATTTATGTACTTTGCTTGAGCTCGAATGGCTCAGTCCCCCGTATCATACTGCACTCTGAGCGACTGCGGATCCTGGGTGGGGATAACAGATACAAAGAGAACACCTATGAAGTGGGCGCTGGGCATCTCAGCTATAACATCCCATGGTAACACCCAACGGCACCTGTCAATAGGTCGTTGCACACCCACGGGCAATACTACACAGAAGCGCGTAAACCAGGAGGCCAAGGAACTGCGCCGAACGAGGACACCCTCTGGCATGCTTCCATGGACAAACACCGTCCTCGACCATCTACTTCATCTCCGGAGGTGTCGACACAACGGCGTATGCGATATCGGGACGCAATATCGAAGAATACGAGCTTCAAGTATGCGCATTGTACTCCGTACGCTGGTTGAGGAGGAGGTACAACAATTTCTTGATAATATAATGCTCGAGGGTCGGTGTTTAACTTCTCTTCGAGGGCCTCGTGTAGTTTGACATATCAATAGCTGCAGAGATACAATTTCTGTGCCAAACGGAGAACGTAGAACCCTGATCCAGGTAAATGCCGCGAACGGCATACTCCGACACTTTCCCTGTCACACCAGCACAAATAACCAGGGTTAACCAATTGCACTGATGCCAAAAGAACAAACGTACTCTGATAAATAAAATAAGTCACTGGTGAACTGGTAGTTTCATCGGTTAAACATTTATCACAAGGTTTACTGTTTAATAAAGAACAAACGGAACCCTTCTGAGGCATCTGCAAGTGTACAGTTTTGTAAACGATTTAGGGTCGGTTCAGGGGTGAGCAAAATGAAATGGCTCGAGAACGAAGGAGGTGCCCCGTCTGATGGATCATAGGACCATATAAATTATTAATAATCTGTATTGTTTCCGTTGTGCCCCGAGAACCCTCGAACATCAGGCTAGGATACACGTGTACCGAACTTGAGTTCTACGTGTCTGCCTTGCCGTTTGGTTTACAAGTCGTTTTCGAGGAGACGAGCGATGCAGCATTCTTCAGCACTGAAAAAAGCCAGGTTTGCTTGTGGAGCGGAAGATGTCACCAGCAAGAGAGTGCCTGCTCAACACTGACAGCTTGAATTAGCATTGGATACGGACGAAATGAACTAGCCAGACATCAACGCACACCCGATGCAATGTCCTGGGATAGATGTAATCTCCATGAAGACACCTGCGTCGACGCTCTCACCAAGACTAGTACTGAGCAAGTCGACTGAGAGCACTGGATGTCGGAGGGTGAATGATGACATAAGCATGACATGTGGCATAGAGTGGCCGCTGAGACGAACCAAACGGCCTTCGCTTGACAACGTTGGATCGTGCAGCCGCCAGAACGCACTAATCGACAGTCGCGATGCCACCTGCACCTCCATTCACCTCACCCCACACCCAGCAGCAACTGCCAGCACTCTACCTTTTCCCGCTAAACGACACCTTTGTGCCCAAACACATAGCTCTCATTGGAAACCAACGCGTCAAGATTGGAAGACAGACCAACGCAAAGACAGTCCCTGCAGAAAGAAACGGGTATTTCGACTCAAAAGTATTGTCAAGACAACATGCAGAGATATGGGAAGACGGTGGCAAGGTGCGTGGTGTCAGCCCTTTCGTTCCTTGTGCCATTTTTTAACACCCTCCCACAAGATATACATCAAAGACGTCAAGAGTTCTAACGGAACGTTCATAAACGGGGATCGTCTAAGTCCAGAGGGTGTTGAATCAGAGCCTTTTGAGCTCAAAAATGACGATATCGTCGTACGTTTGTTCCCCCTTATGTGCCAGGATTTCTAGTTGACTGTATGCCCTTTCTTAGGAATTCGGCATCGACATCATTGGCGAGGACAACAAAACGACGATTCACCACAAGGTTGCCGCTCGGGTGATGTGTGTTTTTACAGAGGAGGATGCTCAGCACGCCGCTCGATGGGAGCAAGCACAAAGTAATTCTAATCATCCTGCAATTTCTGCACAGCAGAGCGGTGCGGCTGGAGGCTCGCAGTTCTCCTTTGGTCAAGGCCAAGCAGCGCCTCAGGCTGCTCAACGACGGCCAACGCTACAGTCACAAGCCCTTGGCGTTATGGGTGGTATGGGTGGGAGTGTCAGGCCACCAGGTAAAAGTGGTCTTTCGTTCGACCACATTCTTAGTCGTCTCCAAGGCGAGCTGCAGAAAAGCCGGGAAACAGGCGCAGAATTGCATTCCATAACGACCGCTATGAACGATTTGCAAGACACCATGGGCGGTGCTCTGGTACGTTCATGGAGTGACACTCAGGAATGGCTTCCTGACATCCGTGCTTAGCCACCAAATTTACCTCCTCTACCACACAATCTTCCCCCTGTGCGTCAACCCCAACCGCCCACTGCTAACGAAGCGAATCAATCACCTGAATCCGGAACTGTTCCGGTGTCTGCACTGAGCGAACTTCGTAGTCAGCTGCACGAGACCCAGGAATCACTTGCAAGTCATGTCGACAAGGTACGTGCACTGGAAGATATGCTTGCCGAGCACGAAGCTATCAAGTCAGAGATCACAACGCTTCGAGAACTGATGGACGAGCGGAAACGGGAGTTCGAATTGTTACGGCACGAAAGTGCTTCTCTTTCCTCTGCTCACCAAGCCAACGGGCACCACGATGAGCTACGGAATGGGAGATATCGAGGCGAGGATGACGACACGTCCAGTATTCACACAATCGTACCTCATGAATTGGAGAGAGTGGACGAAGAGGATGAGGATCAGCTCGTGAACGAAGAGGAAGATGACGAGGACCGCAGGCGTCGTAGAGAGGAGCTTGGACGACCGCGGACACCTGAACCCACGGGTATGGGCATGGATGACGACGATTCGCCAAACACCAAACGACGGCATCGGCCTTCGAGCGCACCGAACCACGACGCAGAGTCTGTCGCTCTGGACGAGTTAGCCGAGCGCTTGTCCGCACTCAGTGGACGAATCGATTCTGCTGTTGAATTCAACAGTTCACTACAGGCTCAGCATGCCGCTGCGCAGACAACGATATCCCTCCTCCAGTCCAAGATTACTACGTTAGAGGAGATGGTACAAGCGACCCAGTTGCAACTGCAACAACAAAATGCAGCTCAAGAGGCTGCACAGGCCGAGATCCTTAAAGCTGTTCGAGAGCCTCCCGGAGACACGGAACGGGAGTCGCTCACCGCGATGCTCAACGAGTGGAAGAAGAGTGTCGAAGGCCAATGGAGTGCCGTTCAGGAGGAATGGTCGCAAGAACGCGAGAGACTCAATAAGGCGAGGGAGGAATGGGAGAATAGGGCCAAATCGTTGGAGATGGGGTTTGATGCCAAGGTCAATGCCAGCGTGGCATCTATCATCGCCGTCCAGCGACACCATTCATTCATTCCTAATGGTGATATCAAACTGAATGGTACAGCTGGCCTCGTGACGCCTCCAAGTCCCGTGAGCGTTGCCTCCAATCCTGGTCGCTCCAAATCCCGAAGACGGCGGTCCAGCTCATGTCGTGGGAGGTCGCGATCTCCGTCGCCGGTTTCATCCATTGAGATGATAGAAGGCGTTTCAAGCGCTGACTTGGCAAACGGCTCGAATCCTGGCTCGCGACGTGTCTCCGATCAGTATCCACGAGATCGTTCCTTATCACCTTCGATTCCCGACGACAACAGTGAACCAGAATTGTCTCGCAAGCCTACGACACCCGGGACCCAATACCTGATAACCCCCGACCCATCTGTCAAAGACAGTCCTGGTCGTCAATCGTCGACGGCGGTTAGCACGGACTCGGATGCCGAGTCCAGTATGTCCAAATCAGACGTCCGTTGTTTCATGACTGTTCGTCTCATCGTGCTAACTTGTCTATCCCAGCATAACTTGAGACTGGCTACCGGTATACTAGTGCTTGGTATTGCCACGGCCGCGGTAATATGGCGAGTGAGGCAGGAGTAGTATGGTCTCGCAGAATACTTGTCTACGAGACGATTTTGTTTGTTCTGTTGTTGCAAAACACTCGTTATGATTCATACCGATTTTTCTCCCTCGTTCGTTGTATCATCTTTATATTTTATTCTGCTTGCCTCCCTTTTTTTTTTTTACTCGAATACGTCTATGCGCTCCCTCTCTTTGGCTATTAGATTATAATGACAATAGGTATGACGATGATCCTCATGCAATGAGATTGGTTCTCGAGGTGAGGCTCAGAGGACCACCTGTACGGATTAGTGTTTGGATGATGTAAGCAGTGTTGGAGAGTCGCCGGGACGGCTTCTCGAAAGTATTCGTCATGCCACCGTGCTCTTGCGCTATGGGAGGAGCTGTGCTACTGGACAACAGTCAGCCTTCCGGCTTCCAAACTTTCAGAACTTCGCTCCGTGTCGTCGTCAGCCTCCAGCACACGTCTACTGGAAGTTGGAACGTTGACTAACTGACTGACTGTGCACGCGGCAGGCTTTGTCAGCGTCAATGGAAATGCACTTACATCATCGCAAGCAGGGCTCCTGAATCGATGGCGCAATCGATCGGAGTAGTTGCACACACACATACGCGGTAGTATAAAACCGTTCGACTCACTTTCAGATGTTTACCAAGTCAAATCCACTCCCCACTCTTACAAAATGACTATCACCAGCCACTCCAATGCCGTCTTGAATGGCAACGAGACCCATACCCGTAAGAAACTACCGTATGCCGTCGATGGTTTCGGCACGCGAGCGATCCATGTTGGATCGGAACCAAACCCCACCACTGGCGCAGTTATCCCCCCCATATCGCTGAGCACGACCTACAAGCAAGACGGTGTCGGTAATCACAAGGCATGTGGCCCTCTTTTTACCCACGGACCCTAATTTCAGAAACTGACTCCTCACGTCGCGCAGGGATTCGAGTATTCGAGATCCGGAAACCCCAACCGCGATGCCCTCGAAACAGCCCTTGCCTCGTTGGAGGCCGGAGGTGCATATGCGCTGGCATTTTCATCAGGGTCAGCGACGACCGCCACAGTTGTACAATCTATTGGACCCAACGCACACGCTGTGAGCGTGAATGACGTGTATGGCGGTACTTTCCGCTATTTCAAACGAGTTGCATCGGAAACTCAGGGTTTGGAAACCACATTCGTTGATTTTGAGAATGCAGATGATGATACGATATTGGCCTCATTCAGAGATAATACCAAAGTAGGTTTCTCTCGGCGTGTCTTGCTATCGTAGCTTTTATCTCACATCCAATTCAATAGCTGATTTGGATAGAATCACCGACAAACCCCACGTTACGGCTTGTCGATATACCTCGTATAGTTTCCCTGGCACGTTCCCACGTCGCGAATCCCCTGGTTGTCGTGGACAATACCTTCCTCTCCCCCTTCTACCAATCACCTTTACTCCTCGGAGCAGACATCGTCGTACACAGCCTGACCAAGTATATCAATGGCCATTCAGACGTGGTCATGGGTGCCGCGATCCTTCCCCCACATCACCTTATACTCGCCGAAAAGCTCCGGTTCTTGCAAAATGCGCACGGCGCTGTTCCGAGTCCCTACGATAGCTGGCTGGCACAGCGTGGTTTGAAGACACTTCATTTGCGGATGAAGGCACATGGCATTAACGCACTTAAGGTTGCGAGAGCATTGCAGCATTCCCCGTACGTCAAGGACGTACTGTATCCGGGTCTCGAGACAAATCCGCGCAACGCCCTCGCATACCGCTTACTGTCACCGCATGGGAAGAAATTTGTAGACAACTTGAAATCGGTGACAGATGAAGACGGTGTTAGTCCAGATAGTGAAGGTGGATTCCCATACGGTGGAATGGTGTCCTTCCGGATTCGCGGAGGCGCGGCGGAAGCTAAACGGTTTCTAACGGCTCTGCGACTGTTCACGTTGGCAGAGTCTCTGGGCGGAGTAGAGAGTCTGGCAGAGCTACCGGCACAAATGACACATGGAAGCATCCCCGAGAGGGAAAGATCGTTGCTCGGGATCGGAGATAACCTCGTGAGGTTGTCGGTCGGAGTCGAAGAAGCAGACGACTTGGTCAGAGATGTTGAGCAAGCTCTGCAGGTTGCCTTACGTGACGCAGACCACGTGTAATATGTACTCCTCTGGAGTTCTTATTTATGTAAACTGTCCCCTAACGTAGACATCTGTTATTGTTATTGTTCTAGTTAAGCTGTATAGTCAGCTGGTGATTTACTGTCGGTTGCATTGGTTACGCTTGAAATTTGGAAGTCCGCGATGATTCGTCTCGTGACTCGTCTCGCGACCTTCTCTGTGCAACGCGTTTCAAATGCCCCTATTATGCGGCTATCCCGCTGATCGTGACGCATACCCGCTCACTTGCCAGCTCGGGAGGACACGGGAGGAAAAGCAGTGCTCGTGACCTTGGCGATTGAGATTCCGATGATCTGCCTTACGCTCCCTGAGCCTCGCGATAGCGGCAATATGCTCACCCTCAGGATCAATTAACTGGGCAGGGTTTGGACTAACACACGTTACGATTCTAGCCGCGACGGAAATTTTAGGTTGCTAAGACGAGCTTGTCGTAGGAAAAAATTCCGAAGTGCTCGTGGCGGAGCTTCAGAGCCCATTGAATACGCAAGAACTACAGCAACTTACAAGACGCTATGTACGGCCGACTGTTAACAGATAGTCGGCAACTTTCTTTCTGTGAGAGGTAAGTTCTATTACCCCTCTTGGTACTGAACAAGTAGGGTTGAGAAATGGACCACATCAGTAGGCGAATAGATGGTTCAAACCTGTCACTGACTGACTGCCACCGTGATTCCACCATTCCCTGGCCTCCTGATGCATAGTGAAGTTAGGATCATTCCGCTATCCTACGAATTTCCCCTCACTTGCCAGCTTGCAGGGAACATTTCTATCGTAAGGCGAGAAGGCTTAGCCACCAGCAACCACCGCCAAGATTCCTTTGAATATCGGTGTTCCGGGGTTATGAGAAGGTTCAATGCGTCTTCCTCGTGGTCTCTCGGCTTCGCTATGGCGGAAATATGCTCACCCTTAGGATCATCAACTGCGCAGAGTCCAGACTGACACAGGATATAATGACAGTCTTCTAGTGTTGCAAACATAAACTCATAAACTGACCGAAAAAAAAAATACCGAGTATTCGTGGCGAAGCTTCTGAACTCGTATTCAACAGCTGCAACAATTTAGAGGACGCTTCGTAGATCCGACTAATAAATACCCGGCAACTGCTTCCGGCGTCTGAACGCGTCAACAAACGTCATACCTTCCAATTCCGCCGCTTTTTCGATACGTTCACGTTCATCCTTTTCCAAGTCATCTATTTCCAGGTGTTCCATTCGTTTGTTTTCCCGTATTTGGATGGTCCGAATAACTGGCAGACGTGCATATCAACTCAACGCACTGCCTTTCCAGATATTCTACTTACCGAAGGCGACGGCTATTACTGCCAAGAGGGAGATTAGGCATATCAGGAACGAGGGGTGATACTGTGGGCCCCAACTCTCCTTCCAGATATACGAACCAGCTCTGAGGGAGGGAAATTGTCACGGAGGTAATAAGGTAAACCATGCGCTGACTGTTCACTTACATAGTTCCGGCGTTCCCAGCGGTAATCGTGAGAGCAATGACGACACTGCGTTTACTGGGCGGACGAGGGATTGCATTGGCGACCCACGCAATGAATACCATATCACCTAGCACAAGCAGGAGTCAGCTCCCTGTCAATATCAGTCCAGTGACCATACATACCACCAGAGCGTAGGGCCATCAAGTATTGCGAGAAGTATCTTGCACCGGTTGCCATTGTGGATAGTGATATGATAAATCCGACAATGGTGATCCACCAATATGTGACCAAGTGGAAGAACCGTTCGCCAGTGCGGTCTGTTCATGTCAGGCAAGGTACCGCTTGGCATTACTTTAGGTTTACTGACCGGAATGCCAGGCATTAATAACACCAACTATTGCGGGAAGGACCCACGGGGGTCTGTCACCGAAACAGTCAGGATAATCTGTATTACGGTAAAAGAAAGAAAGAACAGCACTAACGCAGACATCAGGAGGGTAACATTTGTGGAGTAACCAAGGGTGGCAGTCAACCTGAAATAGGTCAGAGGTCGCAAGAAGAGTAGCCATTGAACTGACGTGGGGAAGAAATTAGTGAAACTCCCTGAGAGGAATAGGAAGAATGCCAAGAGCATAAAGAGATAAGTCTTTGCATCTTTCATGGCCATTCGGAGACCCTCGAAAATGCTTGCAGAACGGTAAGCGATGGTAACATATGTATTGACGATAGATCCTACCTAGCTTCTTCCGAGTCCATATCTGCTTCGCCGACATCTTTGGCAAGTCGAAGCTGTGTAAGGCGTCTCTCTTCGGCATTCAGCCACCGAGTATTGTGGGGCTGATGACCATCAGTGCTCGATTTGGGACGGACTATCCCAGAGATGGAACCTACATAGTCGGGAAGCAGCCACCTACGCAAAACAATTCTCAGAAGAATTCAACGCGACGAAGGATAAAGAAAACTTACATCGACAGAATTCCAACAACGGCAGTTACAGCACCCTCCATAAAGAACAGCCTGAATAGAGATGATATTCATCAAATAAACATTGAAGATTTCCAAGGTAAGGGAGACTCACCATCTCCAGGCAGCTATGTGGAACTTGTCTTTCAAGATCGCTAAAATTGCAGCAGCCAACAGCTCATAGCATCTCAGCACAATTGGATGCTGTTGTTACAATGGTGACTTACGCCACCAAATGCATGTGCCATCATTCCACCAGTAAGCAATAACGCCAACCGTAATCCAAGTTCCTGCAAAACATAAGGAGGTACTTATAGTTGCATGGAACATGTGAGGCACCTTGCGCGTGTACCATCTCGACAGGAGATACGAACAACCCGGATAAAATCCAGCCTATTTCCAACTTGTAATAGTGATTTGTAATAGCGGGCATCGCTCACATCAGGTACACCAAGAAGTACACGACACGCGAGGATACTGCCGTAGTCCTTTGTTAGCTGGAAGGAAGGTCAGTCTTAGCTGAGTCTTTCTGCAGAATCCATCTTACCCCAGTCAGACCACTGATGATTCCCCACAGGACAGCACAACACCCAATGTACAATGACGGCCTAAGCAAATTTCTTAATAGAGGGATACGTGCAGGATAGAACTATCGATATCGACCTCGTGGTATGGTGTAAAAACTAACGAAATCGTGAGCGTTACGACAAGCGAGACTCGGGAGAACATGCTCTACCATGTTTGATGGAACAAGTACCAGGCAGTGCAATGCATAAGCAGCTGCGAGTGCGGTGTCGTATTGAATGTCTAACACCGCGTGAGTGGCCACTACCCGTGTCGTCACCTCGGAAAGAGTTACCCGTCAAATGCAGATCCGATTTCAAACCTTCCAACCTTGCGAAACTGATCACTATTCGCTTTTGGAGTAAACAACAACAACAACAAAAAAGTAAGACAGACAGACAGGCTGAATGAGAAAAGAGAACATCCGCTCACATCAACGGAACTCATCATGGCGAGGAAAACTATCACTGGAATGAGACGTGAATCGAGCTTCCACTTCAGTTGTCTTTCGGCGCCGTTATCTCGCTTAGGAGAGTCGTCGAGCTCCTTGGGATAGGCTCCCTTGAGCTCTCCGTCAAAAGCAGGTGGAGGCGTGTTCGACATGGTAAGCAACAAACCCAGAAGCGATGGGCATTTCTCTGGGACGGGGTCATCTCATATTTATAAGGGAGTTGATGAAAGGGTCCAAACCACGAGAGAATACTAGTTCTGATGTTCTACTGGGTGCCGATTGTAGCCATCACGACGCCCGCACACTCTGATCGAGAAGTCAGGAAACCCAGGCTCGCTGCAAACGAAAATACCGGGGGTCGAATTTCATAGGAGTAGTGCCTGAGATACACCGTATCTGCAGACATACATGTGATTCATTGCAGCGCGCGAGGAGTGAAGTCGCCGGCAACAATGTTACTCACTGGTGAGGTCCTATTGGATGATACAGCGGGGCCGTTCAGCCGCGCCCGACTTCTTACACGCTCGAAGCGTTGACGTCGCGAACGCAGATACGATATCTCTCTATTCTCGGCCTTCTGTCACCGAATCGTTGAAGAATCCGGCCAGTGAAATGCAGGGCTGCTGGAGTTGCAGATTGTAGTCATGCACTGGTTGTGCCGAGGGCGAAGGAGGCGAAGAACCCTAAAGATCGTGGCGGGGAAACCACAGAAGCGGGAGTCTCTTCCAGGGAGGACAGGTTCAAAAGATGGCGCTATACGCGTAGATCGAAAAGTCGGCAAAACTCGTCGCATCCGCCAAGCAGCCACCTTGGAGACACTGTTCCTGGACGCACTCATGGTCCAGGTTTCGGAAAATCTTGTGTCGTTTGAGATAGCACGGCTCCGAAGTAGCCACAGGAGTCTCACGGCCCGCGCACCTGGGTGTGCACGTGAATTATTGGCGAAGGTGGGGTCGTTGGCAATCACGGTATGTGTGTTGTGGGTGGGACCGTTAATCACGATGGGGTTCACGCTGCTATACATACAGTTCAGAGTCTTGTGTACAGAGATGAACCGGGGGCCGTGCTTTGCAACTCCGAAGAGCCAGTCAAGCCCGGTTCAGCACGGAACAGGCTTGGTGCTTGTGTTTCGATGGCAAATGAATTAAGTTGGACAGTGAGAAATGACGCCAGCCCCTCCATATTTTACTGCACGAATTCCTCACCAGCGACTAAGAACATCTGTGTTATTACTGGTTTGAATGTTCCGAGAAGTTAGGTCACTACTTACTCGTCTTGCTACTCATTCCGTGCGATGCGTTCTGAGGTAAGTTCAAACGCCTCTACGTATGGGAACACCACAACCCTTGGAAAAGAGTAGGTAAAAATTGAGAAATGGAACTTGCCAATGAAAGGACGCGGGAGGAAAAGTCGCACCCAGGAGCGCTGCAACGCGTTTCTGCTTCAGCGACCACGACGGCGAGAAGGCTTGACGACCAACAACGACCGCCGAGATTCCTTTGAACATCGGCGCCTCGGGGACGTGGGACAGGCTTAACATGTCTTCCTCTTGCTCCTCGGCTTCGCCATGGCGGAAATACGCTCATCCTCGGGACCGTCGACTACAAAGTGACACAGGGTGTGATTCTGGCACCAACTGACATCTGGTGTTACTAACACGAACCACTTGATAGGTATTTTGCTGGTGATTTACTATCGGTAGCATTTGTTACGTTCGAAAGTCCGCGTCTCCAAATGCACGCGTACAGCTATAAGTATACGCCTGCCAAAAAAAAAAAGCGTTTTCAAATGCCCCTATGTATAGGAACATGACCACTATGGATACCCGCTGTTCGTGGCGCATTTCCTCTGACTTGCCAGCTCGCAAGAGATTCACTGGAATTGTGGGTATATGTGAGGACACGGGAGGAAAAGTTGCACTCGGGAGTGCTAGGCGCTTCTGCGACCTCGGCATTTGGTATTCTAATGTATCTTCCTCGGGCTCCATGGACCCCACCACGGCTGCAATATGCTCATCCTCAGGATCAATCAATTGTACAGAGTCTGGACTAATACATGGTGCGATTCTAACTGCGACGGAAATCTAATGTTACTAAGATGAACTAATCGTGAAGAAATATCGAAGAGTTCGTGGCGAAGCTTCCGAGCCCATCCGGCGAGCGTGGGAACTTTCCCCGAACGGTCGCAGAGGCCCCGGGGACTTATGACTTACAAAGCGCTATGTACGGTCGATTGTTAATAGACAGTCGGCAACTCCCTTTCTGTGAGGTATGTTCTATTACTCCTCTTGGTACTGAGCAAGTAGGATTGAGATATGGAACACAGTAAAGTTACGATCATTCTGCTACCCTACACATATCACCTCACTTGCCGGCTTGCAGAGAACCGCTCTATCGTAGGGCGAGAAGGCTTGGTGACCAGTAACCGCCACCAAGATCCCTTTGGATATCGGCGCCTCGGGGTTGTGAGACGGGTTTAATGTGTATTTCTCGTGCTCTCTCGGCTTTGTATAGCGGAAATATGCTCATCCTTATGATTATCAATCGTGCGGAGTCCAGGCCGACACGGGGTATGATTCTGGCATTGGCAATCTTCTAGTGTTACGAACATGAGCTGACTGAAAAAAAAATACCGAGGTATTCGTAGCGAAGCTTCTCAACTCGCTGAATATACAACAACTACAACAACTTGCAGGACGCTACGTGCGTCCGACTAATAAACACCCGGCAACCGCTTCTGGCGTCTGAACGCGTCAACAAACGTCATACCTTCCAATTCCGCCGCTTTCTCGATACGTTCACGTTCATCCTTTTTCAAGTCATCTATCTCCAGGTGTTCTATTCGTTTGTTTTCCCGTATTTGGATGGTCCGAATAACTGACAAACGTGCATATCAACTCAACGCACTGCTTTCCCAGTCATTTTACTTACGGAAGGCGATGACCACTGATACCAAGAGGGAAACGAGGCATATCAGAAACGACGGGTGATACTGTGGACCCCAACTCTCTTTCCAAATACACGAACCAACACTAAGGGAAGGAAGTTATCATAGAAGCAAAAACACTGCCTACTCACTTACAGAGTTCCGACGTTCCCAACGCCAATCGTAAGAGCAATCACGACACTGCGTTTACCGGGCGGACGGGGATTGCATTGGCGACCCATGCAATGAACACCATATCACCTAGGACGAGCAGGAGTCAACTACACGTCAATATCAGTCCAGTGACCACCTATACCACCAAAGCGTAGTGTCATCAAGTATTGCGAGAAGTATCTTGCAGCAGTTGCCATTGTCGATAGTGATATGATAAATCCAACAATCGTGATCCACCAATATATGACCAGGTGGAAGAAGCGTTTGCCAGTGCGGTCTGTTTATGTCAAGCAAGGCGCTGCTTAGCATTACTTTGAACTTACTCGCCGGAATGCCAGGCATTGGCAACACCGACTATTGCGGGAAGGACCCACGGGGGCCTGTCACCGAAACAGTCAGGACGCTTTATATTATGGTAGTAAAAAAGAACAGCACTAACGCAGATATCAGGAGGGAACCGTTGTGGAGTAACCGAGAGTGGCAGTCAGCCTGAAATAAATCAGAGGTCGCATGAAGAGATTGCCAGTGAACTGACGTGGAGAAGAAATTGGTGAAACTCGCTGCCAGGGACAGGAGGAAAGCTAAGAACATAAAGAGACAAGCCTTCACATCTTTTACGGCCATTCGGAGACCCTCGAAAGTGCTTGCAGAGCGGTAAGCGATGGTAATGTATTCATTGACGATAAATCCCACCTGGCCCCTTCCGAGTCCATATCCGCTTCGCCGACATCTTTGGCGAGCCGAAGCTGTGCAAGGCGTCTCTCTTTGAGATTCAGCCACCGAGTATTGTGCGGCTAGTGATCATGAGTGCTTGATTCGGGACGGACTATCTTGGAGATGGAACTTACGTAGTCGGGAAGCAGCCACCTACGCATAATAATCCTCGAAAAGATTCGACACCAAACAGGATAAAGAAACCTTACATTGAGAGAATTCCAACAGTGATAGTGACAAGACTCTCTATAAAGAACAGCCTGAATAAGGAGAGTATTCGTCGAAGGAACATTGGAGATCATCAAGGTAAGTGTGACTCACCATCTCCAGGCAGCTATGTTGAACTTGTCTTCCATGGTCGCTAAAACTGCAGCAGCCAAGAACTAATAGCATCTCAGTACGAGTATATGTTACTGTCACAGTGGTGACTTACACCACCAAACGCAAGCGCTATCATTCCACCAGCCAGCAATAGTGCCGACCGTAACCCAAGTTCCCGCAAAATATGAGAATGGGGTGTTTGTAGTCGCACGGAACACATGAGGCACCTTGCGTGTGTACCATCTCGATAGGAGATACGAACAACCCGGATAAAATGCAGCCTATTTCCAAGTTGTAATGGTGACTTGTCCCATTAACAGTCGACATCACTCACTTTCGGTAGACCAAGAAGCACGCGACACGCAACGATACTGCCGAAGTCTTTTGTTAGCTAGAAGAAAAGTCAGTTTTGGCCGAGTCGCTCCGCAGAATCTATGTTACCGCAGTCAGACCGCTTATGATTCCCCACAGAACAGCACAACATCCAATGTAAAGAGATGGCCTAAGCAAATTGCTTAACAGAGGGATACGTAAAGAATCGAATTGTCTGTGCTGACCTCGTGATATGGTGTAAAACCTGACGGAATTGTGAGTCTTACGACGAGCGAAACTTCGAAGAACATGATCTACCATGTTTGATGGAACAAGTGCTGGGCAGTACGAAGCGTAAGAGATTGCTAGTACCGTGTCGTATTGAACGTCTAACACTTCGTGAGTGGCCATTGTCCATTTCACCATCCGGGGAAGGAATTAGCCCGTCAAATGCAGATCCAACTGCAAGCCCTTCAATCTTGCAAATGTGAGCGCTATTCCCTTTTAAAATGAATGGCCAATAAGAAAGTAAAACGGTCCGACTGAATGAATGATAACCATCCGCTCACGTCTATGGAGCTCATTATGCCAAGGAAGGTTATCACCAGCACGAGACATGTTGCTACAAACGGAAACGCCGGGGGTCAAATTTCACAGAGGGAGTATTGCCTGGGATACATTGTATGTGCAGACATATTCCTGGACGCTGTCAGGCCAGGTCTGCAAACTCTTTGTCCTCAACAATCATACCGGACCGTTAAGTCCGGTCACGTGGATGCATTGGGGTTTTGGCATTTTGTTTGTATTCATCATGTCAAGGAGTGTTGTGCAGACAACCATGGACAGTGGCGTGTGCCACTTGTATAGCGATGTCATTGCCATCAGTTATGAATTCATTCGGCGAGAATATATGCTGGACCGTGTTGCTATACGCGAGGAATCTACTGCCGAGTCTGTGTAGGCCAGAGGACCATTGTTGGTATGCTGTACAAACTCAGTACGCGAGTTGGTGGAACAGTACCCTTTCCTGACGTTGAAGGATATTAAATCTATTGCGGAATTTCACAGTGGTTTTGCTTCATCGTCTGCATTGTCAGGGGTGTGTCAATGCCCTCTGCGTTCACGAGTCTACAGCTACTTGTCCATTGCTCTTGTGCGTGTTTTGACAGCTAAAGACTGCTCGGAGAGGGAGTGTCACTCGACTTCACTACAGTTTCTCGTCGTGGCGCAGACTCCACAGCAACATTCTACTGTTTGGGCATCGTTGACGCCGTCTGGACACTCGGGGGACAAGTCTGTGGCTCCACCTCATTATGTGTGCCCCCCCATCCTCTACCTCATTGAAGATTGCTCGTATGTCGTTCTCTGAGCATCAAAACAACTACTCATAAATAACAGTCATGTCATCTACCATCCCACATAGTCAACATGAACGCATGCCCCGTAGACTTTTCCATTCGATATCGCACCCTCACAGTACTAATCTCTTACAGAGACTTGGGCACACACACTCAATAGAATCACCTGTAGAATCACTAGTAAATCTAGGAGGGAGTTCAACGGAACGCTGTAGGTCAGATATGAAGTTGATAATTTCCGTGTTGGCGGCTACTTCATTGCAAAGAAATAGCGAGAAGATGAAAGACGCTGCGAAGGACGACCGTCCGAACATCACGGTAAATACGACAACTACGGCAATCCCCAACTCATTTTGTTTGACATCGAAAACGCCCATATATTGCATGACCACGGACAAACCACGTAAGTATTTATCGTATGTTACGATCTCCAGAGCTATACTGATACACGTTGTAGACAGAGACTAGAAGTTTACAGTAGGGGGGATTCCTTAGGTTTCTTTATTAACATGACGAGGGTATTCTTAACCTGCGCAAACGTTCGAGTTTGGGTTGAGTGGATGATGACAGAGCGTTACCTGCTTCAGTAATATCCGATGCGACTAATACCGGACAACATGTTGTCCAGCGTGTGCCTAACAACCTGGATCTTCATAATACCACAGCTCTCACTCTCAACGTGCTGGCATAATGCACTGAGAGTGCAGAAGTGTATTCCGCAGGAGCCGAGAGGGCATTTATAGATCTTGTCCTGGTGACGGGGGCTCGCCAAGTGGCGATTAAGATCAAGCAACGCCGCGAAACGGGAGTGGCAAAGCACACATTCGTATGCTTGACCATTCCAAGACCTTTCAGATGCGATATAATCCACGGTGGTGTCATCACCACCGGTGAGAAGACGCGACGGATTGGTAATGACGTTGCTGCGGTCCATCTGACGTACGTATTGGTTCACCTTCTGACGGTTAACCCCGGACTGACAAGAACCGGATTCGAGATGAAGTATCACAGCAGACTTGGACACGAAAGCCATGTCACATAAGGGACACTTCACGTCCTTCGGTTTGTGAATGCTGGAATTCAAATGCTATGGAACAAAAATCAAGCAACAGCTTCACCAGAACAAAGAAAACTTGCGGAGTTGAGATTGTTCTCAGATCGGAAGATACGCCTGCACGAAACACAGTAGCGGTCCTGGTGACTCTGCCTGTTGTGCTCATGTAGTCCGTTTTCGTTCTTGAAGATCCTATTACGCGTTTCGCAGTAGCCATGATGGTTGCGATAGTGGTCAATGAGATAAGACCAGGCGGGAAAATGCTCGTCGCAGTATTGGCAGTAGTCGTGGTCAGGACTCTGCACCCAGTGTTCTTTGAGACCCCGCCAAGAAGAGAAATCTGTGCCACAGTCATCGCAGAGGTTGTGACTCGGGGAGTCGCGAATGTGTCGACGGTAAGCATGGTCTGAGGGGAAATCACGATCGCAGCGATCGTAGTAGCTCATTTCTGAAGATCTGAGGACTGGTGACGCCGTGGTCTACGTTGAGGACGTGTAATGCGGACGCGTCTCTGCTTTACACCCCCGACCCTGGACTCCGACGCGCCAGTCACTCGTTTCACGTAAGCACTGATTATCATGGTCCAGCGAACGATGCGGGGGCATTGCATTCATGTTATTCAGGCACCTAATGTACACACATACAAGTTTGTGGGCAGGTATAGTTTCCGCCGCCACCATCCACGAAGCATTGGAGAAATGGAGGAAAGCAATAAAGGGACCGCTCAAGAGGTCTACGCACCGTGGATCCTTCTGTCGACTGTAGCCAGCAAATTTAAAGCCTGATCCTTCCTAGCATTGCATGACTCGCTTTCGATGTGCTGGAATAGGGCGCCAAATGCGTCGAATCGCCTTGTACAAGAAGGATCGGGGCATCGATAAACTCTGTCTTCGTGATCGTGGCTTCCAAAACGATGCATCAGGTCAAGTAGATATTTGGAAAGAAGTCCTTGACACACTCCGTTACAAGGAGACGACGGCCGCGACCACAGCGCTCGATTTCACGTACATGCTGCTTCACCAGATAGCGGTCAATATTTGGCATAATGGGGCAAACGCCTCGTTCAAAATGAAGAATCCACGCAGCGGAAGAGATGAAAGAACGACCGCAGCGACAGGGGATGTCCGCTTTTCGGTGGGCTTTGGACCTCAAGTGCTATCAACGATGGAAAATCAACCAGTGACTAAGGAATGATAGCAGATGAGATACTCACATGTCTATGCCCATTCTCGGTTCGAAAACGGCGCCCACATTCTCTGCAGCAGTAGTGACAACTTTTGTTATGATCATCGAGTCCACGTTGGCCCTTCAGTACCGTGTCACACCAGTGGCAATAGGCATAACCGTTTTCCGTGCGATAATGTTGGATGAGGTCGCTCTCGTGCAAATAATCATAATCTTTATCACAATCCTCGCAGATGTTGTGCGAGCGGGAGTTGCGGATATGCTGCAAGTACGCCGAGTGACTGCGGGAGAACCGCGTTCACAGCGTTCACAATCTACCATCTTGTCTCAAGTGGACAACCACTGCAACAGATGGCGCGGTAGTGATCGATGTCACTGTGATCCAGCAGCCAATCGATTACTCAGTGAGGACGATGGTGGATTGAGCGCAGGTTCAGAAGTATTTCTGAGTACTTGACCGCTGTGATAAATGTCACTGAAACCCAGTGACCAATCAATTATTACACACCGAGATGACGGTGGAAGGAGTACTTGCACTAATGCGGTGATGGTCTCATTATAGGAGTGTCCAGGGGGTCTAAATAACTACATCACGTGCTCTCCCCAAATGCGTCCAGGAGCACCCTGGAGGGCTTTTGTATATGTAATTCATTGCAGCACGCGAGGACTGGAGTAATCAGCAACAATGTTACTCATTGTTGAGGTCTTAAACGAAGCGATTAAAACCATTGGACGGCGCAACAGGGCCATTCAGCTGTTCCTGACTTCTTATACGCACGCAGCGCCAATACTGCGAATGCAGCTAGGACATTTATTGATTCTCGGCCTTCTATCACCGAATCGTTGAATAATCTGACCAGCGGAATGCAGGGTTGCTGGAATCCGGTATTACAGTCATACAAAGGTTGTGCCGGGGCCGAAGGAGGCGGAGGACGTAGCTGCGGAGCCACAGAAGCAGTGATCTCGTCCAGGAAGGAGACATTCACAAGTCGGTGCTATATGCGTAAATCGAAAAGTCGGTAAAACTCGTCACCTCCCGCCAAGTAGCCACCTTGGGGTCCGGTATTCCTGGACGCAGGTCTCAGAAAAATACCGTCGTTTGGGGTAGCTGCACGAAGTCCCACGGCCCGCGCACTTACATACTACTCAGAGTCTCATTTACAGAGATGAACCGGGACGCACGCTTTTGCAACTTCAAAGACTCAATCAAGCCCGGCTCAGCGTGACGTCGCCATGGAACAGGCTTTGTGCTTGTGTCTCTATGGCACATGAATTAAGTTGTACAGTGAAAAATGACGCCAGCCCCTCCATATTTTGCTGCTCACCAGCGACTAGGAACGAGGTTGGGCCACTACTTACTCGTCTCGTTACCCATTCTGTACGATGCGTTCTGAAGTAAGTTCAAATGCCCCTACGTACGGGAACATTTCAACCCTTGGTATGGGGTGGGTAAGATTTGAGAAATGGAACTTGCCAACGAAAGCGCACGGGAGGAAAGGTCGCACCCAGGAATGCTGAAACGCGTTTCTCCAGTGACCATACGGGCGAGAGGGCTTGACGACCAACAACGACCACCGAGATTCCTTTGAATATCGGCGCCTCGGGGATATGGGACAGGCTTGAACATGCCTTGCTGTTGCTCCTCGGCGCCGCCGTGGCGGAAATATTCTCATCCTCAGGACCGCCGACTGTGCAAAGTGACACGGGGTGTGAACCTGGCACCAGCTAACATCTGGTGTTACTAACACCAACTAATCATAAAGATTACCAAAGTGTCCGCGAACAAATTGAATATCCAACAACTACAACTTACAAGACATTGCGTACGTGCGACTAATAGATAGTCGGCAAGCGTTTCCTACGTTCGAAGGCATCATCAAACGTCATGCCCTCCAATTCTGCAGCTTTCTCGATGCGTTCACGTGCATCCTTTTCCAACTCGTCCACCTCCAGGTGTTCCATTCGCTTGTTTTCCCGTATTTGCATGATCCGAATAACTAGCAGACGTCCAGGTCAACTCAACGCATTGCCTTTCCAGTTATTCTACTTACCGAAGGTGATGGCTATTCCTGCTAAGAGGGAAATGAGGCATATCAGGAACGAGGGGCGATACTGTGGGCTCCAGCTCTCTTTCCAGATATATGAACCAACGCTGAGGAAGTTGTTACGGAGGTAAAAAGGTAGACCATACACTGACCATCCACTTACAGAATTCCGGCGTTCCCGGCGCCAATCGTGAGAGCAATCACAACACTCCGTTTACCGGGCGGACGAGGGATTGCATTGGCGACCCATGCAATGAACAGCATGTCACCTATGATGAGCAAGAGTGAACTTCGTGTCAGCAGTCAGATCCAGTGACTACACATACTGCTAAAGCGTAGGGTCATTAAATACTGCGAGAAGTATCTTGCAGCGGTTGCCATAGTCGATAGTGATATGATAAATCCGATAACGGCGATCCACCAATATGTCACCAGGTGAAAGAAACGTTCGCCAGTGCGGTCTGTTCGTATCAAGCAAGGTATTGCTTCGCATTACTTTGGGCTCACTCACCAGAATGCCAGGCGTTGACAGTACCGAGTATTGTAGGAAGGACCCATGGGGGCCTGTCACCGAAACAGTTAGAATGTTTTGTATTACGGTACAAACAAAGAACAGCACTAACGCAGACATCAGAAGGGTAATCGTTGTGGAGTAACCAAGGGTGGCAGTCAACCTGAAATAAATCAGAGGTCGCAAGAAGAGATTGCCATCGAACTGACGTGGGGAAGAAATTTATGAAACTCGCTGCCAAGGATAGGATGAAAGCCAAGAACATAAAGAGATATGCCTTTGTATCTTTCATGGCCATTCGCAGACCCTCGAAAATGCTTGCAGGGCGATAAGCAATGAGGATACAGACATTGTCGAAAAATCCCACCTGGCCTCTTCCGAGTCTATATCTGCTTCGCCGACATCTTTGGCGAGTCGAAGCTGTGCAAGGCGTCTCTCTTCGGCATTCAGCCACCGAGTATTGTGGGGCTGATGATCATGAGTGGTTGATTCGGGACAGACTATCTTCGAGATGGAACGTACGTAGTCAGGAAGCAGCCACCTATGCAAAACAATTCTCAGAAGAATTCAACGCGACGAAGGATAAAGAAACCTTACATCGACAGAATTCCAACAACGACAGTCGCAGTACCCTCCATAAAGAACAGCCTGAATAGTGAGAGTATTCATCAAATACACGTTAAACATTTCGAAGGCAAGGGGGACTCACCATCTCCAGGCAGCTAAGTGGAACTTGTCTTGCAAGGTCGCTAAAACCGCGGCAGCCAATAACTCATAGTATCTAAGCAGAAGTAGACGTTGCTGTCACAATGGTAACTTACACCACCAAATGCAAGCTGCCATCATTGAACCAGAGAGCAATAACGCCGACCGTAACCCAAGCTCCTGAAAAACATGAGAAGGAGGTACTTATAGGCGCACGGAACACATGAAGCACCTTGTGCGTATACCATCTCGATAGAAGATACGAACAACCCGGATAAAATGCAGCCTATTTCCAAATCCAAGCTGTAATGGTGATTCGTAGTAGCGAGCATCGCTCACCTCAGGTACACCAAGAAGTACACGACACGCAAGGATACTGTGGTAGTCCTTTGTTAGCTAGAAGGAAAGTCAGTTTTGGCCGACTCTCTGCGCAGAACCCATATTACCCCAGTCAGACCACTTGTGATTCCCCACAGAATGGCACAACATCCAATGTACAGCGATGGCCTAAGCAAATCACTTAACAGATGGATACGTGCAGGACGGAATTATTGATATTGACCTCGTAGTACGGTGTAAAAACTAACGAAATTGTGAGCGTTGCGATAAGCGAGACTCAGGAGAACATGATCTACCATGTTTGATGGAACAAGTGCCGGGCAATATAAAGCGTAGGCAGTTGCGAGTACCGTGTCGTATTGAATGTCTAACACCGCGTGAGTGGCCATTATCTGTGTCACCATCCGCGAAGGAGTTACCCGTCAAATGCAGATCCGACTGCAAGCCTTCCAACCTTGCGAAACTGATCACTATTCGCTTTTGGAATGAATCACAAAAAAGGTAAGGTGGTCGGACTGAATGAATGAGAAAAAAGAATATCCACTCACATCTATGGAACTCATTATGGCGAGGAAAACTATCACTGGTAAGAGGCGTGAATCAATTTTCCTCCTCAGTTGTCTTTCTGCACTGCTATCTCGCTCAGGAGAGTTGTCGAGCAGTTTGGGGCTGGTTCCCTTGACCTCTCCGTCAAAACCTGGCGGAAGCGTGTTCGACATGGTAAACAAGCCCAGAAGGGATGGGCATTTCTCTGTGGCAGGGTCATCTCACATATTTATAGGGGAGATGTCGAACAGGATCTGGTTCACAAGAGAACACTAGTTTTGATCTTCTCTTGGATGCCGACAGCAGTTGTTACGACGCACGCCCTGATTGAGAAGTCGGGAAACTCAGGGTCGCTACAAACCGGGAGTTGAACTTGGAGGGAGTATTGCCTGAAATACATCGTGTTTACCTGCAGACGTAGGTGTTAATTGCAGCACGCAGACCGAAGCAGTCGGTAACAATGGTGCTCACTGGTGAAATCTTAAAATAAAATGGTACACACCATTGGACGGCACAACAGGGCCGTTCAACCGCGCGGGATTTCTTGTGCACGCGAAGCGTCAATATCGCGAACGCATATACGACATGCATTTTATTTTCGTCCGCTTGCCACCGAATCACTGAAGAATCTTCTCAGGATGCGGCCAGCGCAATGCCGAGCTGTCGAAATTCCAAATTATAGTGATGCAAAAGATGTTGGGGAACCACAGAAGCAGGAGTCTCGTCCAGGGAGGAGACGTTCATAAGATAGTGCCGTCAAGTCGGCAAAACTCGTCGCCTGCCGCCCAGCAACATCTTGGAGACGCTGATAGCGGCCACCAGGATAAGACATTAAGCTATCAAGTTCCATGCGTAAGAGTGTCCAGGATGTGCCTCAGTTTTCACCCGAATGATACACTTCCCGGCCCTGATAGACTCGTAGGTTGGTCCGGCGGCGCTAAAACCTCAAACTAAAGAAATGAAATCGCATGAAATCCCTACTATGCGCGATTCTGGGCAACCCTCACCTCAACATTGACGGTCCACGAAGGGAGGCCACATTCCACTGCTTGCGACCAGTGTTTCAATGTGATCGTGAGCGATAGCTTGCAAAAACAATTCAATTCACGTATCCTTTGGATCATCTCGGAGTCAAAGACCAGCTCGTACGGGCTAGTACGCCCCGATCGGTTGTAAACTCACCGCAGTTCAGAAGACATGTCTCATCCGATGTAAATAGCAAAGGCGCATACACTCGATCCACTGGATCAAAGGTCCCGAACCTAATCATTGAATGCGTGGAGACTTGACAAAACCTCGCAGTCCTTCCCCACAATATACGGGGGAACGCATCGATCGCAACGACAATATTCCGTACAATTCCAGACTCGTATGTAGAAGGCAAAACCAACGCACACGTTGCACGATGCAGGCCTTCCCCCGGAGGAATTCGTGGCAGTAGCCTAGAGGGATACTTCTGCGGTCAGCTTCTCGACTTCGTTCTGATATATACTTCAAAGAACATCAGCTCGACGTTTATGGATGATTCCGGGACTGCGAGGGGTACATTGTACTGGTGCTGTTATTCCAACAACGGGAGGGGAAAGGTGAACGACGACGGTTAGTTCCTTGGTCAGTACGCAATCAGTAACTAAAAAGAATGTGGTGATTGACAAAGATACTGCGGATATCCAGGTTGACCAGGTCTTTCAAGTTGTTGTATGCCATTTTTTCACACGAAAGCAAGCTCCCCAAAATCGAGCATTTGGCGCATACACGCCCCCACGATATGATTATGCTGGACATCGCGGTGTCAAACCGAAGTACTACCTCTCAGGTGCATCCTCATGGCACAACGGCGAAACTCTCTACGTCGAAAACTATTCGATCAGGTTGCTTGCTGAAAACACTCCATTATAAGATATGTATAAGTGAATGCATGAGTAAATGAGAGTTCCGACAGACATCGACGACGAGTGTATGCACCATGCACGGCTCCTAATCCATTCCGTCCCCTACCTTTTCCACGACAAGTCGCCCTGCTACATATAAGCATTTCTACAATCTTCGAAGACGTACGGTACTTACTTGCCAATCAAATGCACGAACCAACATATACGCACGACAATCAGGACCCGGAACGGACCATCTTCATGACATCGGATACGCTCCTCTCAATCTGACACGACCGTCTTTGAGCCGTTCGGTGATGATAGGGCTCGCTGCGGGTCTGTACTTGAACTCTTTCGAGTATCTGTGTCGCACGTGTCGTGTCATCAATGGCTTGTCGCAAATCTAAGCAGGATGGTTAGACACTACCGAGAAGCGTAGATGACTTTCTGCTGGGTGTTCTTCTTGGAACTGAGGGAGTAGGAGAGCCAGAAGAGGAAGATGATGAATGCAATGAGTGCGACACGTTTCCAAGCTGAGGGTGGTGGCGGGTTGAAGCGAGGATCTGTCAAACGACGGGGTGATGGGCGGCTTGTCGACTGGGTTTGAGTGTTGTCGTTGTCGTTGTCCTCGTCGTCGGAACGGGGCAGGCGTTGGTATTGGGTGGTCGACATGGATGTGGTCGGGGTTTGAAATGGGTGAGGGTAGTGCTTAGATCTGAACAACAAGTACTGTGAGATGTCTGAGGCGGAGGCGGAGGACTTGTCAGATTGTGACAGAAACGTCGTCGTCAGTGGTGCGTTTGTTTGACTTTCAGCGCGGGACCACTGCAGTCGCCGTGACCATCCATGGCACTATCAGAGTATGATTCGGACGTCGACATGGCAATCGAACCCGACGAGCAAGATATTGACGACGACGGCGACGGCGGGGAGGACGTGCGTCTCTTCTTCTTACAACTTATCTTACCAGCGCTCGCCGTTCTCACCCACAAGTACGCTACCTACAGGAAGCTTTGGATGTGGAATCAGAAGAACTCTCTCCTCCACCTTCGCCTGCATCCAGACCACGACTGAAGATCAAGTTAAAACTACCGCAGGTGCCCAGTTCGAACGAACCCTCCAGCAGGGCTACATCCACCCCTAGCGGAGAAGGAGCCAGTCAGCTACCATCTCGCCGCGGGATTTCCAAAGGTACGGTCCTATTGCGGTATTCCTGCGACATTCGTTGCTAAGGACGGATGGGTAGATTATGTGGAATCAGAAGATGGGGACGAGGATGACGATGACGAGATGGTTGGGAGCTCCGCTCGTCCCATGACTTCCCGGCAAGCCGTGCTGGCGAGTGTCGTCGATTCATCTCATGTATCATTGTGTACGCCAAACACGTCCCATACAGACAACGAAACTGACATGGTAAATGTAATGCAGCAGAATCGTCGAGAAAGAAGAAACAGCTAACAGAGGAGGAAATTGCCCTCCGTCGAGAAGAGACGGCCCGCAAGCGGAGGAACCTTTCTGAAAAGAAACTAGAAGACGAAAAGGTCCGTCGTTCTCTCCACTTGTTTCCATCCTCCAAAAGGTCTAGCTGGTCCTGACAACACCCGATCACCATAACTGCGCTTTCTATCCACACTCCCGTTGATATACCCAGATGGAAACTATCAACCGCCTTCTCAAGAAACAGTCGAAGTCGAAAAACAAACGTAACATTCTGTCAACTGCAGATGATCGCACGCCAGTGTCCGTCACCCCTGCCGTGGTCTCGTCCACACGCGACGGATCTCAACCACCGCTCGAAGCAGAAATGCCAGAGCCAGTCGAGGTGATTCCTACCTCATACCGATGGATTTCGACCATCAAGCCACCACCTGCCGCCGCAACGTTGACGAGTACAAGTACGAGTGAGGACGTGGCAATGAGAGACAACAACATAGCGGAAGTAAAAATGAGGATGACAGTTCTCCGTTCCTGTGTGTGCCCTCCCTGCGGAACACGTTCCGGCCCGGGTCGGTCAGGTGAGGATGCCTCCGGCGACCATTCCGATCTGTGACGTGAGTGGTTGTGGACACGCTCGGAAGTATCGGCTCGTCAAGGATTGGATGAGAGGTGCATGCGGGATGGATCATCTGAAGGATCTCGAACGGCAGATGACCACATAGCCATGACGGCGATGTATCCGTAGTTTTTGGTGTGGCGATTTGGAAGAGGAGGTGCTAAGGTTTGGTTAGCCTGTAGGGGATGGTTCGACAGCGATGCTGTGAACTTGTCAAGTGGACATTGGATAGTGTAATACCCCTGGTTGTAACCTCTTTCCTCGATCGGGAGGGTGCTTGCGCAATTGGTTGTCATCTTTCCATGGCCTTTTGCCATTACGCCGTTGACAAATCTCGAACAACTATTACACCCTGTGGCTTGATTGATCAGTAGCCCCGTAGGACGGTAGGTTTCGGTGTGCAACCTTATTGTGTAGACCATATATGGGTTGCCGTGGGGTAGGTGATGCGGTGATGAAATAGAAGATAAAAAAAGTGCAGCGAATCAACGGCCGAGGTTCTTGTAGTCAATGGAAGCGAGCAGGGCTTGCGTTGCGCAGGGAGAGAATGGCGTGCGATCTCGATAATAATAATCCAGTAGTGACTCGGACTGTATTTCCTCTCGGAGCAAGCATTTTGACATGTCAAAATGCGAGTGGACAGTGTGTCGCCCTGATCGGATACTAACCATCAGGTCACGCACGACCACCCTAAGAATCCCGCCAACGCACGTTTCCACCAGGATTGGGACAGTCTACCTTACCATTAACCTATTAGCCTTGCAACCGGGCGGTATATGAACCGTGTCCTCACCATGTCTAACGAAGACCCCATTCCCACTGCACCCGTTCCTGCCACCCCAAAAAACCATACTAGCCCACCGATGGCGTTCACAGCCCGCTCGACCGAAAGCCCCAGCCCAAGGAGGGAGAACAGGCGGTCGTTCTCTCAACAGGTGTCCGCTCTCGCAGCAAGACTAGGACGTGTCGTCACTGCAGAAGGCGACAACGATGGCCGTGATAGATTCGATGTGGATTCGATTCGAAGCAGCGCGACATTGGTAAAAGATGGATGTAAGTACTGTCCTCGAACATACGCCACCCGTCCATTCTTTTATACATCTCGTTTATCTATCTCCCCCTCGATGACATGGGAGATAAGCACTGAACCTGAACTGGCTGATAAGCTATAGCAATTATCGCTATCTCTTGCGATAAGCCGAACGCTAAATCAGTGATTATGGGCGCTTCTCCTTGGGGTGTTTTTTTCTCTCCGTTCCCATGGCTTGTCCCTACGTCACTCAGGACACTCCGACGCTGTCCGACGCTGTGTGGGCCATGGATGGACCGGGCCATCCTCATACCCATATGATGCGTTCCTTTTTTGTGGCATCAGGGCAGACACCACCGTTTTGACAGCAGTGACGGATCTTGGTCGTTCTGGAACTCCTACTTAAGGAACCCATTAAAAGTCCAAATCGATCCCGTCGCCTTTGTCTTCTACATCCACACCATTGCTCTGGACTCGTTGACACTTTAAACTGCGTTGCTGATCACTACTTCCAGTCATGACGGACTCTCCCAACACTGTCGATAGTCGATCTCTTTCTCGTGGAAGGGATGCCTTCGTGAGTATCCTTCGTCACTTGAGAAAATCGTATATCTGATGATGTGATCGGTCGGTCCGTAACAGCAATCTTCTGGGAGAGGCGGAGCAGGCAACATCAGACGTTCCTCTCAATCTCGTGAACCCCGTCCATTTGATGGCCCAGAAGACTTTTCTCACACCCGTGGTCGTGAGCCTGCTGTGCATCCTGATCGGGTACGTTATTCTGAACCCATTTCTGCATGCCATCCATGCCATGGGGTGCGATCGCGCTCATGTGCTCACGTCATCGATTCTAGGTTTACTCCGTCGGGAGAGGTGGCGCTGGGAATATGCGTTCGCCGTCCCGCGACCCTGGCGCGGTGAGACCTGTCCACGAAGACGTCATCGCGGAATCTCCATATGAACAGCGTATCTTGAGGGAGCACGCAGCTGCTGAGGTCGTAGTGCGTATACAGATGTTCTTTTTTTCCCTACCGTTTCAGAATCGCTCATCGAGTATGTCCAGCACTCTTCGGGTCGTGGTGGTGCAGGCAACATTACTCGATCCCGTTCGAGGTCCCGTGGTCCTGGGCTTGTGCTTCACTCCACCGGCCGAGGTGGTGCTGGAAACATGTTGACCGGTGATGGACGGAGCAGTGAGGCCCTCGACCAAGAGGAAAGGAAGAAGCATCATCACCCAGAGGGAATGTCAGTGTCATTCCCCTTGAATCTGAGTCACATCGGCTAACGTGGTTCCCCGGAAACCGATTGATAGACACTCCACTGGCCGAGGTGGCGTCGCAAACATGACAGGTGCACATGATCCAGAAGTCGAGTCCACACATCATCATGCTCATCCCGGCGAGTATCTGTCTTCGGGACGCGGCGGCGCTGGGAACATTCGGACCCCGTCGCAGTCCCGTCCTTCCGCCGATGGAGGACAGAGGGGTGGTGGTGCCATCTCAGGCTTGTCGAACAAGTAGGGTGCCTGAGTGTGCATGTGGAATATGACAAGTGAACGCGTTCGGTACACACACGGGACTCGACGACTACGTATCTTGAAATATTCTATTTGTTTTATTGTTTTACCTTTACAACCCATCTCAGTTGCTATACGGTTATCGTTGTGTACCTTACTTCAATACTTCCTGTGGACGATGATGTTACTACTAGTACATGCTTACCATTTTCTTGGCATCATCAATATGTGACTTCGACTATCAGTATTTATGACTTCCTGACAGAATCATCATCGCGATTGAGAGGGGTCCCGAAAGGGGACGCGAAACAGCCCCTTAATCTCAACTAAATTTACATTTGGAGCTGCCCTCTACTACCGCCTTCGCGCTCCTCTCAAGCCGACAGATTGAAGTCATGCGCCCTAGTCTGTGATTACTATGTAAGTACATACTGCGCACTCCACGCCGTGCTGCAGAGACAACTAATGCTGACTACGACCAGATAACAAGGACAAAGGTCATTACCACCATAAGGGTATTGAAGATCCAAATGCCCGTGTGTACACGTACGCTGCCCTCGAACGCTCCCGACTCGCGAGCCTGTTCCAAACATATCCTGCGTTCTCTCTCCCGACGGAGTTCTTCCTCTTCCGTTTGTTCTTTTCGTTTCACCAGGCGTTCAACCTCTTCCTTTTGCTTGTTCACTTCGGCTTGTTTGCGTTCCAGTTCCTTCGTCATGTGGCGAAGCCTTTCTGCTATTCGCGCTTTTTGTATGGCCAATATCTTGCATGCCAAGGCTTCCTTTGCCTGGATGAACACCACTGCCGCCCACTTTCGGACTTGTAGAAGCGTCTGCCCCCACCAGAGTACCTCCTCCACTTGTCTACGCGTTCTCTCGTGCTGGAGGTCTTCTCCAAATGGAAATCTTTTCTCCTGTCCTTCCCGCCGTACAATAAGTGGCGCCTCTGCCATCCAGCTACTTTCCTGCATGGCGCTAAAAAGTTCTCGTTGGAACACAAGCCTTTCTTGTTTCTCTTGTTCAGCCTGTGTCTTCTGTTGCTTCTCCAAATCCCGTATGCGTTCCAAATGCATTAGCTTCTCTGCTTCCATGTCCGCAATGATAGTCAGAAGTCGGGCCTTCTCTGCCTGGAAGGTCTGTTCTATATTTTCGATACGACTTTTAATGTTTTCAATTTCCTCGCGTTTGCTCTCCAGATCACCTTGGGCTACCCGTCGCTTCTCCTCGTCTTTGTCACGGGTCGAAGCCTCCAAACTTGCGTGGAGTTTCCGAAGCTCGGTGTCATATTCCTCTGCCTGTTCCTTTAGAGCTCGCGTGAGCTCTTTACCCACAGCCGTTCCCGAGAACTCCTTGTGCTCGTCGACTATTTCCCGCTGGCCTGCGAGAGTTACGTTGCCCTTATTGATTAACTGGCGAACGATGGCTTTCGCTGAGGCTGTCGTGCCGTCATGACGAACCATTTTACCGCCCCCTTCAAGGACAGCTTTGTAGAACTTGTTATCAGTTGCTAGCTCGCTCTCTCTTTTATTGCAGATTTCTAGCTCGTCGTCTCTCCACATATTGGTGACAATGAGGATATTCTTGAATGCATCCTTCCCACAGAGTTCGCGGAAGCACCTGAAGTTGCGCATCGATGTGCCTGTCATGCGGGGATCGGAAATGCGATGCATATAGATGATGCCGGTGAGCTTAACGCCCTGTTCGTATCTGTGAGTTGGGACGTGCGTCAGACGGATTGTAGTCCGGTCCCCTCCCACGTATGTACGCAATGCGACTCACGTGTTGGCAAGGTATGCAGATATGTGTGCTATGATCTCCCTCTCCTTGCGATTGGTGTCGTCAAAGCCCGGCGTGTCGATCAACGTTACCATACACTCATCCAGGTAAAACGGCTTTGACGATTGCACGTCAACCGTGCAGCTCTCGAGTCCCATCCCTACCACAAGATCCGACTCGCTCGCGCAGTTGATGAACTATCACGTCGACCACGATGAGATGGAGATGAGCGTTCAATAAGTAGGGAAGTTGTTGGTGTGTGCTCACAGTGGATTTTCCACTTCCCGTGAGGCCCATGACGCTGTATGGACGAGGTGAGGCGTGTCGGTTACAGACATGTTATATGGATGTCACATATACGCACGCAATTCGAGCTTCATTTCCTGGAGAAGACATTTGTGCTCGTCTTTCGCGATTGTAAGAATTGTAAATCCAGTGATAGCAAAAAGGGAAAAACAGTGTATCGCAGTCGCAAAGTACCTTGCAGTAGGGCGAAGGGTTTCCTAGTTCCTGCTGTGTGCGGGGACATGCTTTTATATCTTCACTTACCACATTGCCACCTCGTTGTCGAACTATTTGGACCATCGAAATCTTCACAAGTGAAACACACAGCTGCAGGTGATTCATTGGGTGTGTGACGGAAGTGAAGGTCCTGTTATAATCATGAACCCAAGTTGCATGTACTCTGATACAATCTAGTAGGCGGTCAGCGCTTCGCGCCTTGGAATACCTTGAGGGTCCATGCGTATACTGCGAGTAGGGTAAAATTCTGGAAGAGCAATTCACCGCCCCCCATTTCAACCTTTCAAGTGCGTGAGTGCAGCCTGGCACAATGTAGCCAGACCACGTTTCGGTGAGCGCCTAAATCAACCTTGATCGTGGAAGTCGTAAGTCACTGGCAGGTGACGGACGATGTGGTTCCTAAAAAGGAATATGTAACCCCCATGCGGCTTTACAGTGAAACGGGTCCTGACTCAGCCGTGACCGCACCGTCTGTTTTCGCGGTCGCAGCTTCACTTCTTGTCAACGTCAACTGGGGAACACCTTCGTAGCTAGGTGAACGAACGGAGAGTAGAGATGAAGATACAAGTTAATAGAACAAGAAAGCGAAGAGAACAGAATGACTAGGGAAACGTAGATCACAAAGGAGAGAGTGATCTAGTGTGTGGGGGGAAGGCCGCCGGACGCTAGGCTCCAGAATCGAGCGAGCGTGCCGAGATGCCGAGATGCCGAGAGCGCGCGCGCACCGAGCGGTACGAAGCCGGGAGATTGAGAGTGAGAAGGGGTCACGTGACTCGTACAAAGAGGGATCGAAAGGGGAGAGTGCGCGGAAACAAGCGGTGCAGCCTTCTGAGTGTGTAAGAGCGGACGAGTGGAAGAGAGGAGAAGAGGCCACAGGACCGACCATAACAGAGCTAAGCTCACAACGGAAGTGGCCTCAAGACACCCCACGCACTGGAGCTAAGATTGAGGACGAACGGGGTGATATTGCGGGAGAACGCATATGACGAAGCAGTACTACGAAGACTACGAATGGGAAGTGACTGTACGGAAATTGGTACGACGGGCGAAATTGTCCATAACGGAATCGAGGGAGGGTAAACGGGTGGAATCAGCGGACGAAGAAATGAATAAGGGAAGAATGCTATTGATCTGATACCAATAATCTAAAAAGACCTGCGATTTCCATCTTCCTTGAGTGGCGACCACATCAGGTGGGACACCCTGAAGTAAAAGTTCCGTGGCTCCCCCAATACGAAAGGCGTGACCAGGCATGTCAGGGAAGCCGGCAGAAACCCAAATCTGGTTGCAATGGTTGAGAAACCAGGGGCGAGTCATAGGAGACCAGCCGGAAGACGTACGAAATGCAAAGAGGGGGGCATCGGGTGGGATGCCGAGATTGCCTGTGCAATGATTCAATAGAGCTAGAACGGGGCAAGTGCGGTGATCGCGAGATGTGACAGAAATGTCAGCGCCAAGAGAGAGAGTGGTCTTAGACCAGGGAATATGGAAGGTGGAGTGACACGTACTGTTGTCTAAGGAAGATATGGAAAGGGGGAGGATTTGCCGAGAAACATGTTTAGAAGGGTCAAAAGCATTCTGGGAGGGAATAAGAAGTTCGCCAAGACGACAGCAGAACCAAAAAGCTACCGAGGCGAGAGCCCAGATGGCGGCATCAAAGGTGTTAGCCAGATCCAAATGATCATGAAGAATACAGAGAGCCTCCATGGTGACAGGAGGGCGCTTAGCATGTTTGGACAATGGAGGGACAAGCTTAGTGAAACCCCTATGAACGTGACGGAGCATATCGTCTCTGTACCAAGGAGCACCATTGATAATATGCCAAAAATGAAGACCAGTGAGCCAATTATTCAGAGTCTTTTCTAAGGCATGTCCGGCATGATGTGCAGAAAAAAGAGAAATGAGTTCGGATGAAGCCGGCATATGGAATTCCTCCGGGAGCCTGGGCAAGTCACAAAATTGGGTAAAACGGAGAAGACCTGCCCCACAATTGGAACAGGTGCTGTGATCTAAGGATTGGAGCATGACTTGAAAGAGGCAAAAAATGGACTGCTGGGGAAAAAAGCTCTCGAGGAGGAAAGGAAATCAGTGCCATGAGGAGAAGACCAACAAATGAGACAATCGCTGGTGACGACGTGGGGACACCAAGGAGAAGGCTGAATGGATGTGCCTGGGCGAGGATGTTGGGGGGTTTTGAATGGGTAGTGCTTAAAGAGGACGTGACTGTGCGACGAGAGAGAGAGTTGGCATTGGCATAAAAGGCGGAGGCAGCAGCATTGAGATCGATGTCTGAAAGAAACTCCTCAAGGGGAGAAGGGAGAACCATGCTGAAAAAAGGGAGTGATGGAATGATGGAGCGAGGGAGGGTTGGGGAGACGAGTAGAAGTAGAGGGAAAGACACCATGGGAAATCGGATCTGCCAAGTTATCGGCAGATGAGACGTAAGAGAAAAGGAAATGGAGGTGTGCCTCGTGGGATAGAAGGGCCGAGCGACAGATAGCTAAGTTGGTCATATAATTGCGACAGCGACCTTTTTCGAAGGCTGCGATTGCTCCTTGATTGTCGCTGCAAATCAGAATGTCTGAGTGAGAGAAGCTGCGGTTAACTGCTAGCTGAATGGCAAGTTCGATGGCAACAGCCTCAAGCCAGCCGATGTCCCGATGTGAATCTCACCAATGAGAAGCCAAGGGCCAGGCCGCCCACTCATCACCAAAGACAATGCCAATCCCGAAATCTGTAGATGCGTCGACCCAGATCTGGAGATCTAATGAAGAAGAGTGAGACAATATGGAGCATGGGGGCTGAGGCGAGCTGAGGAGGTTAAGCTACCAGGTAAGGTCAGAGGTGACTGAAGGGCAGATGAAATGAGGCTTGAACTCGTTGGGGAATTCAGAAATCCAGTGGTACAAAGGGGAGATGAAAGATCGGGCATGAGGGAACATGAATGAAATGTGATTTAAAGTCCCTGCTATTTTCTCAGCATCACACTTGAAGATGTGAGAGTTGCAAGTAGAAAGGAAGGCAGAAAGGCAGGAAGCATACTTGAGACGCTTCAACTCCATAAGTGTAACTGATTTATGAGGAATGTTCCAGAGGAATCCAAGGTATTCCACAGTATTGCCTAAAGGGCTGGCCCTTTTGTTTATGCCAGGGCATGCCCAAAGGTGCGATGATAGACTTGGCATGTTCAAGATCATAGTCATAATGGTAAACTTTGCCATCACAAATGCCTAGGTGAGAGCCAGATGGGGAAGGGGAGTGAAAAAGATTAAAGTAATTGACCCATTTAAGAGAGGGGCCCATGCTCTGAGCATCCCAGATATCAATGACAGTGTCAGCAACTTCACCTTGAAGGCCAGAGGTGGGAGAAAGCCCAAAAGGAAGGACATGATCTAGGAAGAATTGATCTTCAAACATGATGACTAAGAATTGTTTGTGATTGGGAAGTATGGGGATGCCATGGTAAGTGGCTTCGATGTCAAGAGAAGTGGCCTGAGTGCCTGGAGGGGCACAAGAAATCTGAGGTGAAAAGATGAGAAAAAGGAAATTGTGAATAAGATGGTGAAGAGAGAGACAGGGGCAAATGACGAGTATGTCATTAGGAAATGGCCCAGAGCAGAAGGTCGGAGGAGGAGTGTGCCTTCAAACCATCAAGAAAAACCCTTGAAGGGTAAGACTTTCAGGCAAAGAGCATCCACAACAGAGATCTCCAAAGAAGAATGAAGGGGGGGGGAAGAAGGTAAGAACTAACCACTGATGCAGCAAGTTCAGCTGAACCCCATCTAGTAGGGAATTGATCAGAATCAATTTGGTTGTTGACTGAAAGACCTAAAGCACCCTTGTGGGAGAGGTTGCGACAGATGCGAATCTTTGGGGGAGAGCCCTTGATGCCAAGTTTGGTGACAATCTGGAATGGTGAAGATCTGAAAGGACCAATTTTGTGAAAAAGTTTGGTAGTGGAGAATGGGCCAGAGAAATGGCTGAGAGAAAGCTCCTCATCGATGTAGCTGTGGATGGTGTCATGAATCTCAGCAATGTTGTGGTGATTGGATGGGGTGCACAAGCAAGAAAGGGGGGGTAGGTCACCAATGGGGAAGCCATGAGTGAGTTTGAAGGACAGGTCCAGATACTGATCAAATAATTTACACATATGGAGGAAAGAGTCAAATGCTAATGCAGAATAAGGCATGATAATGTGCGAGAAATCCGGATCAGAATTGTAGTGAGAGGAAAGAATGTGAGAACAGCCTGAGAAAACATGATGAGGGGGGAAGATATTGGAAGGACACAAAAAGGGTCTGGAAGCAGGGAAATCAGGTGGACTTGTGGTTGGAGGCACTGTGGTCTCGAGAACCACAAGCAGCACAGAGGTGTTGGTCTGGGTGGTTGTCATGACAGGGCTTTTTGGCAAGCTGGAAGAAGAAACAGAGAGGGGAACTGTTGTTGCAGTGGACAAGTTTCCTGTCCCGAGACTTCACAAATGTTTGTTGGCCTTTCTGCATAGTCTCTTCATTGCAGGAAGAGTATTTGTGGCCAGATCTGAGGCAGATAACACAGGTGGGAGAGTTGCAATGATTGTTCCGAAAGTAATTGTCAGGTGAGTCACCACAAGCTTTGTGCAATCATAAGGAGAAAAATGATGTGCATGGGAATGTTTGTCTGCCAGGACAGCAGGAGCAAGAGGAGTTTGAAGAACTCCAACCTGAGTGTGAAGGTATTTGTTTTTATATTCCTGGGCAGTGAGGGAGCAGTTGGGGTCAGATGCAACAGCAGAACAGACATCCATATCAAACTGCAAGATAGCAGGGAAGCATTCATGAAACTTGTGAATGCAAGTGAGAAAGTGAAAGTGGCAGGACCACATTCGTTTTGCAACAAGACCTTCTCGCATGCCAATCCAATCAATGTAACACTCCCAGGCCAAATGCCAGTCCAAGGGGAGCATCTCCTCTTCAGGAGGGAATTGGGTGATGTCCAGAATGTGAACATTCTGGCCATTCTGATGAACCTTGACTGTCTTGACTGCAAGGGGTTGGTTCTGTAATTTATGCAGTGCTTCATATGAAAAGAGAGTCAGTGGGACATGAAAACCAGCATCAGCAAGGCTGTTAATGAGTTTGGAAATGGGAAGATGCATGCCATTGGGAGAAAAAATGGGAGCATTGTCAGAAAGGTTGGAAGGAAGAGGGCATTGAGCTTTGGACCAGTGAGTTGAAGACAGGGAGTTATGGTGGTTCTCAAGTAAGGAGTCCAGTGCAAGTTGTTCTGAGGGGGGAAGCAGCATATATGCAGCCAGAATCTGCTGGGAGGGATTACCAGTGTTGCCAGAGGGCATAACCACCAAAGAAGGTGGGGGCTGAAAGGTATTGGTAGATAAAATGGGGGGAGGGGGGGCTGAAATGGTAGGGTTGGTAAGAGTAGGTGGAATTGGTATGGCTGCAACCACTGGGGTAGTAGTGGGAGTGGTGGGGGCAGCACATGATTCAGTCACTTGTAGTCCTAAAAGTGGGTCATCCAACATGTACATTTCGTCC